CGTCTACCAGTGGACGCCGTGCGATTAGCTAGGACAAGGGCTGCTCGAACCACGACCCGCCACAAATCAGAAGCCTGCTATTCGTAAGGGCCGCCCACGGTCCAGGCTTCGCGGCGGTATACATATTCCAGCAGCCTCGAGGACGCGCACCGCGCGCTGTCGTGCTCCAGCCTGCAGCCTACCCCCCTGGTCATCTTCTCCCGCTCAGCTTCCGTCTATTCTCCGTTCTCAGTCTGCGAGTCAGCGCACGTCCCAGCCCGCCCCCTGGACTCTTCTTTTTTGTGAACACGCCCGCCTGCCTCTGCTGGCCCGAGGCCCGTCCCATTTAGCGGCACCGAAAGGACCGCACCAGACTCACACTGACCGCCGCCGCCGCCACGTACAGGATCCATCCGATACGTAGATAAGTAACGCCTCACAAGCCAATTCAATACATACGGGCTAGCATTCGAAGCTACAGCGGCGTCTGTGACCGCGTCATTCTGAGCACAGACAACTTGCTCGCCCGACTCCCCGACGGCGATCCCTCGTCCGAAGCCCAATGCCCGAGCGCCCAGCGCCCAGCGCTCGCCCATAACCCAAACCTTCTCCCAAAGGACAAACGTCACTTACGCTCGCCCCGGCTTCCCCTTTCCACCGGCTTCCTTCTAGAGCCTACCCCACACCGGTCCTACCCCAAGCCCATCCCGCAATTATTAATATCAGGGTACCGGTGTGTGACTGGAAATATGTACAAGCCGCCCGACCGACGGCCTACGGCCCCCCCTCCCCAGGCCGAAGGAAGCTACTCTGGCAGGAGCATATCTGACACGCTGACATTCGCAATGACATGCATGCTATCTACCCCCGATCACTCGACGGCAAAGTTCATGTTCAAACGAACGAATAAACGGGGATGTGGATGGCTCACAAAAAGGCAAACTCTCTCTCGGACAGTGGACGGTGGACACAAGACCTGGCCATGCCGTAACTCGATGCGAGACCCTACTTGGGTGCTAAATGCTGAGGTGATCGTACAAGATCGTTTGCTACCCGCGAACGTTGCGTGTCGATCGCTTCAGAAGTCCTTGGATCATGGATGGTCTCTACATAAGGAATGGGACTAAACATAGCGTGAAAGCGAAAATGAAAGTGAAAGTGAAAGTGAAGAGGTCATAGAGGCTTTGCAATTGCACTTCCTTGATCGCCTATTGGCTGTATTCTAATAATTTCTCATGTCGAATCTTAGGGTTCTGTTCTTTTCCTGGCCAACTCCCAGGACAGTGCATAGTACATAGCTTTGCAATCGATTCCTGCGCAGCTGCCCATTTTTCCTGCCCTTCCTCTTTCACTCTCACTTTCACCGGGCCCATTCTATTTCTCTTGCCAAGGTCCCACTCGCATTCCTCATCAAGCAGATCCTTCCGTCTTGGTTCACTCCCTCCCTGCGCACGAACTCACTAATTACAGCTTATCACCCGGATCTTGAGCTTGTCGAAGTATGACAACTCTGTATTATAACAGCGTGCACTGGCACCTTTTTATAACCCCATGGAACGGAACTTTTGTACTGGATGCCTTTTATAAATTACTTGACACCGAGCCCCACGCTACGTGCTGCTCACATCACGCCCAGGCTGGAATCTATGAATCCGAGGCCAAGTCCTTCAAGGCATGAGTAGTCGTTGGGATGTGAAGTGGGAGCGTGTCGCCACACAATGGGCCATGAGAAATTGTCAAGGATTCGGAAGGCGGGGATTTTTGTCGTGGATTGTGTGGCGCGTCATGTTACTTGTTGTCGACCAATCGAAGGAAACGCCGATATCGTCAATAGCCACGTTCGTCCTTCGATATATATGTATTCTTTATCGTCACCGTGACCGTTGTTTTCGGGCGAATCGGACTCTCGCTCCTCGGCCCTTTCTCCCCTTTCAGTCTGGGTCAAGCCGGCGCCCTCGAACTCGTTCTGGTGGGCTCTGGCTCGGATACACCGCACCGCACGCCGTACGGCGCAGGCCCTCAGAGCGCCGCACAGATACGAGAAATATAAGATATGCCAGACTCGTATTTGTGGGCCCGCAGGCTGTGCGCGCCACCGTGCATATGGTGTTGCCTGTCGGTTACTTATGGAGACGAGGTAGGACGAGGTCAGCTGGATGCCTCGCGCCGCTTGCGCCCCGAGCGCTCGCACTCACATTATATGCATCATCGCATCGATCAGAGCTCTGACTTGAAGAGGAATATCACAAGCGGAGGATTAATGACGTCGACGTTGCTGTATAAACGATTTGCATAAATTCCTTGCAGATATTTCCTTGGTCCTACTCTGCACGAGGTAGGATATTGGAGTTGGAGGGGACGGGGAAGGACTTCCGAGCCCCACAACGTTTCAGGACGTCGTAACTTGGAACAGCTTTCAGGCGCTTGGAGCCATGATCAGCGCTCGTCAACTGAAGCACCGCACTCGGAGGACCTAGAGATGAGCGATGATCAGCGTTCGCCTCGCCTCCACAAGCTCCCATCGTTGTATCGATGTGACCACGATCTCCACCCTCACTACCAGAGACCATCAGAGACCAGAGACCACCAGTACCCTGCCCCACCGCTCGGTGGATATGATCAAAGTTTCCTTCCCCACAGTTCTCGAAACCGAGCTATGACGCTTGGAGCTGAGCTTGTTTCCCCAGGTTTCTCCGATTCTCGGCGCCATTGCCCTAGGGTCCTGTGATTGAAGGTGATGTAGTTTCAAGGGGAGAAAGCTCTGCATAACTCGGAAATGTCAATAGGCTGAGCCGGTGGTTGCTGACGGCGACGGACGCAAACGAGCGCCACGGTTCTCCGGGGAATCCCCGAGCGCCGACTCTCGAGCCCCAAAGCAGTCCCGCCCGACCTCCGCCTGCCTGCCTAATATATCTCGCCGCCTCCACCGTCCACCGCCCGACGCACGACGACGGCATCATTATGTTTTCATCGTAGGCACAACGTAGAGCCTACAAGAAAAGCCGCCACAGGATACCGCCGAAAAACAGTAATATTTCCCCTAAATATACACCTTACGATCGGGATTTGCTTCCGCGGGTCAGCTTTCTCCAGGCTAGGGGCGGAATTCAAGTGGAATGCAAGACCGTTGACCGCCGCATTTTGGGTGAAGATTTTATCTTGCCTGCCAGGAGCTATAACCTTCGAGAGCATTCTCAATCGCGGGTATGTGCCAACCCACAACCTCCAAGCCCACGCCGATCGTGACGTGTTAAGATGCCGCAATTTGGTCTTTGTGGCGCACGCGATCCAAATTTGTGTTTTCCTTGGACCTGAGGGATAAACGTAATGGGAGTGATCGCGTTAGCGGGTGGACCACGCGCTAAGCGCGAGGGGACTGCGGTGCGCGCCTATAGTATCACGCTTGCGAGTGCATGCGGTGCGTCACGCTTCATGCGGGCCTCGCCCACTCGGTGCAGGATCGATCGATCGCAGCAGGGAGCGGCAAGCGCGCGCCTACACATGTAGACCCGGGTCTTACGCGTTGATGAAAGAGTCGGCTGCGGGGCCTGCGGCACGGCCAGTTGATTGATAACTGATGAGATCGTACATGATGCAGGCTCCACGGTATGTATTCCTCGCCGTCAACGGAACATGTCTTGAAGGGGGGTTATGCTCAAGCTCAAGCTCCGAGAACTGATCATGAACTACTTAATGATGAATCATCTGCATCAGTACTCAGTACTCAGCGTGAGTGAACCGATCGCAGATATCAGTGTTTCCCAGAGTCATTCCCCGTGTACAGTGTATATAGTATTCTGGTTGCTAAGACCCTCCGAGAAGCTTTCAAAATCTGGGGTCCCTCGTTTGCAACATAGCTTGACGTCTGACGTTGACGTGAATCGTCGACGTCGCTTAATTTCCTGAGTAGTTATGAAAAGGGATGGGACCCTAAAAAGCCTCGAGGCCTCAGATGCCTCAGATGTTCCGAATCGCACTCAATCATCTCCGAGTGCGTGCTTGTTCAGTAAATCCGAGATCGAATGCGTAGGATAACGGCGAGAAGTATGCATATTCGAGTCACGTAGTAAGTTGTAGAATATTTAATAAATGGCATAGGTGTATCAGCCTTCAGGCCTCAGGAGTCGTGATTCAGAGCCTTCATGATCTACCTGGTATTATCTGATCCGGGAGTGATGACACCCTCGAACAGGAGGCAGCTGCTGGAAACGGGGCAGTAAGTATTCCTTGTGGTCCGGAGTCACTTATGGAACTAATCAGTCGTGGCAATTCCCCTTAGGAAAACATCTTTCCTGTCTGTCTTTCTTTCGCGAGAGGATTAAATGATGCGGGTATTGTGGACGTTGGGGGTTAGATCCGGTCTTAAAATGGAGGTCACTGTCACTGAAAAAAAGGAGAGCAAGCCATACATGCCATAGGATAACCGGGACAGGCTCTGGGGATTGAGAATCCGAAGTTCAGAGGAAATGGTCAAAGATATTCATCTCAACCAATATGCACATACCATCTCCCAAGGCTAAAAACATATGCAACGTTGCTGTCACCCAGAGTCCCATTGCTTCGAAAGAGCAAGTATCATGCAAGATTAAACCAACCGCACGTCGTTGAACTCAACTCGCCCTTTTTGGTATATAATACCTGTTATAGAAATTCTCCTTGGTCAAGGCACGCAGAACGCTGAGAGGGGCCCCTCTGAGCGGCTGGCCGCCGCCAAAGAAGTTCTCGATATAGCGCAATGACGTAGGGAAGCGGCGCGCGGTCATCGCGGGTCAGTATACGTACTCTACCGGTGAATTTGCCAATTACATTGAAATGGTGATGACTGAGACGGCCTGAGAGAAGGCTGAGCTCGAGAGTAACAATCATTTGGGGGGATGGGTATATGGCTTCAGGACATCCTTATAGGCAGTTACAGCCACTTGCTTGATTATTCGTACTGCTCCTCTGAGTTGTATCGATCTAGAAAAGAGCGACTATGCACGGAGATCTAAGAACAGTAAAAATCGAGCCAGTGAGCTGGCAGATAGTAGCCACATCTACAAAGGGAGGGCCAAATACTTCACACTCATGGCACGGACAAGCACAAATGTCCGAGTTTAAACGACAAGTAAATTGTGACTGGGCCACTGCAGTCCCAGGGGGGACAATGAGCGGCGCAGATCAATCCCCCTATCGGGCCGTAAGTGCAGTTTATTGCGGGTCATTTTCTCTGGCTATTTTATGAGTTGTTAGGACGTGGCGTAAGAGTTGCAGAAGAAAAGCGTACCACATTACCATTATCAATCATCTTTGGGTGTATCCCGACGCCCGTAGGGTCGTGTGTAGCTCGTATGCAGGAAACGTTAGTCCTCCTGGGCGGCTTGCGAGCGTAACGCGGAGGTATCCCCGTCTCTGTAGAGGATCCTCGAGCGCTTCACAACTGTGTGAAAATAGTTGAAGGCACTATCTGCTGATATCAAGTGGCGGATGTGTGCATTGCTGGGTGCTAGGTGTATACAGCACCCTGGATATGTTCCGTTGAATGACAGTGGTCCACTTTGACAGCTGATATCGATGCCAATGGTAGTGCTACTCTGACTCGGGGCTGTTAGTTGGCTGAGAGGATGTTGATCCAATGGTCAGTTCATGTAGGGTTTTGAAGCCCGCCGTAATCGAAATGGGCCAAAGATGCGCAAGAGGAGTGACGGCTTCAAGGGTTGGATCAAGTACGCTTCTTCGATGTGACGAACGATTGTAGAGCTATGGAACATCCTTGCTGGTAATCCTGCTGCACAAATAGCTCAACTAGGCTGGGACCGACTGTCCGACCATAGAACCTACCTGTTCGATAACTTCGTACCTTCGCTCTGATTTGCAGCGCTCTAGCAGTCTTGCAACTGCACCCGGAACTGCAGTCCCTCCCGCCTAAGGACCCCCATTCGATGAGGATGGATGGCTCACAGCACTTGGACCTGACACTCACTAATTGTATCTCGACTGTTCGAAGAGGAACAGTCAACATCTGGTCGGTCAGCTCCTTTGTTTTGTGCGTGAAGCGCTGTTCCGGGAAACCACGCAGGCAGAAAGCGAAGGATCGGGAAAGCGTTCACAGCGGCCCCAGGAAACAGTGCTTGGGACATTCTAGAAACCGCGGCTTCTGCAACTCCGACGTAGTAATCATCCTTGTATCTGATATCGAGGTCGTACCCTGCGGAGATCATGATTGCAGACGAGCAGAAACGGCATGCCACACACACGCCGTTTCTGCTCAGGTCAACCTGCCGCGCCGTGCCTACCCCGCGCCATGCTGGTCTTCGCTGGTCCCGCAGCTGGTGGCACGCATCTCCCATAGTCGGGGCCGCATCGCTGTTGTGTTTGCCTGACCACCCTGCCACTGCCCTGCTCCTCTGCTCGCCGTTCACCTGCCACTGTCATCGACCCGGCGCCGGTGCCCTCGTGCTCGTGCGTCCTTGTCTTGCTGGTTGATTCCTTGCTGGCCATCGTGCTGCTTGTCGCCTCGGCCGCTCGTTGGATGACACCTTAGATGAATCGCTCAGTGTGAACCCGTAGGTATATTAGATCGAAGCATTTACATTCTGGCAATGTAAAAGGAAATCTTGAGGGGTGTTAAGGAGGCCATAAAGCATATTGTTGACCTTCCTAGTTTGGACGGTCAGTTAGGCTTCCGTCTGAAAAGCTGTCGGAAGATTCGGCGATGCTGTTGCCATTCAGCACCATACGGGTTTCAAGCCCGAGTTGAAGTCCCATCCCATCCTATAAGATACGAGTCAGCACAGAGATAAATACTAAACATGTGGAGCCTTACAGGTCAATCATTGTGACATGCAGCCGGTGGGAGTAGATGTTTGAACGTTTCTCAAGAAGGTCGATGGCGACTTCACACGAATTGAAAACAACAATGTGTTTCCTGAATACTCGTAGGTGTATGATGTCCCCTGTGGGCATGGGTCATGGTGCGGTATGGGATATTAAAATGGGCTCATCATAGGTCTACTTCAATTTTGCATAATAAACCCATTACGATTCAGTCGGACCACTGTCCAGGTATGCAGTAGGTAGACTCCTTGCAGGCGGTCCTGGTGGATAAGGCAATCAGCCCGCAGGCGTAGTCCACCATTTCAAAGAGCCCCAGATTGCCAGAGCGAAAGCAATAGCGACAGCGAGGGTTAGAAGAATAAAGGCTAGCTCGTGCGAGGACATTGCTTCGACCACAAGAGATATAAAGCCATTGTGGATTGAGAGGTTTGTTGAACTTCGACGGGGTAGGATCGAACTTCATTGAAGCTTAGGATCGAGTTGACTTTGTCCCATGACCCAATGCTGTTTGCAGTATTTCACGCACGACTCAGCAGCGACATGCTGGTTGGTGGATCTTCCCAGCTTCGAGATTCGACACTGAAAGATCAAGTAAACAAGCATGGACTGACCAATGATTATTTGACATGATAGCCTGAATGACGACCCTTGAGACAGAAACAAGACGAACCTCAAACTAGTTTTGGCAAGCATCGACGAAGACATTGTACGGAGTCAGATCTGTTGCGGTTGTAATCAAGTCCCGGCCATCTGAAGGCGAGTACGTAGGCGTAGTGACACGAAATGATATCCTCAGGACCCAGAGCTACCGGAAAATCGAGACCGTTGATCATGAGCTAGGGGTGGTGGAGGTTGACTTCACAGAGAGATCGGGCCGGTATGGATTGGGACCCTCCGGAATGTTCCGAAATTCTGTGTGGCGAAGTTGCCAAGCTTCTTCCGCGCTTCGACAAAGTTCGAATGACAGACATCCAAGTCCTTCGGAATTGCAACCAGTTACCTGATACTCTGCGTTCAGGTGGTCAGATAACCACCCGAACACCTCATTTCATGCCATGCTTTTGATCTGCTCAACTTGGAAAGTCTTGAGCTTGAGCGCCCATCTTGCTCAAAGACCGTGACGGCCGCCCCTACAGAAAGCCTACCAACAAACAACCCAGGCCGGGCGAATGGTCTGAATTTCCTGCCGCTATGCCTGGTCTCCGTCCTGCGTTATCTTTTCCCCAGGCTTCTCCGCGATTTCACGACACATCTGGGCTCAGCGATAATCTGGACCAATTGCCAGCGCAATTTTCGCTTCTTAGCCGAGTGATGGAAGGTGGGGTAGGAGGCGGGGAAGCTTCTCTGACAACCCCATTCTCTCGTCCGGACCCCACATGTGACCTTTCTCCGCCCTATCTTGCGCACTCTTATGGACCAAGACTTGACCAAGACGGCCAAAATGTTGTTGCCGGACTGCATCTAAAAATAGCCTGCTTGAACCTCCAAGTTATGGACGATACTTACTGGGGATTTATCCAAAGATGCCCTTGATATCTTCTTGCGCGTCGGGACCGATTTTCTCGAGGAGGTTCTATTTTCAGACGCACAACGAGACCGACGACTCGACGAAGAGCTCAAAATCTTGTCCCCGCATGTTCAGAAGCCAGCGCCCCGCATCACTCTTCCTGGGGGAGATCGAAGAACGCATCGCGACATCTCGTGGGTGCAAATTATCTCCTTGCACCTATCCGGTCCAGTTCTCAGCGCGTTTACGGATCCATCTTCTTCCACCATGCGCCATTTCAAGGCGAGATTCAGGCTTGGGTGCGGGTTCGTGACCTTCGCTAAGTTCGACCACAATCGAGGCGCTGCCTGAGTTGGGCGCGTTGAAGCCTAACCAACGGGTCTTTGGTCCGATTATCATCGTGATCACAGCATCCGTATACAATGGGTTGAAGATTATAGCCGACCCAGAGGAATTTAAATGACTTCGTGTCGAGAAGCCCAATTGACTTGTGTCTGACCGCCTTCTTTTCCTTCGCTCTCTCCCAACGAGAACTCCGTGGTCATCATGACGGCTAGCTCGGAAAAGCGATCGCCCTCTCCCCCTGGCTCTGACCCAGAGAAATCCAGCGTGCAAGAGAAGGAGAAGGTCGACGTTCAGGTCTACAATGCTGGTATGGACATCAGCGGGGTAGACGAGAAGAAGTTGATTCGAAAGATCGACCTCGCCCTCATCCCCTGGCTGTCGTTCCTGTACCTTCTCAGCTTCCTCGACCGTAGCAGTATTGGAAAGTACGTCTAATCTTCGTTTGGATTTTACCTTACAGGCGTTTATTGACCCTCGTTCGACAGTGCCAAGGTAAACGGATTCCCCAAGCGCTCAGAGTCCACGAAGCTCATCCAGCGCTCAGTTGTACAATCTTGAAGCCGATCTCAACATGACAGACAAGCAGTACCTCTTGACCCTGACGGTATGAAGGCCAGCCGAAGTCATCCACTTGGTTGCTGAGGAATTCCTGCAGATTTTCTTCTTCAGTTATGCCGTATTCGAAGTGCCTTCCAACGTCTTCTTGAAGCGCCTCCGTCCGTCCGTCTGGTTGTCATTTCTAATGCTGTTTTGGGGTATCATGATGGTCAGCCCGTCCTTCCTGGAAGTTCTAGATTAATTGCTTATTATTGACTTCACAGACCCTCCAAGGAATCGTCCACAACTACCCCCAGCTTCTCGGTGAGTCAAACTTCCTTCCGAAAGCCGGTCTGATCGTAACGCGCTTTGCAAAGCTATGAGATTCCTTTTGGGCCTGTTCGAAGCTGGGTTATTCCCAGGTGTCAGCTACTACCTTTCGTGGTAAGCTTTATTTTTAGTTCCCTCGTGCGATAGATCTCGCTAACGTGGTTCTCAAGCTGGTATAAGCGCTCCGAGTTTGGTCTGCGTGCAGCTTTGTTCTTTTCTGCCGCTACCGTATCCGGGGCTTTCGGGGGTCTTCTCGCGGTATAATCTTTTGCGTCGAGTATGCATGGGCTTCAACTGACATCATCTGCTCAGGTCGCCATCGCGAAAATGGACGGAATCGGCGGCAAGCCAGCTTGGGCGTGGATCTTCAGTGAGTCCGACCTCCCCCCTCTCCTCGATAAGTCTTCTAACCCACAACCATACAGTCATTGAAGGCCTTGCCACCGTCGTCGCCGGGGCCGTCTCTTTCTGGATAATCCAGGACTTCCCGGACACTGCCAAATTCCTCACGGAGGCTGAGCGCACGGTCGTCATCCGGCGCTTGCAGGGCGATAATCAGCATAGCGCTGCTGGGGAGAACTTCAGGATGCATTATATCTTGATGAGTTTGAAGGATTGGAAGACTTATATAGGAAGTACGTGAAAATCACACCAGCTGTTCTTGTGGACTCTTTCTGACCAACCGTTTTATTGCCTTCATTACCAGTGGCGATCTACTGTGGTTGCGTTATGCCTCTCTATGCGTTCTCGCTCTTCTTGCCTAGCATCATCAACCAGGTGTGTCAAATAACCTAGCGTATGTCTCTGTCCGTGCTCAAATCACCTGGCCATCCACATAGCTCGGATACACCGCGACGCCTGCGAACCTGCTGACCGTCCCGGTATACGTCTTCGCCTGCATCATAACGTGTGGTGTTGGCTTCGTCGCCGATAGGTTAGGTAAACGAGGCTATTTCAATATGTAAGAGCTTGCACCACGCATAACGGCCTCGTAATTGTTAATGTTGCTCTACAGTGGGTTCTTGTGCTTAGGTCGGGAGTTCCCAGATTTCTGTGTAGTCTCCGAGACTCATCTTCCATCTAGGAGCTGTTGGCTACATCATTTTGATTTGTTCAAAGAAACCAGCCCTCTCCTATTTCGCCACCTATATGGCTACCTGGTGAGTTGGTGAACGTCCGGAAGGCGACAATGAGAATGCTCATTACTTTCCTCAGCGGAATTTATCCTGTCATCTGTGGGTCGATTAGTCCGCATTGGGCTTCCTGCTACTAACCCGTTGAACCACCTTGATTAGCGAACACCATGTAAGCCCTCAGAGTTCGATATTTTCCAATCGATTCTGTTCTCACCATGCATCTTGCAGTACCTGGATGTCGAACAACGTGGAAGGCTCCTATAAGCGTAGCGTAACGCTTGGTATGGTTATCGGCTTGTGAGTCTCGTCTATTCGTGAATCAGTATACTTTGACTAAATCCTTATTCCCAGCGGCAATCTTAATGGAGCCGTGAGTTCCAATGTGGTAAGTTTATTCTCTGATACAGTTGCTCTTACGGAACTATTTTATGATTATGCCTCGTAGTATCGCGCTCGCGATAAGCCATGGTATCCTTTGGGTCATGGTAAAGCCCCATTTATGAGTTACCCCTCCCCGTCCGACATTTCTAACCGATTCCTCAGGGCTTGTACTGATGTACATTGCCATCGGCCTCATCGCATCTACCGCCTACGTGTTCCTGCTGAAACGGGAGAACGCCCGACGCGAGCGAGGAGAAAGAGACGAAGTCATAGAAAACCAGCCCGACACACATGACGCGAAGAACGAGAAGAACGGACGATTCGAGACGATCGAGGACGCGAAACGCAACAAGGGAGATGAGTGGAGTGGGTATCGATACACGATCTGAATGCTATGTACGTTATTTTCTTTCTGTATAGATAAATGTACGAATACATTGGCATGATTTTTCAGGCGAAGATGCCGCTTTCAATTTTGATAGCCGAACGAGCGTGCGAACTGATCCTGCCAACCGCATATTGACCCCAACCTCTGAAACGGAATTGTCCTATGTACCAGTTTCCAAAACTCGCCATGATCATACCCTCTTGCTCCGAAGGACCACCCTTACATAGACATTTGAAGATGGAAACTCTCAACAGGAGCTCAACGTGTGCTGTGTTTAATGCTCGAAAATTCTCTTGTCAACCTGGCCTATCGCTCAAGCGCTCAGCGCTCAACGTTCAACAGTCGCCTTCTCCAACTTCTTGGCCAATGGAGGACGATAGAGGATGACTGCCTTCAAGGAAGCATCAAGGATCGCCGGATAACGTGGCTAATGGACTAACGTAATCAAAAATTCTGGTAGCCGGCGACTGACGTGGGCGGGCGCTTCGGGGCCATCATGCCTGTTTCAAACGCTGGGCAAGTCAACAGGAGAGCGAAATTTAGCGATATCGACGCCTTTCTGGATGGGTTCTGTGGCACATAAAAAAGATGTGCTTATCTACTGGTTTTCGCTGCCCAATCAGCGTCAAACCAGACCAAGAAGACGAAAAGCATGCGGGCTCAAAGGTTCTTCGAGGTTCCTGCATCGGACTCCCGTATGATCGCTAGGCCTTGGAGTCATTCCTGATATTCAATCCGGCTTGTGTTTGTCAGTATTGGCCATTTCACGCGTTGATGGCCAGCCGAAACCAGCCTGCGTTGTTGAACACAAAAGTTCCGTCGTGCTTCATACCTTTCTTCCGCAAGTCATTCGAATTTCGCATACAACATCGTTCTTCCCTGAAATGATGGATAACATCTTCCTTTCGAATTAACTACCGCCCTGACCCCTATCGCTCGTATTTAATACGAGGTATGGGCTTTCCTCGCTCATCCCTTCCTTCCGTTCCCTTCCTTTTTCCTGCCAGTCTTCCTGTACCCGACCATTCATTCCTTTCACTCATTTCAATCCCTGCTCGACTCTTCGGCTCGATGTCGCTTTCAATCATCGTAACCATTGCGCTTTCCGCGTCCACCTTTGCCATTCCTCAATTCAGGCACCCTTCTCCCCCTGCTGGGCTTGCTATTCCTCCGAGAGGTTCACGCACGTGCGATATTTCTACCGCAAAGCTCGTCCTTCCTGCTGGCCAAACCGCACTTTCGACTCCTGCCGTTGCACCTTCCACGATCGTTCTCGGGGTTGGAGTTCAAAACTACACCTGTTCAGCAGCTGGCACATACACGTGAGTTTTCGTACAGCTGGTTGAATGACCTTCCATTTTTTGATACCGTATGCGACGCAGGGCGGCTGGTGCTGTTGCAGATCTTTACGATCTCTCTTGCATCTCGAAAATACCCGCAGCGTTCAACGCCGTCCAGGACGTTGTGTACAGCGCGTGGACGCTTGCCCCTCCGAGTCTGAAGACCCTCGGCCCTCTCGTCGCCGGATATCCCATGCTTGGATCGCACTTCTTTATCACCTCTCCTTCTGGGACTGGCATCAGCCCGGTGTGGGACTACCGAGCGATGAGCGCGAAGGGGAACACGAACGCGTTCGTTCTGGCGGCGAAAGTCGGAAACATCCCAGCTCCCACGGGTGCGAAAGATGTTGACTGGCTTGAGCTCAAGTCGGTCTCAGGAGATTTGGCAACACAGGTACGATTTATCCTATTCAGTCATAATCGTCTCCTCATCTGCGATCCTCATTTCAGATTTACCGCACGGATACCCGAGGAGGACCTCCCCCTGCCTCTGTAAGTTTGTTTAACTTTGGGAAAATTGGCCACTCGTTTACATTCCCTCACAGTGCTCGCCTGGATCAGCTCCAATTTCAGTCAAATATGTTTCGAAGTATTGTGAGTTCTTTCAAAGTTATTATTTGACTTCAATTCAAAGGCTCACCCACGATCGATGTCAGGGCTATACGGGGGGAATGTGAAGATTTAATTGACCTCCGATACGCCACTTCATGTGTTGGCCATGATTTATTTTCTTCAAATTTGGGATCAATCTGTTTTACTATTTCACTTTGTGGGCAAGACAATGACATTTGGCTGGGAAACCCAATTGGATGATGCCATGACTAAGTAAGAATTTTCACGCGTTCGTACTGGAATAATAACCCTCCTGGCCCCAGGATCCTTCGAAGGTTCACGACACTGCTGATGAGCCAGCTCCGAGTCTTCCAAGAACACTGACCTTGATTCTGGCAAGAAGTCACTTCAAATTTCAGAATTGTCGGTGTCGCTATTTTCAACACTCTGACAACATAAGTAAAATTGAATACCAGATGTCAAGGTCCCTTGACGGCCAGATTTACCTATGCTCATACGCACCATGCGGCACATCCAGGGGGGTGGTTCTTCATTTGCTCGCACTTGAAATGACCATATCAGGTTGGGTGGCGTCGGCTGACTATGGAATGAATGCCGATAACTGCCTCCCGGCGTTCGGCCTTTGCCGCTTTCGTGTTTCCCTCCGGCAACGCTGACTTGAAGTCTGCGACGACGGCAACCTATTCAATTTTCCTGCAGACATCGCAGGGTTGGGTACACTTGTGTCCACTGGCAACACCAATTCAGGCGCCCTCTAACAAGTGTCCAGAAGTGTCTGTTGTTTGCCAGACATTCCCGACAGTCGGTCGTTTTCAGAACTCTCTTGTCCAATCAGAACTTGAACCGAATAGCGCCACCAGGAACATTTTGGCGACGCACTGCGCCTCTGCCCATACCTGGATCGCGTCTGACATCGAGGATGTAATATGGCGACCGTATGCGTTGGCAGGGACCACCATTCTCACTGGCGACATACTTATAATGCTCTGGATGCCAGTTTTCAATAATATTCCCTTGTCGTTGACCATCAACGAAGCGACGATCCCTTTTACTTCGACCATATACCGCGGCCATGTCGAATTTGGGACCCACTCTCGGTGCGAATGGATGCGGCTATTCATCGTGACCTTAAGACTGACTCATGTTCCTATTAGGTGTTCTCGTTCTTGGAGTTTTTCGTAATCTCAACCAATCCCGTCTCTCGTTCATCAATCCCTCTAACTTCTATTCCAGTGAATACCTACCTTTACGGGGTCGTGAGCTACCAATATATGGCATACGCAAACACCAGTGAGTGAGTTGAGCTCTTCTGTTCAGAGCGTGATCTGAATGCGATTTGTAGAATTCAACGATCCTTTGTGGATGAAGTGCGCACTTATTCTCCTGAATTGGTCTGACATTGATGTTTGCTTTTTGAGAGTGACAGTGCTCGCCCTCTTTCTCCTCGACACGGTGCATACCGCGTCGTAAGTGAACAGCACGTTTACCATTACAACGCAATTATTTATAACGATATGCTCAGGCTCATTCATATGGCGTGGTACTACACGTAAGCTACATTTTCTATTCTCAGAGACCCTGCACAGCTGAGATCGTCTATAAATAGGATTTCGCACTTCGCAGACGTCACAGCACTGTCAAGTAGGCTCATGTCTTCCTCCATTGCACGGGCGCTTAATCTAGGCAATGGCCAGATAACATCTGGGGCCTCCCATTTACCGTGCTCGTCACAGCCCTCATAGCATCCTTGACGCAGCTGTTTCTGGGTTATCGGTACGTACATTCGACTACGGAGCTGTTTGGATCTTGTGCTTAGAGTTAACTCCCAGAATTTGGCGCTTGACCAAGCGAGCTTATCTCTATGGTTTTATTGCCTTGACAGCCACGGGTTCGTTAGCTCTTGGAGTGCTTTGCTGTGCCAAGGTGTGGTCCTTGAAAAGGTGAGTCAAATTGCCTCTACAGATGTGCAATTCAGTGCAATCGACCGCAATGCCTCACTGCTAGCGTCCTCGACTTTCCGAAATCAATTCGTACCTGACTGCTTGGCTGTCTGTGGAGGTCGCAGTAGACGCGATCGTCTCTTGTGAGTTATTTTCCACGATCCGTGCTTTCGTTCCCGGAGTTAAATGCAACGCCACTAGCCGTCCTCATTTACTCCCTTATCAGATCTCGTACGGGCTTCGAGACTTCGGATACAATCATCAACCGATTGATGCGCGCGACTATTCAGACTGGTGAGCACACCTATATCGCCGAATCCTATCTTCTAGGGAGCTAATGCTCCCTTTCTCCCGTACCTAGGCGTCTTCTGTGGGATATGCTCTATCCTAGCATTGGTTATGTTTCTAAAGAAGCCGGACACCCAACTGTATGGCCTCTTCGGATTCCCAATTAGTCGCTTGTACACCAATGTGAGCGCTTATCTTCTAGATAAATTCTCGAATATCCTCTCCCCAACTTCACCAGTCCTCGAACACTGAAACTGGTACCAATTATGCAGACACTCATGGACACCCTGTTATGCCGCCAATATTTGCGCGGTCTGCTAGGCCAGCGTCAAGAGGGAGTGGGTTACTTCTTTTTATGATGATGCTGAAGAATGCTGATCGGCCCTTCAGGTACGAACAACGGGTAGCCTCCGCCTACAAGTTCGAAAAGACGTCGAAACGGAGCTCAAATTTGATGACATCGCACCTGGCAGTCAAACGAAGTTGACTAAAGGACAGCCAAGCTTCGATCGAATTTCGGATTGAATGATACCATAAGTTGGAATGCAAGGGGTTGTACTGTCGTTAGCTGACGCTTGGGTAGAAAGAAATGCAAGGCAATGTAAATGTGCTTGAATGAGATGGTGGAGACTGTGACACCCAGGCCGGCGTCTGCCGGGGTTCAGCTACTAGTTCAGACATCAACACGGTCATGTGATCTACGCGTTTCTCTGTTGGTCTCGGTGGGCACCTCGGGTCGCGTCCAAGACTCCTCTTTCCCTGCCCAAGCTTGGTTTCATCTTGTATTCGAAGAAACCAAAACTACGCCACGAAACATGGCGACCATGCTAGAAACGCCTTCCCGCATCTGGCGTCGCATAGAAGCTATCGAGGAACAAGATATGCCCTCATTACCTTCTTTGCCGCCTTTCGAGGATTCAACAGGAGAAGACGAGTTGCAAAATGTTGAAATGAACGAGGAATCTGGCCACAATATGGACACATTGTCAACGCGGATTCACTCTACCCCAGCCTCTACTACACACCACAACATAACTTCTACGTTCCGGGCCCCTGGAAGTTCCTCAAGCGCGGCGCGCTTCGCACAATCCATAGAATCAAGATCCAATAGATCCCTAACTGGGCCTTTGTCTGTGAGAGGCATGTCAAGCAGAAGAAGCCACCACGACAGTTTTGAAGTTCCCTCGCTCCCACACATCGAGCTTGCTGCTGCGACAGGTCACTATTCTGACGAAACGGACGAGGATATGGAGAGCAGGTCTAGTGTGTCTGAAGTATACTTGCCACCGGAAGAGGACGAGAGTCCAGATGGTGGAGATCGCGACTTTTCTCTGACGGATGCTCTCGAATCTGTAAGCCGCTCAGGCTCTCCCCCATTCTTACCCCACGTTAGTCGAGAGGACACGCCGAAGAAGGGACAAGAGTTCTCGTTTAGCGCAACCTCTGAGTCTAAGGTGCGTCCCTTCCTTATCCACCATTGACAGACTTGACACATTATGCTGCCAGCCTTCACCTTTTGAGAAATATCGCAATGTTGCCCTTCGCCGGACCAATCCTAGAGCCCGTACACCCTCTCTATCTCGTACATCCTCCTCTCCAACAACATCACCGACACAATCCACGCCCCGGAGCAATCGATCTCTGGTACTACCTCCATCCAACGCTCCGTCCCCCATTCTTGCGGCAAGGGTACCCCTGCCCCGTTCAAGGACTGCTTCACCCGCCGTTATGGTTCACAATCCGCAGGGGGCTGAAGAGGAGCAATCAATTTCTGAGCAAACATTCAGCAATGACACTCACGAAACGCGTTCTATGGATATCACCGATGTCCATATATCACCACCTAGATTGAACGACGACGAGCAGGACGGCGACATTTTGACTGAAACCGAATCTCATGAACAGAGCCAACATCACGAACAACAGAGCCACACCACACACGACGATCGCGAACCGACATTCTCTTCTGAAGGGGACGCGACACCCTACGCCATTAATACCAATGCGGCTACTCAGAATGCAAGCACGTTCTCTTCTCTATCTCAATCCATCGCCTTCACTCCTACTCCCGCTTTTCCTCGTCCTCGTCCTCGAGCTCGCTTCGACCTTCCGCCTCCTCCCAGTGATGTCCTCGCCACTCCTGCACCGAGGGTAGAAGCAGAAACCACCCAGCAGCCTGATGATGATGTGCTCGCGACGCCGTTCAACAAACGCCCTTCTTTCCTCCTTTCTGTTATCAATTCGACGGCTCGCCCTCGTATGACGGCAGGTACCCCGCATCCCCGACGGTTCGCTGCTCCTAGCGTCGCTGAATCCACTCCAGCACCTATCTCTGCCGAGACAACTTCTGCTCCAAATTTGCAGTCTGCCTTGGCTGGGGTAACTCCTCGACCCCGCATCGCCATCGCCAGACGCTCATCTCATCCAACGACATCTGCGTCTTCTGGGTCCCGTCCGAGCATTTCGCCTGGCAACGCTCGGCCAGCGATGTGGGCTACGCCTGCGCATTCGTCACCGTATGATGGTGCTGGAGACCGGGCTTCCTTCATCTCGACCGCATCTTCGCATGATTTGACGACTCATCAACGAGCAAATACATCGTTCGACCCAGCCATGGGCTTTGGTGCTGGTGCCCTGGGACATGGAGTTGGGCGGTTCAATGCAGGTAAATTGAATACCTATCTGCACGGTCTCAACAGGAGGTTGCAAGAGGAGAACGAAGCGTTGGTCGAGAGGCTCCGGAGACTCGAGGAAGAGAAGAACGGCGGCCAACCTGGTGACAAGAGCTCCGCCGATTCTGACAGAAGGCTGAGCGGTGGTCGCCGGAGGAGTTCCGTAGGCACAACGCTAGGTAATGTTCAGGAAGACATGGCGGAAGCGTGGCTGGAAGAGAAAGCAGAATTAGAAGAGGTGATCGAGGCATTCAGAACGGAGGCCACGACCTACATGGCGGAGAAGGAAGAGGCGGAAAATGCTCTTCAGCAGGAGAAGGATGAGCGAGAGAAGGATAAGGTTCAGTGGAGGGAGCGGATGGCGGAAGTTGAGCGCGGTGTCTCCGGGATCGTCACGGGCCTGGAAGAGAAGCTGGTAGCGGCGGAGAAGGAAACCAAACGCATCGAACAAGAGGCTACCCGCCAACTCAAGGAGATGGAAAGGGCTGCCGTCTCACTCGAAGGTGAGAGAGATGTCGCGATGGATCGTGCGTCCAAGGCCGAGAGGCTGCTCGAGAATGGCAAAGATCTCGGGGGAGCCTTAAAGGAGGCAAACGAACGTGTTGCCCAAGTTATGGCCGACCTTCGGAACGCTAACGCTCAGATCAAGCAGCTCGGGGATCAAGTCATGGAGTACGACAGCCGTATCGATGAACTCGAGGCCGCTCAGAAAGAGGATGCAGCCATCATCTCTGATCTGGAGCACGAGCTTGCCGCTGCCTCGGACGCCCTTGCTGATGAACGAGTGCGGGTGAGGGACCTGGGGGGCTCTGTCAGGAAACTGAACGAAGACCTTGCGAACACGAAAGAGTACGTGCAAGAGCTGGAATCGGACGCCGCCATTGCCGACCAGCAGATGGGCGAGCTGAAGAAAGACATGGATGCTGCGCAGGAGACGATCAAGATGATGTCTATCACCAAACAGCAGAATTCGCAAGATATCGAAGCACTTGAGAGGGAGGCAGAGGAGGCTCAAGAGAGGGTGCGGGACATGCAAACGGCCCTCGAGGAAGCGGAACGACAGTCTGCTAATGACCAAGAAGTTCTCGCCCACTTAAGAGCTAAGGTTGCCTCCCTCGAGCGAGAAAGGGAGCGCTCTCGCGACATTTCTGCTCCACCCGTCCAGGTCGGACCCAGCGAAGCGGAGTATGACGCCCTGGAGAACGAATTCAACGATGCCGAAAAGGAGATTGCCAGGCTGAACGCTCTATTGAACCAGTCGCCTGCTCGCAAGGCCATCGACATGGCGAAGGACATCAAAATCGAGATGCTGGAACGCGAGAAAGAGGAACTGCTGGAGAGGAATAGGGCGCTCAGGATGACTTTCAATGAGTTCAGCACACCCAACAAGATCATCAACAGCAGTGGCATATCTCCTATCCATCGACAAGTTTTGTCGATGTCTATTCGTGCGCCGAAGACACCAGGAGCTCCTTTGAAAGATGTAGGCCTTATGCATGCTCTTTATAGATCCCCTAGGCTAACGATGTACTTAGTTGTCTTGGCTTAACAGCATTCACGATCCGTCAGTGTCTCCTTTGGTTTCAGAGATCGGTCGTCTACAACAGGAGCTCGATCGCGCCAACGAAAGCATTGACGACAAGTTAGACAAGCTCGAGGATGCAGGGTTGGGGGTCGTTGGGCTTACGAAGATGCTCGAAGATGCCCGAGCGAAGATCATTCTGCTGGAAGACGAAATTGCGCGCTTGAATAGAAGGGAAGAACGTAAAATTCGTCGGCTTGCTCGCGCCCGCTGCCAGAAATGCAACATCAAACTTGACTTGCGTAGCCTCACCCAAGCAGATGAAAGGTGTGTGTTTTTCAATTACTCTCTTGACGTTTCATTCTCAACTTGATGCCTAGCTCGTTCGATATTCCCAAAGACAACTTGCCCAACGAACCTCCTACCCCTCCTACGAGGACGAGTGAGGCTCTCAAAGCAAATATCCAAGCTGTCAACAACCACCTCGAGCAGCTGAAGAAGCAGTGGGAACATGAGAAAGAGAAACTTATGGGCGAGAAAGCAGTGCTCGAAAATGCCGCGAACCGCCTCAATGGGCAGGTGAAGAGCTCCCAGGAACAAGCTCGAAAGGTGGCGGAAAGCAGCAGGGCTGTGGATAAGGCCAAGGCCAACGCTCAGAATGTGGGCAACATATTAACAGTTTCTTTAAATGGGCTAACCGCCATCGACTTTCAGGAGCTCGAGAAGGCAAAACAGACCATTTTAGTTCTTGAAAATGAGCTGACCTCTGAGCGCTCACGCCTGAGGGCCTTGGTCGCTGAACAGGAGAGAAAGGAACGCGAGAAGAAGCAAATTCTAGTTGACATGCAGAGGGCAGAATCTGTGGGTGTTTCCTTATCAAACAACTTGCCGTCCGCCTAGTTGACATTTCTTTAGGATATGGATCTCGTGAAGGAGGAATTTCAGAAAGCGAAGAAGGAAAACGCTTCGCTGGAGAAGGAGCTTCGGGGTAAGACAAAATCAATGTACTCGCATGATAGGATTGACGTTCATTTTTATCGCAGAGAATGCCAATGCTGAGCAGAAAGCTCGTCATCTGGAAGTTCGTGTGGCTGAGAAATTGGAGACTATCGAACGACTGCGACAAGAAAGGTCGTTGCTTGCTGCTGATTACAAAGAACTTCAGCAGCGTTTCACAGCCGTCTCCGAGGTTTGTATCTTGCCTTGCATTTGATCCATCTCTGAATCGAACCTTTTCACAGACCGCAAACAAATTGCGAAAGGAGTACGCCGCCCACTCCACCTCCCACGACAACCGTCGTCACGAACTGGATCTCCACCGTCTCGAGATCGACGAGCTGCGGCGCGCCCTCGACGACCGGGCAGGTGATCTCCAGAGGGCTGAGCAAGAGAAGGAGAAAGTCCTCTCTGAGAAACATAACGTCGTACGGACAGTTGCTGCTCTCGAGGCCGACCTAAAGCGAGTGAGACGGGATGCGGAGGCCTTCGGGAGGGACCTCAAGCTGCTTCGTGCGGAGAAGGAGAAGCTGGAGGCGAAGAGTAAGGAGGAGCTGTCCAAGGCTGAACGCGCAAAGAAGCAGGCCCAAACGCAGATCCGGCTGCTGAACGAGCAGCTGGAGATGCAGAAGGATGAGACGGCCAAGGCGTCGGAGCAGACAAAGAGGCATGTTTGTGCTGCGTGAGCGTCCAATCGTCTCCCCAACAGTCTCTTCTAACCAACCTCTTCCAAACAGAGATGAGACACAGGTCTCCGAACTGAAGCTCCAGCACAACAAGGAATGCAAGGGCCTCATCATTCAGATTCGATACTTGAAGGCCAAATTCACACGCGAGTCGACATTCCGGAATGACCTGACGTACCAGAAGCAGTATCTGCTGATATTGTTGGCTCAATTCGAGAAGAGGTATGGGACTCTTATCTGTCTGCCTTCCTGCTCACGTTGAAAAACTTCTCCGATAGTGAACGCACAATATTTGCTTCCATTGCTCGAATAGGATTTCCTGTGGCCCCTCCTCCTTTAAGGAGAGTGCCGAAATTGAAGAGCGTCGTGTTGACCGCTGTGTTCTTTTTACGAGTGCGGTAAGTTCTGTCAAGACTCGTCCCATTGTACATTTGTAAAATCTGCTTGACCCAGAAAATCAAGCGACAATTGGCGAAAGGAGGGCGAGTCCAAACATGCAGTAGCACAAGCTCTGCAAGACGTTCGACGGAGAAGGGTGGCAGTAAGTTGATGTACTTTATCTTAGTGGTGTAGAGTAGATTTGTTTTCGTGATCTTGTTTTGAGGCTCTGTTTTCGCTTTCGTGGACTTTGTATATTTAGATTAACGTATTGTGTTTGTATAATGCATTTTTGACATCCACCCTGATGATGTTCTCTAACATAGTTGAGCCAAAGGGGAAGATACAACAAAAGAATTCACTTTGGACGCATTTTTATGGACGGTCAGTCTTTGTCTGTGAGACGACACGAACAGCATCTTTGCTGAAAACGTAGGACAATCCGCTCCAGACAGTAGTTGTGGCCACAATCCATCTAGAACGTTATTGAGGGCTAGCGAGCGAAGGGGAGGTGGGGCAGTAACGTACTGCAGGCCTTGTAAAGGTGTTGAGATGTCAAGAGGAAGGATAGGGCTAACAGTTGTGGTGCCCATGAGAAGTAGTTGGAGAGCGGTATTGACCTGCAGAAGTTTCGTTGGACATCCCTCGAAAGCAAACAGGAAGTTGGTGCACATACCTTGCTAATTGTTGTTGGCCGTACCTCGGCAGATGGCAGAGAAAAGTCCCAATAACGCGAAAAGGTTTTCTGAGAGGTTCGGTGAGATACGAAGGTCGTGAACCAAGCCTGAATGACGTACTGGGTGGGGTAGAGTCGAATATCGAATGTAGAGGGCAGAAAGGCTCAACAAGACGTCTCGACCAAGAATAATGACAGCGACAGGCACTGGTGCAGAATCATTTGTCAAATGACGCGCCTTAGAGACATGGGCACGACATACGGGGAATGAGATCCTGCATTGTTAACGTTATGGTCAGTGTCGTCATTAATATTTTGTCGGCAGCTGGGTCTAGGATAGTTCCAAGTACAGAGGACATATTGTATCGACGTGCAAGAAATCCATCTACCTTCAGAAGGGAATTAGGGCACCGAATCATGTGGAGGCAATGGGGACGCACCAGATCTGTTAGACCCCCATACACCAACAGACCAGTCGCAATATAGTAGTTTCCGTCCAAAATAGACCACCCGAGAACAGGACACGCGAGGATTCGAGATAGGGTGAGGATATTGGGTAACGTGTAGATGTTTTCGCGTATTGTCGGTTTGCTCTTGCTTGATCCTGGCGGGTCTTCAGGTTGGCGCGTATAGCGTGTTGTGGAAAAGGCTCGTGTTGGAAAGGGGCGCAGAGGGCGATGGGTGTGGCATGCTGCGAACAAGTGTATTTCTGAGCGACGCACAGCGCTTTGTCGACAAAATGAACGACGGGAACGCTCGAGAATTTGGAAGGAGCGGGTGGCAGTTGTCTTGAACATCTTTGCTCTCTGGCGTGGGAATGCGACCCTCTCGCAGAGTTGCTTTGCCGAGGCCGTGTCGGCGGCTCCGGCCCGACAAATTAGCTGGTGCCTCCAACAAATGTGAAATCACACATCGACGCACTGCATCATTTTCATCCCCCTTCCATCGGGAAAATCCGCTCGACAGAATTTGTCGAGTTCATATCAGTCGAGGTTGTCGTATTTGGGATGCTCGAAGTCGCCACCATCTTCGCAGACGAAGAATCATGAAGTTGCCAGCAACCTTTCCTACAATCCTTCTAGCCCATTTACTAGGCCACTAATCTTGAAATTTAGTCATGAGTTTTAATACAGCGTATCGTTGTATCTCCAAACCTACATACAGATTTGCCGTCTTTAATTCAACACGGACGTCGAGGCTAACAAGTTGAACATTTAGACATCGGAGTGACTGTCGGTCAATACATGAATGTGAACAGTACACTGAAATTTGCTGGAAAACTCTCGAATCAGAGAGCCAATGGTGGTAGCCTCTAGTGCGATAGGAACTGGACTTTCTATTGAACTTGAAAGCAAGACTGTTACGATGACTACGGAGATTTTTGGGATCTGACGCATAGGAAAACGTGTGGGCAAGAGGCATCCCCGACACGTCGATAGTAGTAGCAAAAATCTCCCAGTAGGGGTGCATTTTAAGAAGGGCGTAAGGTCAAGTATCGGCTTTGTTCCGAGTCGGCATTTGAAGCGATAAGCGCCCACTGCTTCAAGCACGTGCGCCAAGCACAGATACTCCTAAAGGCCCCGCGGGGGCCACTGAAAGGCCAAAATACTTCGCTACGACGAATCGGCAGGTGTGCATGTAGTATTAGTATCTTCCTTGCCTTCTTGTGCTGACTTGTCGAGATTAACTCATCCTTCGCGAGACCCAGTCATTTCTTGGTGTGCTGCTAATAAATAGCATTCTCGGAGAAATAGTAACATCTGCATTGGAGAAATATACAAAGATTCTCCTGGCGAGATAAAACGGCTAAATGAGTAAATTCGAGTTGAGTCAGAAGGGTGTTTCCTATCTCAAGAATTCTTGCGTTTCTCTTTCGTTCTTTCAACAGCATGTGTGTTCAATTCATTGCCTTTCTCGTCGCCTTTCAGAAGGGCTGTATTAAAATACGGAGATTGAAACATATATACTCGCCTCAGGTTAACGCTTCAATCTCATGATTCCACGTCAAGAATATTATTAATTGCAACGCGCGGTCCAAGTAGAAGTGATTGGAATGGCACCGCCCACGTAGGCGGATATCGGCATACACACATGGACGACGACTTTTATAATACAAAGCGAGCGATTACAGTATAACGTGATCGCACACCAATTCTATCCTACAGCTGGTAACGGAATTCAGGATGCAAGTACCCAAGATTGTGCTGCTGTTCCGCCGTCTTTCCCACTATGCGATGGTCGCGCTTGCCCTGATCACGTAGTTTGTTCTCCCGGATGAGGTAAAAACCTAGGAGCGTAATAGAAAAGAAATTGGTACACGCCGCCGCGACATTGAGAGAGTTGCCTCTGTAATAGTTCGGGGCGTCCTTGGGGACGTACGTCCAGACCCTGCGGAACGAAGAGAGGAGGGGAAAGAGAACAGCCCAAAGCTCGGGTCAGTCCTATGGTGTGCGAACGAGAGGGCGAAGGAAGGTCAGGAGACGCACGCAATGATCGACCCTATCTGCCCGATGCCTGGGACGAGAGCAGTCGTCACGGCTCTCATTGTGTCGGGGGCCGAATTATCCGTCGTCCAGGTCAGGAGCTTCGAATGGTTCAGGCGCTCACGCGAAAAGGCAGAAGAGATATAAGGGTAACACTTACCAGTGGACCGACAGGAGCGCCACAGCCGACGTTTAAGAAACATGCAATATACCTGGTCGTTCGTGAGCACGCTGTGCGCCTGAATGCTAGGAAGGGGCATAAGGATGTGTGCTGACCGTGCAGCGGGATTCTTGGTGCCAACTGCGATTGAGTACCCGACTATCATCGGCGCGACAGACCAGAGGACGGGGAGCCACCGCTGGCGCATGCGGAAGCTCACCCAGGCGGTGCCAACGGCCCATAGAGCGCCTAGAAGGTATGGCGGTACGCTTCGGAGTTGGACTTCGACAGTGGCTAGAACATCGTGTAATTGGACAACTCGAGAAGGGGGGGCAGGGTGAGACGCACTGAAGTGTCCGACTGCGAGAGCGTCCCATAAGATCAATAATTAGTTGGAACGATAGTGAATCGACGCACGAGTGTTGACGACTGTGGGCAAGAACAGGCTCAAGCCTTGGAAGGAGATGTTGGCCAGCATGAACGCTAGAGAACACACGATCGTCTAGAGCGCATCGTATTGGTCAATCTTTTTTGTCATGAATAAAGGAAGAGTATACATGAAGGTTGCAGGATTGAATAATGAGCCTTAGCGAGGTCCGTTCTTTCTTGCCGCCCATTTTCACTGTCTGGTCGGCGTCGAGCCGGGCGATGACCATAGCCCGCTCTTCTTCGTTGAACAGCCGTGTTGTAGTCGGGTCTCCGGGGATGAAGAAGAGAAGCAACAGCCCGACCACGGTGGTTAGGACGCCTGGGGAAACGCATGAAAATATGTACAGGAGACATGGCATTGGCTCGTACCTTCGATGAGGAATATCTGGTGATGAAAATATTGAATATCTGCCATAATACTCATCGGATATAGTACGAACCTTCCTCCATGTTGTCACAATCCCGAAATCCGGGATGCTGAGCAGTCCTGATGCAAGTAGCCCGCCGACTGTCGCACGAAGGTATGACCCGTGAGTTTCTCCTTGCAAAACGGAAGTGGATAAATGACACTGACAGGCTCCAGCGAGACACGGCGACAGTCCATGGAAGATACCCATTCGCATTATAAGCTCGTGTCTCCGGTAAAACTACACATGGACGAAGGGCGTTATCAATTCAACCATCAATACAAGTGGAGACTTAACCCAAAGTGATGAACTTACCCTTGCGAGCAAGTATACGAGACCTGACTAATCGCGCGCCCAAGGCGAGTTAATCACCCGTGCCATAAGATGGACGAGAAGCGGCGCACCAGCGTCCCTCCTTCTGTGATGCCTAAAAATACCCGCGTCACGAGGAGCTCCTGGTAGGTCTTCATGAACGCGGAGCCAATTGCGACAACCCCAAAGCCGATAACGAGAAAGGCTATCCAGATTGACCCCCAGTGCTTCAGGGCGAGGTTGGAAGGAACTTCGGAGAGAATATACTGGGGGTAATGAGATTGGGAACCGAGTGGGATATGGAAGGACAAACGAAAACGTAGAAGGTGGTCAGGGCTATGTTGAGGTCATAGCCTTGCATCCCGAGTTCTCTTTCGAGACCTGGGGTGTCAGTTAGCTAACAGTCCGAGCCTTCCGCTACTGCAGACGATTGTCACCTGCAATGCGGGCGTTCCCTGAGGACAATGAAGTTAGATATTGCTGTGGAGTAGGAATGCACGTGAAGCATACCTATGGCTGTTCTACATTTTTACCAATGTTATCACATCTGGGTCATAGAGGAAGAGACAGGTCGCTGTACCTGTCGATGAAGTTCAAGCAATCTATAATCAAAATGGTGAGACTCTATTATGTTAACGAGGACGATGCACGTACAGATCAGTGTGAACATTGGCAGGAGGGCTAAATCGATTTTGCGAAGGAGCTTCCTCTCCGCCTCAGGATCGACGACAGGAAGAGCAGCAACAACCACATCCTCTTTCGACTTTGACACGTCCGATGTCGTAGATTTAGCGATCTTATCCTCTCCGTCGACGTGCTCTATCGCGACTTTCTCGGAATCCATGTTTGATGAGGAGAGGTTGGCGGACGAGACGAGTTTAGAACAACTTCGGACTCTTGCTGTTATATGTCGCGAACGAAACACTCTTCCCGAGCGAGAAGAAGGGTCATGGGAACGGTAGAACAGTTCTCATCCAGAGAGATAGAAGAATGACTCCGGGGGACAGAGAAGCGAGCGACCATCGTACTCGTTTCCAAATCCGAATGGGATCTGTGAAGATGAACAGAGATGCACCAGGCGTGTGAAGTAGCAAAACGAAAGCTGCTAGGGGAAAGCTACCCAATTTTGAAGCGAACGATAGGGAGAATTAGATAGATAGCGAGTACGTGAACACAGAGGCAAATGACCTCCAACCTCTGTTGACAGTAGCCACGAAAAGACCGCCTTCCCAGGAAGCTTAACTGCCTGGGACACGAGAGCAAGATCAGAAGCGGCAAATGGCCATGTGAGATAGATGTCGAACTGTCGACGGAGTTTCTGCGCTGCTCCTTCGAAACTGAATTCACCAGGTGGACGAAGGAAAAAGGGCTTGACTTGTCACTTGAGCCACGTATGTAGACGGAAAAGGTAAATCCATTTTGCCGCCCGATCGGACGCCACACAGTTTGGGCCGAGCTTGGCACTCATGTTTTTGAAGTTCTTGCAGTGGTTTTTGAGAAACGAGGCTGTTGATGAACAAGACGATTTTGGAGGTTTGAACACGCTGGAATTGAAAAATCTTATCTTATCTTCGGAAAGTGCCATGGATCCCCACAAAGCAAGGCTACGACCGCAGCGCGTCCTCCTTGTCCCAACCGTCACCGTCATGCCCTTACCTCTTACACTAGTTCGTCAAGTACCACGGCCTATTCAGTACATACAGGCTCTATTTCTCTTTGGATTCTTTCTATGTGAATCTCTTTCCTGCTCCCAAAAGGCTCGCACCATCGACTACGCGCCCCTGCAGTTCCTCTCTACGAGTCCATCTGTACGAATGCGCAGAACGAGGTGATGGAAGAGACACGTTACATCTTCTACCACTGGTCCACCCAGCGTCTCACTGGGAGCCCCGACCCGCAGCGATGACCCTACCCGCTACGCGGTCCTCGAGACCTTTAGGCACGGAGGGCGTTTAAGGGGAAGGTGTTAGGTCCGATGACTGTTGGATCTCAAGCAATTCGGGAATTTTTGATCCGTCGATGGGAGGACCTCTGGCCAGAGGGATTGGCTACTTCTGTCCAAACGTCGACTAGCCACAATGGTGGCTGACTGCAACTGGGCTGGATATAAGTCAGCCTCGGGTCAGCCGCTTGTCAGCCAAAGTTCGGCGAAGGCTGGTCGGGCGGCTTTCGACACTTCGATTAAGGCTGCAGCTAGTACTGGAGGCGAGATATAAAAGCAAGATACCCCCATCTCCTTGCCCTCTTCGTTAGCTAATTCTTCTGCCTCCTCGGTCTAGGGCGTTTCCTTGGGGCGGTTTCTCCTACATTGCACTATCTCGCCGAAAACGCAAACTCATCGACATGTAACGTACGTTTTCTTGTCAGCATCCGTTACTTAGGCTTCGACGAAGACAGTTCCGCTGTTGCCTCTTTGTTCCACCTCCTCATCTTGGTCCCGTTTCTCCGACGTTGATCGGCGAAGAGGTTGAGCGAATAATCGTCGAGGTATCCGCGATCCTACATGCAAGGGTCATCTGGACCAGCACGTCGGCGAGAGTGGAGCATAAATTCCCCCTACCCCTCGTGGTCGAGAACTCGACGTCCTTCGGTATTCAGTGCACCTTACCGCTTCGAGCACTTTCTTCCCTAAGGTAACTCTTCCAGCTGGTCTCGAGCGACGATCGTCGTCGCTCGTCTTCTCCAGGTTAATGCGTTTGCAATGGATCGAATGTAACCATCGATTGGACAGGACGACAAAAATAGACGGTCGGTGCGAGGACCGTGGCAGAATTGGCGCACAATGAGCGGTTCTACCGACTGCATCCTCGATTCCTTTTACTGGGCGTGGATAATTGGAGGAATGGCTTCTTCCTCCGACGTGCGGGCCAAAGATATTCTGACAAATCATGGGTGAGCACAAGCCCACAAAATCTTGCTCTCCCTCGACGGACGAGAATTCGAAGCGACGTTCATGATCAGGCGATATGGTTATGATTCGAGAGAATCTCCGTCGAAACTGAAAGAGGAAAATTACCACATCTACAACCAAAATCGCTGCTTTATTCAGAGGCAAGAGATGTGCATGTGAAAGGCGCGACAAAAACAGAACCGACCCCACACCCGACGCGTCTTAAAGCCAAGCGCCATTGTGTCTTATAACGACTTTGAATTTTCACGACCCCAGGGCGCTCGTAGCACCGTTCATCGCGTCTGGTACGTAGACTCGATCTCTGCGCCGTCGATAAGGTTGCGTTGGTTTTTGGCTGGGTTTATGGACTGAAGCTTAGGGCTTGCTCCTAGTCGTTCACAGACCCAGAATATGAGTTCGAGGGAACAAGGCCAGGTCCAGGGCGGTCCTCAGCAGACCTTTGTGCATATGTTCTTGAGATCTTCCTCACCAGCTGGAACCGCCAGTCCGCCGCATACACCCTCAACATGTCCAACGCCCACAGGACACGGACGCCAGCGAACCCTCGTATACCGTCTCGTACACCGTATGGTTCTGGTTCAGCACGAACGCGATCATGTCTGTGTTGATCCAGCCGCGTTACAGGTGTTTCGCAGTGAGGGCGGTCCTACCGGTGAGAGGGGAAAGGAGAGGTTTAGCGAGCTTGGTGTGTTTGGAGAGGTCGGCAAAGCCTGTGGAGGTGGGTGAAGGCGAGGGGAGAAGGACGAGGGTGAGGGAGGGTACGGCACCATTTGCGTCGATGAATTCTTTTCGCGTTGCCGGAGGTTTGGACGAGGATGGCTTGGTGTCGGAGGAAAACTTTCAGTTTATATTGCACACTTCATGGTGAGAGCAGACACAACTTGACGCGACGCCGCACGGTCTATGTACGTTCGACGAGGACAAATGATAGCTACCCAGTGGGGTTTGCGCGGCCAAGATTCAAGGACGCAAAAAAATAAGGTGAGCTTGGCCAATTTCGGGCCAGCTTCGATGACAGATGGTGTATAGGATTCGCTCGATGACAAGTTTGATCTAGCCACTGTCATCGAACGTCCGCCAAAAATATGAGGGCCTTACGAGATGGAAGGATGCATCATGTGCAGTACAAGTCCTTCGAGCTTTCAAAGGAGAGGAGCAGAGTCTAAGAATGAGATATACCTCAACGGCGATCACCAGCGGCAGAGGGCGGTGTTGTAGCACTTTTCATCACAAAACAGGGCTTCTGCCTCGAGAGTGTTTGAGCGGGGTGGGTGATTTCGGAGGAAGCGGTGCAGCGATGCCATGTTTAGGTCTTCAGGTCGGTGGGTGACGCGGTCGGCAGGAAAATGAAGGGCTGAAGGCGAAAATTTGGCGGTAGGGTCGGCGAGACCTCGAGGCTACATAGGAGGGCTGTTACCAGGAGACGCCGGAGAAAGTAATTAAATGCAGGGGTAAATGCTCTGTGTGCCGTGCTTCCCACGATCAGACTGCACAGGAAAGCCTGTTGGGCAAATCAACCGTGTTTCTTGTCATGCACGCTCTCTAGTTCACCTCGTATACTCTTCGCCGTTGTCTCTGTGTACTTCTGTTGAAGTGCTGAGCCGCCCCCACCACCACATCCACGATTGATAGCCTCCAAACGATGTCAGACACCGTTAGCCTTCGCAGCGCAGGCTCGCGGGCCAGCGCCTTCCTCAACCGCCCACAGCTTGCACCTATGGGCCCGCGCACGCGCCAGAGCGCCAGTATTCGTTCCTCGCGCATCGTATCACCACAACCCATCCGCAACCTCGATCTCGAGGAATTCGGAGGGATGAATACCGGCGCACTACCACTCTCACCACCGCTCTCACCATCCCTCTCCCCTGCCCTCTCCCCTGGATCGCCCGTGTCGTCGTTCCGCTCAGACCCACCCTCGTTGGCTGCTGTGTCGGAGGAGCCACCACGATCAGCGTCCCCCATTCCAGAGAATACGGTGCCGGCGTATAAACATGAATCAGAACCAGAGCCGGAGCCAGAGCCAGAATTGCCGCCCCCGTCCACCTCGCAACAACCCCAAGCACCCCCTCCGGCGAAAGTCGTAAAGGTTGCGGCAGCGCCGAAGCTAGTGCCACCTCCAGCCATCAACTTCGATACGACTCCAGTGCAGTGGAAGGGACTACCGTTGGACGCTGCCTTATGTACGCCTGTGGCCTCATTTCCGCCCCGTGTAGCTGACCTTGTTTTTAGGGACGGTCGAGTCAACAGAGTTGCAGCAAACTGTTTCTCGAGCGATACGTGCCTCGGGGCGCGAATCGTTCGTCCGTCTCCTCACTCTCGACAACCTCGACAAAGTGCTACCCGCTGAACTGGAAAGACTATTAGCCTCGAAGGCCATGACACAATCAAAGTATCGATTTCTAGTACATCGACGAACAATGCTCTTCCAAGCTCTCAATTCGACCTCACTCGGGCAACAAAAAGATGGAGACGATGGGGTGTCTGTGGTTAGCAGGCTCGCGTCGCAACTGGCTGAGACCATCACTGGGTGTGACAAGCACTTGGAGGAGCTGTTGAGGATCAACGACCACATAGCACAAATAAACAGGCTCATAGATCTTCACTGGTCAAGCGCACTGGCCATTGCTCTGCGAAAGGTGTGTCGCTAATCTGAGCTTTCCCACCGTTTTTATCTGATCTTCTTTGTGTTCGCAGCTCAATGGTAGCTATTCTCGTCGAGTGAAGGACGTCCAGACTGCTAAGGAGCGGATAACGCAACTGGAAGCGGAGCTGGAGGACGCCTGGCATGAAGCCGAGAAGATGGCGAAGGAGCTGGATGACTACGAGCAGGCCATCGAGGCAGACGACACCGAAGCTGTCATTGAGACGGCAGAGATCGTGCCCGTGCCAAAAACTCCCATCCAGACAAACACATCACTGCCTCCCCTCAACCGACGTAATTCCATTCCGATGACGCCCACACTGATGGCCATATCCCCCATTCCATCGCATACACCCCCTTCAACGACTCCGCTGTCACCGCTACCTTTGCAGACCTCCTTCGTCTTCCCGCCCCAAGTGCACCTCAAGGCGAAGGAGGCCGAGGCGCCGGAGGATGTTCCTGACACGGTTAGTATCCGGAGCGGACGAAGTACGCGCAGTGGGAAGAGTGGGAGGAGCCAGAACCACGTATCGTCGGTATATGCGGCAAAGACGCGCAGCCATCGAAGATCGGAAAGCAGTCTAAGACTGAACACGCATGTGCGCAAACACAGCGGTGCGAGCACCCCCGGTGGACGCCTACGTACACCTTACGACGACCAACCACCCGTGCCCGAGCTGCCTTCCCAATATTCCGCTTCTACCTCGATCCCGACAGCTCATGGGAATGCGCCGCTGGGAATGAGCAATCACGCACAGAGTGCAGCAGATATCGGTGCTTCTGCAGGTGTCGCAGCCCTCAGTCGAGTATCAACGAATTCGTCAAATGTCATGCACGCGCCGTCGGCCAATGCGTCCTCGACGGTCCTGCACCACCACTACCGCCCCGAATTCGAATTCGACACCCGCATCAACCCGCACCTACGCCGGCAGGCGAGCCTTGACACCGTGTGCACGAATGGGCGGCGGCCACCCGGCTATGCGCAGGAGGAGGCACGGCATGGGCGGGCAGCAGACGACCTCTATGTTCGAGGGCACGCCCACAGGAACAGCGGCTCACTGCTGTCGTATGAGTCCTCGATACGCATGGCGCAGAGCTTTGACTCAACGATCGAGGCCGTGCCGAGGACACCACCGTACAAAGGCAACGCCCACCGGCAGAGCAGCCAACTGCACTCGGTGCTGGCGTACCATGAGGGGTATACGACGGGCAGGGTACCATCGGGTGTGTTCCGGTCAGCGACGGCATCCCCTCATGTACCTGCGAAGGGCATCCCCACGATGTGGATGAACGTGGACGCGGTGCCCAAGTCGGTGCATCCCGCCGCCGCCCCCGTAGCAGCAGCGGGGCACTCTCGAGCGGCGACCTCACCAACGATCGCGTCGAACTCGGGGTCATCGCCATCGCCTACATCCCCGATCGCGTTCTCCGGAAGCTCGCCTCTCGCCTCTCCTCTCTCGCCGTCAAGGAAGTTGCTCGCAAATGCCAACGGGCATAGCAATGGCTGGCCAATTGTGAATTTGAGCAAGCTCAAGTCGTCCACGTCCAACCCCAACCTCCTCGAACCGAGCGGGAGTGTCTCGAACTCACCCTCGGCGTACCATCCCCCAGGCCCTCCAGAGTCGTCCTATGTCGGCTCGGAGGGCTCGGAGCAGTCGCAGAGCCACGAGCACGGACTTGGCCTGGGATTTCTGTCCCGGCATGCGAGCACAGCAGGAACGAGTACAGGTGCCGGTGCCGGAGCGAGGAACTCGACATACAGCAAGCTGAGGGGCCTGACAAAGCGTTATTCGGTGTCATTGCCAATGTTTAATTCCAAGTTAGCGCAGGTGCGGTCGGCGTCGACGAGGAGGAGCGGTTGAGCTGCTTTTTCTTCAGAGTTGAGGTCTCCTCTTTTCCGCGTATTTTTTTCCATCTGCGTTTTTCTTCTGCCCTCTTTTCTTATATCTGACAGTGTCCGATCTTCTCATTCTGCTACTTCATGTTCTCGAAGGTCTATCCAACATACCACCAATTCCAATACCGATACCACAGCACCACTACCCACGACATGCAGACACGCAGACCCACGCCCACCTGGCACTCGATGTCCCAACCTAGCCCCTGTAACCACCACCAACGCCGACACTCAACATTACCCAACGCCCTTCAGTGCCAGACACGCCCCACACGCCCGCTAATTCAAATTCATGTCCATTGCTCCTCTTATTTATTCACTTTTTTTTCCCTTTTACAGTCCTGACACTACCATACGAAGCCACTCCTTCCACGTCTGTATACCACATCCACGCCCACATAGATCTGCTGTACGAATCTGCATGCCAGATGATATCGATCATACCTCACTCCCTTACTCTCTTTATACCAATGTCTTCCGAGCGCTTTTTCATTATTTTGTCGTTATGCAATCATTTTTTCTTTAACGTTTAAGTTTATTCGTCTTACAGTCACTTCACTCGCGCATGTCGTATACCACAGTAATTCCATCATAATGTGTACTGAAAAAAAAAAAAATTAACACCACCCACAGGTTGACGTTGGTTGAAACTTGAACATAACCCGGAAAAAACAATCGTTTGTAGATGAAGAGACACTATTGTACAATTTGAAAGTATATGTAAATGCATCCTAGTAGATAGATTTCTTCTTGGTCCAGCAGACAGAGCTCCTCATGAAACACTCTATTCCTTCACTTCCGCCAACTTGATCGCGCCAGCGTTATTGATGACCGTGAAGGTTGCAGTTCCTTTGGTCTCTTTTGTCGCGTTGACGTTGGCGGGTAATCCCTCTGAGCCGAGCTTTCCGGCAAGGGATATCGCGCGTCCGAGGGTGGCGACCTAGTACAAACATACGTTTATTAGCATTTATCAAAGGCTTCAAGAATGATTGACGCATACATTGATTTCAACGGAGGAAGTCACCTTCGAGAGAAGGCCCATTACTCCACTAAAGCAGACAGAATCGTCAGCAGGTTGTATATCGGCTTGGAAGAATGGAGAAAGCTGAACACATACCCAAAGATACTCTCTGCTAACCTATGCTCTGGCCTCTGCGCTCCGGCGAGGAATCCAGGGCGGAAGACGATGGTGTCGGCATATCCTAGCTCGGCGAGACCTTGCTCAGTGAGGCCTTTGCTTCGGGGGTAGAGGAAGGGCGAGTTCGGGTTGGAACCTGTTGACTAGAGAGACAAGGGTTGGAATGCGAACCTGGGAGGGGTAGAGAGCGACTCCGACGTACTGAGAGGTATACAATGCGTTGGGAGGTGTTTTCTACGTTGCGCGCCTCCTTGGCCGCGTTGATGACATATCTGTTGAATGTCGCATGAAGCAATGAAGAGGAAGGGCTTCAGCAGAGGACATACTCTCTGTCAATCTTCTCGAATGCCTGGGCACTTCCAGCGGCTGCCTTTGTCGTGCCCAATCTACGAGTTTGCATCAAGAATACCAGTAAGATTCCTCCTCTTTGTCGAAGCATATCTGGCCCAACGTACGTGATAAAGATAACGTCCCACTTTCCCTGCTTCAGTCCCGACTCCCCCAACTTCTCAAAATCAATGACTTTCTGCTCGAGCTTATCCTGGCCAACAGGGATCTGGTCCGTCGGGGTGACGCGACGTCCGTACTCGCCCACGCGGGAAAAATGGGGCGAGGCGAGAAGGTTGGCAAGGAGGTGCTTGCCTGTCGCGCCTGTGGCTCCGATGATGAGAGCACTTTGGGATGCTGGAAGTTTGACAACAGTTCAGGTGTAAGCGGTTGATCAAAGGACACAGGTAAAGGTACTTACCCGCCATTTTGTGTAATGGTTTCTACGTTGTTGATAAATGAAGGAGGAAAGGAGACTGTAAGCTCGACTGTAAGCAGTGAGCAACGCCTGGTCGCCCAATGACGTTTATCTTCGGCTTGCCGGCCAACTCGGCTAGGCAACTTATCTCCATCCAACAACATCTCCATCTCCAATAAGGTAGGGCATGAGCTATGGTCCACATCGACGCTTCTTGATTTTGAACCATCACCATCCGGCCGTGGGAATTCGTCGCCCCCACCATGGCCGCGCTCTACACTACCGAACTCCTCTCATTAATCGGCATCGTCCTCCATCGGGCCCCACTCATTGCCTGATTCCTTATCTATTCATTAAACCAACACCTTTTCTTATTTATCGGAGAAGATCGCGACTTCGGCGTGGTTGTATCCCAATCGCTTTGTTGGAGGCCCGAAGACCTTGTTTACAACAACCTCAAAGCGCAACTGATGGCCCTACTTGACAGGCAGCCCGTGTACCGTCTTGCTCTGCTTCGCGCAGACCTTTCGGGGGCGCAACCTAGTCATGGAAGGCAACCCATGGAGGGAGGAGGCTAGTCTCCGATCATCAGCCGTGTTGCCTATGATCCGGCTACACCCCTTGGGGAGAAACACTAGATATTCGACCGCCTTCGCATGGTAGGGGGATGCTACAGGATGCGTGCCTTAGGGTTTGGGAAATGGGGGAGGAAAGCGGGTGGGGTTGTATCAGAGGGCGGAAGGCATAGTGGAAGGCAGAGTCACTCGTTTCAACATTTCACTTCCAAACCATCCAATCTCATTAGGGGTACTTAGCACCTACATGTGCTGCCCCCGTCAATGGCGTTGGCCCGGCACACCAACCATGCAGGCGACTGACGGCTTGGAAGCTTCGGCGCCCAATGCTGGGAAGGACTAACACCATGAAGCCCTTGATTGTTTAGATTCGGCGAACTGCAAGGAAACTGGTCAGCTCTCACCAACTGTCTCAACAGCTGGAAGCTTCGGCGCCCAATGGGGCTTCAACCAAAGGCGGCGGGTCGAGGGATGGGATGATGAGGAGGGCCGTTTAGGTGTAGCCTACCTCCAAGGGACTGTGATCGAACACCCTATTTTTTGTGTATTTGGAGTACGTCTAAAATACACCCTACGTGGAAGACTTCAAAAAAAAAAAAAAAAAAAAGCTATGGTCCACATCACCTGACGTGACATGGCAGTGACCCCTGCCAAATCGATCAGTCACCTCCATCATTTTCGTGTTTGGGCCCGAAAGTAAGTCCCATGGGGCACTTTTTTGGCTCAATTTTACCCAAAAGCGCTTCCAGGAAAGTGTTCAAAATCAAAATCTAAACACTTCCTTGCAAATAGTTTTGGGATATTTGCTCCCCTCGCGATGCCCCATGGGAAATACCGAAATTGTCACGATTTTCATGTGATGTGGACATTAGCTCATGACCTCTACCTTATGTATACAAGCAGCCACGGAGAGGTCGTGGCAGCAGTCATTTCGCGGTCCTCCTCCATCAGATACACAAGAACGTGTTACGCTCGCTATGCTGCCTTAGTCCGGTCGTCAGGAACAGGGAAACCGCACATGAACGACGAACTCACATACGAAGACAATTCTATATGCTCCCGTTAATTTGGGCTCTCTTAGTGGAGAGGGTACGCTCAAAATGCAAAGGCAATTTCTTTATTCTTACCTCCTCATGGCATTAGGGTATTTCAAAGTTGGCAAAGCGGCCGATTTGAAATGGCCGATTCAATTCACTTGTGACAACCAGCTGCTCGGAGTTTGAACTACCGATGGCGTCATGATGGGCTTTTCACTGCGAATAGCATCCGCATGACAGTGGAACGGCCGGAGTTATAGGTCAATGAGTTATAGGTCGATTGCTAAAACTCAGATCCGGATCTGAGATGATCGCTGCCTTATTCGGCGTCCGGCTGGCCACAAACCCCCCAGACTGACGAGCGAACACAGGGAGACCCAGGTCACCTCTGACACCATAAAATAGCTATTCCTCCTTGCATTTCATGACTGTTTAATGGCTGGCTCACGGCTAAGTACAGCTTTTTGAATTCCTATAATATCTTATCTAATCTCCAACTTCACCCCGTAACTGCACACCCACTGTGCGACGGGTGAAGCCAGAGTGCCATAAATACGTGTCAAATTCCCTTCAAAGATTGGGCCCACTGGTGAGCCAGAGACAAGGTGGTGCCACTGAGAACCAGGTGGTAGGTGTAGACTTCAGACATAAGTTGAACGACCACTATAGTAGAGAATTCGGAATGAAATGCTCACGTTTTTCCCGCCACTGCAATCCATCTATTTTTGGATGAAAGCATGAGTCTGTCCTTCACAATTTAATTCACGACAGCAGAGAACTTACTTCCAGAGTCTGCATAGAGCACCAATAGTCTCCTTGATTCAGGCATGTTGGTAATTTATTTGTTGAGTGTAAATGATTGTGTCCCTGCAGAAATGAGGCTCGATGGTTTCATCCACCTCGTCAGTACGAAAGCCTGTCAGCTTTCTAACATGGGTTGGATACAACCCGCCCAAACCACCTTCATGAAAGGAATGTCCGAACATGCATAGAACCTACTCATTGAGATTTTGAATCATTATAAGTACATTTATGTGGGTAGAAGATGGGAATGAGATGGAGCATGGCTGCGTTGCAAAAGAGACCCTGCCCTCCTCATAGAACTGTAGGTGAACTTCATCCGTGTGGCATATTACTCGCGTCTCTGAGGTGAAGACATAGACGACTGTGCGAAACACAGTCTTTCCCCCCCTACTCTAAAAAGAGAACAGAAGCGACCTAGAGCAGGAACAGGTCATGACACACCTAGTTTGAGGCAGTTGGCCTGTTCACAAACGGCAGTTGTAGAGCGCCGTTTAGTTCGAGGACAGTGATGCTTCAATTTCAGCAACCACTGAGGCGCGTACTAGCCACTCTCTGTGCGGATGTCAGAAGCACTGGCCTTTGTACATCAACAACCCCTGTTCACCTTTGAGAACGATGGTGCATCAGCTCCAGCACCAGGGATGAGATACAACCCACCCACATAGCCACCCAACCTTTGTTCTCCACTGCTGCCACAACGAATCAACAAGTGTTAGAGCCCTGGAATTGAGGCGCAGCAACAGTGGGCGATGTCTGCCACAATGTTCACAAGGGGTCAGTACGGCCATGTATGAGGAGTGTACAAGAGCCCTACCATGTGTACCGACACCCCAATGACTACCACGATGACGAAGAGCTTCCCGAGACACGGTCAGCACAGTTATGGGTGTGGAGACGACGGTTCGAACACAGGTGGGTGCTGCTCTCGATCACCCTGGATGGATCTATGGTCAGGCTACATAGCAGGGAGGAGAGGGTCAACATGTACTGCCTGCATTCATTTGTGTTCTTCCTCAAATGCAAGTGCTTACCGTACCTCCAGATGGCATGGCTTCTGTGTCCTGAGGCAATACCGCAAGACAACACATAAAGCATGAGCGTGACAGGGACAAGCCCTTCAAATAGTGTAAGTCCCTAGTTCGCAAGCTCAAAAAGGTGATCATGCTTACTGTGTGGATAGATGCACATGGAGAGGACATCCTGCATACCCCCTTCAAGCTCGACCAGAATGTTGAGGCCTCCACAGATCTCCGTTGATGCAGAGTCGGTCGTGTTGTGGCCTTTCAGTGCATCAGGAGACAGGGCCTCGGCCAGGGTGATACCCTGGATGGTTTTGAGGATTTGAGGAGAGGATCCGCTGACCCAGATGAACACGCTGAGCAAGAGAGCCAACTATCTGCTCAGCTGAATGCGCTGCTCGGTGAAAGGTAGTCGTCCTATGGTGCACCGGTGCTTGTCATGAACGGATGCGACGTGTTACGCATCGAGGAGTGGCCTGGGTCCTGGGTGTGAGAATGTCTGCGGAATCAGCCGTGATCTCAGATCCTGGATCTGAGTTTTAGCAATTGACACATCACTGGAAATAGGGTATTTCAAAGTTGGCGAAGCAGCCGATTTGAAATGGCCGATTTGATTCACTTTTCAGAACAGGTCGTTCGGAATTTGAACTACCTGATGCGAGTGATGGGCGACATTCCGGCAGGACAAGTTGACATTTCATGATGAGTCACCGTTAACAGAGCGCCACGACGGAGGCGGGTGCTTCCTCAATGCATTAGACAGCGAGCAAGATGTTTTCACCATATATCCTTCAACTTCATCCCTTTCTCTTAGAAATTTTACACTATCATTGCGGTCATCTAGGGCTATCAGAATACATATATTTTGCTGCTTATGAAGGAGAACACTCCCCTCAAGTCATGAGATAAACTCGCATCTTTTGTGAGGTATTGCATGGAGTTCCCACCTTCTATTGACATCTAAATGCGACTTTTATGCCCCATAACAATAACCATTCATTACAGGCCAAAAAATTAGGTCAAAGAAAGAAGGGGTGTTCATATTCTCTTACTCGCTGTCAGGCTTGATGAGCAAGTGCCTTTCTCCATCACGGAGGCAACCTTGGTGGCCGTTCCAGTGATGTGTCGATTGCTAAAACTCAGATCCAGGATCTGAGATCATGGCTAGTCCCAGGCACTCTCACACAGCCAGGACCTAGGTCACACCGCACACGTTGCATTTGCTTACTCATGGGTGGGAAATTGGGGCCAAACTGACCAGCATCCAAGGTCAACATCTGCACGACACCCACTTACCTTCACTGAACTGCACTTTCAGCTGAGCAGATAGTAGGTGCTGTTGCCCATGGTAGCATCTCTCCAAAGGGGCACACTCTGAGCCTCTGGTACCTTTGAATCAGGTGTGTAGATTCAAACAGGTTCTGCTACATATCCCAGATCTCTAACCTACTCTCAGAATGCTGTTTCTCCCCTAATGCTCCGTGAAGACTACTATATGCTGAAATGAGGTCCTCAGGGACCACCTTGTGAATACTTTCATAGGGTGACTCCATGTAAGCCCCTGTCTCTTTGCGGCTTTCTGTGTCATGCTCATCAGTGCTGATAACCCTTGTGGCATCCTCCAGTGACCTTTCCTCGCTCTCAAGCAAACTGCCCGGATACTCAAGCAAGTCATTCCATTCGCCAGCGGCGTCAATTTCACTGATGCCGTCCCCTTCGCTGATGCTGCCCCACTCGTCAATGCCACCCCACTCACCAACATTGCCATCAAGGGTTACGCTCAAGCTATCTTCAGGGCTGCTCAACACACTGTCAATAGTCTCCTCCAGCAACTGCCTTTGTGTTGAGACTTGAGGGAAGGTGGAGGTATAAGAGGAGGGCATGGAGGGCCTGGGGTTTGACAAGGAAAGGGGCACCGGCTGGATGCTTGAGGATGGGATGTTTGGCAGGGTGTTTCCTGGCTGCGTACGAGTGGTTCGTGTATTTTTCCCCTTTGTCTGGACTTTGTCTGCTTGACGCTTTTGTTGTGCCTTCACTAGATCCATTTGAGTATTTTGTTGTAGACCGTCTACGTCATAAATAAGTATTCTTACCTTGCCTGAGCACGGCTCTCTTTGTGTGCTCGAACTCTGTTGATGGCCCATCCCGACTTCCAACTGCCTGCTGTTCATAGAGTGACAAACCCGCCATCGCATTGCAGTCGTAATGCATGCCGTGAATGATTGCTGCCACCACGGTTAGGTCAACACTGTCACGATTGATATTCTGATGAGCTTGTTCATTCCCGTTCGTTGTGGTTGGGGCAGCCTGCCACACATCTAGAGGAATGAGGCTGAGGGGCTGGTAGAGAGCAGGCATAGCAAACTTGTTTGCCACCTGTTTGTCCTTCAACCACGCTTTCGCCTTCTTTCCTCCTTGTTGGAGTTAGCCAACCCAGCATTTACTCGGACTTACCAGAATACTTGATTAGTAATATTCTGACTCACTTAGCATAGCCTCGGACAAATAGGAAATTAGTAGATAGTACTAGAATATTGTAGATACATAATTGTACAGTATAAAAGAGCTCTGTAGGAGCCCCGCAATATTAATCCTCTCTTACCTTCTGACCACCACTGCGCCAACACTCCTCCCTCAATTATTGCGAAGACAGCCTCCAGGTCAGGAAGTGGTCTGGAGGATGAAAGGCTAAGCATCGCTTGTTGTACTTCTGGTGTTATTGCTGATCCCAGTTCCAGAATTTTTGCTTGAAGTGAGTGATGCACAGTCGATAAAGCCGTTTGAGATGGTCGTAGGGCCCAAGGCTTTGCAATGGGCAAGGTACTGCTTTGTGGAAGCAGAATCCAACAATTTTGTGGCAGATCTGCTGGAAAAATAAGCCTGCTCCTACAAAATCTTGATGTGTAAATCTCCTTCGAACTTGAGAAGCTTGTCCCTTACCCAAAGCTTGTCCTTTATGTGCATCAGCAACCCAGAGATGAAAGCCTTCTCCATGTATATGAAGGAACCGAACTGGTTGCCCTTGTCACGACCTGTCCCCGGCTCCTGGCACAATTATCCGGCTCCTGAGGCTGTATCCAGCTTCTGAGGCTTGTGGTAATGAGCCGTGCTCTTCCGGGACACTTCCGAGACATCTGGGAACGAGCTGTGCGCTTCCGAGGCACTTCCGAGGCGAGCCATGTTTCCGGCTCACTCCATTGTGTCTCCCAGCCATTGTCCCATTGTCCTTCATTGTTCTCCTTGTCCCGGCTAAGTTATCTATTACATAATCATGGTCCATTATCCTACATAGCATAAATACCCATGTACAGTAGTAGATTCCTCAGTCGGAATATCAAACTCGACATACCCCCTTTGCTCTAGTTCACTGCCGGAATCCGGCTCCTCCCTGTTCATCCAAAATCGGGGACACCCAGACGTTGTGTGGTGGTGCAGCTGCCCCTTCCGTCCAGCTGAAGCCAAGTCCCCACCCCATCCGGCACGGTTGTTACAGCCCTGTATCTCGCTCCGCAAAGTCAAAAATTCTCGTAAAGAGGATCAAGTGGGCTTCGGCGGATTGAGACGTGATGAATGCACGCACTCCCACAAATGCTATAGAGTCAGATGTGAGTAATGCTAGACCTTAGGTGTTTCAACCTCCAACGTACACCTCATGCAGTTTGGTTCCCAGCTCTCCATTTCAAACTCCTGCCATTTGCCTTGAAGTCTTTTGAAGGATGTGTCTATTGTGACATACTTTGTTGCCATCAGACGTCTCGCCATTGCTTTTGTCATGCAAACAATGAGGAAGAAAGGAGACCCGTCTGTGAGTATATGTCTTTCCGCACATCGAGCATATTGCTCCTCTTCCGGAAGGCTCCTCTGCTGCTCTACGAGGCTGATTGAACCTACAGTAACCAGATTTCAGGTGTCAAAAAGTGAAACGGATTGTGACTTTCACCTTCAAAACCTGTTCCAAGAAGGAAGTACTTGCTTCAGATGTTCAGAATGAGCCTATGTGCATGATCATAATTCCTGAGTGATGGATGGAGATCTGATAGAGAGGGATTGTGAGTTTTCTTCCAGTCTAAGCAGTCTCTGAGGTTTTTCATAAACCCAGAGTCAAGAAGTACACGTCGTGGAGTAGCATCTGCCAGCTTCCAGTCGAGGTCCTTTAACAACTTTGAAAAGAGACCTTCAATTGCTGGCGGTGTTTTGACGGGAGGTGGATTGGGATGGGAATGGGGGTTTTTCGAGAGTATTCCGATGTATGGGCAATCAACCAGGTCTTCTGGTGTGTAAATTGTGATTTTTGTAGGGCATGCATTGGTGTCACCTTGCATGATGCCACGGCGAAGAGTTCCATCATGGAACCTGTGAAATTGAGCTTAGATTATGGGCTGTATGAGTAATCAAATGACGAGCAGTATGATTCATACTCACGACAAAACATTCGCTGGGCCGATGGAGAGACAGAGTAGGTGCAAGATACTCTTGGGCCATATCCATCACTGTGTGCTTTCAGCTCGTATTGCGAAATAATGCCTTCATCATTGTTTAATAAGGCTGAAAGATAGGGCAGGTGGAGTTGATCAAGATTCCGAAGAAGGAGATGATTTCCATTGTTGGAAGCTCTTCGGAATTCACATCTGGTCAGGAATATTAGAAGTATTTATCTATGAAAAGAGAGGAGAAATACTTGATGAAAGGCTTGTTAAATTGATCAAACCCAAGTTGTAGTTTTCCTTGACAACTTGATGAGTCTTTAACTTTGTTTCGTGAACTTTGATTAGACTCCTCTTCATCGGAAATGAGGTCAGCATCCAAAAGAGAGTCAACGGTAAGTATTTCAAGAGAATTTGACATGCATCCTTTCTCCTGAAGGACACAGAATAACGCAAGAGTTTTCTCAAATACTCCTCTTCCCGGAAAATTTGATGGTAGCCACAAATTATTCCAGATGGCCTCTGTTGACTGAAAACCTGGGTCTCCAGCTTCGCAGCGCTTTATGCCTTTGCCTGACAGATATTAGATTGGAAAGGCTGTACATACTATTGAGGAATCTTACATGTAGTGTAGATTGATGTACACGGGGCAGGGTTGCCATCAGCTCCAGAGAGAGCAGTACCACCAAAGACGTGTTCGAGTTGGGTATGGTGGCCACCAAGTGAATACTGAATGTTATCTTTAGGATGAAATGGCCATGCAGGATTAACCGCAAAGCGATGGAGGACAGACTGCTCCAGTTGCACGCCACTTTTGGGATACTCAACAATGGCATTGGCTGGATGATCGAAAAACTGGGATGCCACTGTTTGTCAAGTGATTTGGTTCAACTTCTGGGTCTTTTCTTCTGCTGTAAATGGTTGAGCTGGGAGTGGTTGGTATGGGTAGGCTGTCCGCAGAAGATTTTCATTCATGGTGGCGAAGCTCGCATTCCAGGAATGATTTCAATGGTAAGGTTTTCAGAGACAAGATACTTGGAAAAAGAAAGGTGTTCTTTTATTGTGAGGGCAGCTACATGAACACGGAAGATGCGGCAGAGGAGAGCGGCAGAATACATAGAAAAACCTGCAACATCACAGAAGGAATGAATTCAAAAAGTGGGCAACAAGCACAAAATGACACTCACCCTGGAAACAAGAATGAGTTGCAGCCGCTTTGGAGTTGGGCCCTTCCGCACTCCAGATTGAGTAACTCAGTTGACAAATACAGCCAGAGAGCTTGACACAAAGAAATGGATTGAAAACAGATAAAAGGAAGAAGGGAAAAGCGCAGCCCAAACCCAAAATGTCCGATAACATAGATTCCTCCTCTCTCAACTTGCAGCAACTACTCATCCCTGATACCATCTTCACCCCATCTGTCCTCGCACAGAGGCAGAGCAATGAGCTTGTTGTCTACTCTCCGACAGTCAGCAGCACGGTTACTATAGCTTAGTGAGTCCAAGACCAAAGAGCGAATTGAATCATGCAACTGAAGTAGTATTTCAGCCCGGCTCACTGCAACGCACTCATCAAGGCAGAAAATGTTTGCAGGTTCCTTACAAATCGTGATGGTTTCTGGGAGTGTTTCTGCGCACTGATTTCTGAGCACCTCGTTCCAACCCATATCGTTGTCTCTCATGCTTCTGGAGAGGTTCTTGTGTTTTGTCATTATATGGGAACTGCCCATGAAGAGTCGCACTGTGGGTTTTATAGTAAGTAAGGCAAGAACATCATGAGGAGTCAACTTACCCATAACATACCCAGTGAACCTCACAAGAAAGGCTAAGACTGCAAGGCTTTTCTCAAACTACAATCATATTCCGACCACTGGTGAGCTTTCATCCTTTGCTGGATGACATTCCACTCACCATTCCTTAGCAAGCAAGCAGCCAGCATTGATGACCCCCATTGTGAAGGCCTTCCAAGCCGGACATGCTGGATCTAACAAGATAGCACCATATTTTGAAGGATATCTTGGAGAGCTTGCATCAGACTATCCAGGAAACCCAGGTGCCCACCAGCTCCATAGCGGCCTGATCATGAAACCTGCAAAAAGGAGAATCAGTTCATCCAAAGAATCATGCTTTATACAGTGGTGATGACTTACCTTGTCCAATCCCTAGCCATCCGTAGCGAAGACAACATGTACAACATTCCACGGAACCCATACTTTCCAGTGAAGATGTACATCCCCTCCAACAAAAGATACATTGAAATCGATGATGAAGCTGAGGCCAGAGTCAGAAGAAGAGGTTGTTGTTCCCCGCTTGCATCCAAGGCCCACTCTTCAGCTTTGTCTACAAGCCGCCCGAGTCTGAGTTTCAGCCGTGTGTTGCACTGCCAGTGGCGGTGAGTTCTCGAATTGAACCTATCGAGGGCTCTTCAAAGGGAAAAAAGAGAGATGAAGGGGAGGTACATACAGACGACATTCTCGCAAAACTTTGTGCTGGTGAAGGTATCACACAAGAGGAGTATTCAGTCATGTTCGAGTTGTGCAGCTTGTGTGGGAAGATTCTCATGGTGACGGCGATGCCAAATCACACATGCATTGGTGGGACAGAAGATTAGATAACACTGTAATTACTTACGCCTCGAGAGCCAAGAGAAGATAATAGCTAAAATACATATATTCGCTCTGTCTCAGCGATAGAGGTGACCTGGGTCTCTCTCCATTCGCCCACCTTTCTGGGGAGTGGGTAGCCAGCCAGTCACTGAATCAGGCAACGATCATCTCAGATCTGGATCTGAGTTTTAGCAATTGACCTACAGTGATGCGTTGATTGCTAAAACTCAGATCCAGGATCTGAGATCACGGCTGATTCCGCAGACATTCTCACACCCAGCACCCAGGCCACTCCTCGATGCGTAACACGTCGCATCCGTTCATGACAAGCACCGGTGCACCATAGGACGACTACCTTTCACCGAGCAGCGCATTCAGCTGAGCAGATAGTTGGCTCTCTTGCTCAGCGTGTTCATCTGGGTCAGCGGATCCTCTCCTCAAATCCTCAAAACCATCCAGGGTATCACCCTGGCCGAGGCCCTGTCTCCTGATGCACTGAAAGGCCACAACACGACCGACTCTGCATCAACGGAGATCTGTGGAGGCCTCAACATTCTGGTCGAGCTTGAAGGGGGTATGCAGGATGTCCTCTCCATGTGCATCTATCCACACAGTAAGCATGATCACCTTTTTGGGCTTGCGAACTAGGGACTTACACTATTTGAAGGGCTTGTCCCTGTCACGCTCATGCTTTATGTGTTGTCTTGCGGTATTGCCTCAGGACACAGAAGCCATGCCATCTGGAGGTACGGTAAGCACTTGCATTTGAGGAAGAACACAAATGAATGCAGGCAGTACATGTTGACCCTCTCCTCCCTGCTATGTAGCCTGACCATAGATCCATCCAGGGTGATCGAGAGCAGCACCCGCCCGTGTTCGAACCGTCGTCTCCACACCCATAACCGTGCTGACCGTGTCTCGGGAAGCTCTTTGTCATCGTGGTAGTCATTGGGGTGTCGGTACACATGGTAGGGCTCTTGTACACTCCTCATACATGGCCGTACTGACCCCTTGTGAACATTGTGGCAGACATCGCCCACTGTTGCTGCGCCTCAATTCCAGGGCTCTAACACTTGTTGATTCGTTGTGGCAGCAGTGGAGAACAAAGGTTGGGTGGCTATGTGGGTGGGTTGTATCTCACCCCTGGTGCTGGAGCTGATGCGCCATCGTTCTCAAAGGTGAACAGGGGTTGTTGATGTACAAAGGCCAGTGCTTCTGACATCCGCACAGAGAGTGGCTAGTACGTGCCTCAGTGGTTGCTGAAATTGAAGCATCACTGTCCTCGAACTAAACGGCGCTCTACAACTGCCGTTTGTGAACAGGCCAACTGCCTCAAACTAGGTGTGTCATGACCTGTTCCTGCTCTAGGTCGCTTCTGTTCTCTTTTTAGAGTAGGGGGGGAAAGACTGTGTTTCGCACCACAGTCGTCTATGTCTTCACCTCAGAGACACGAGTAATATGCCGCACGGATGAAGTTCACCTACAGTTCTATGAGGAGGGCAGGGTCTCTTTTGCAACGCAGCCATGCTCCATCTCATTCCCATCTTCTACCCACATAAATGTACTTATAATGATTCAAAATCTCAATGAGTAGGTTCTATGCATGTTCGGACATTCCTTTCATGAAGGTGGTTTGGGCGGGTTGTATCCAACCCATGTTAGAAAGCTGACAGGCTTTCGTACTGACGAGGTGGATGAAACCATCGAGCCTCATTTCTGCAGGGACACAATCATTTACACTCAACAAATAAATTACCAACATGCCTGAATCAAGGAGACTATTGGTGCTCTATGCAGACTCTGGAAGTAAGTTCTCTGCTGTCATGAATTAAATTGTGAAGGACAGACTCATGCTTTCATCCAAAAATAGATGGATTGCAGTGGCGGGAAAAACGTGAGCATTTCATTCCGAATTCTCTACTATAGTGGTCGTTCAACTTATGTCTGAAGTCTACACCTACCACCTGGTTCTCAGTGGCACCACCTTGTCTCTGGCTCACCAGTGGGCCCAATCTTTGAAGGGAATTTGACACGTATTTATGGCACTCTGGCTTCACCCGTCGCACAGTGGGTGTGCAGTTACGGGGTGAAGTTGGAGATTAGATAAGATATTATAGGAATTCAAAAAGCTGTACTTAGCCGTGAGCCAGCCATTAAACAGTCATGAAATGCAAGGAGGAATAGCTATTTTATGGTGTCAGAGGTGACCTGGGTCTCCCTGTGTTCGCTCGTCGGTCTGGGGGGTTTGTGGGCAGCCGGACGCCGAATAAGGCAGCGATCATCTCAGATCCGGATCTGAGTTTTAGCAATCGACCTATAACTCCCTATTTCCTCCGCCAGATGTGCCTGGTTTTCATCCGAGTATGTAACGAGGGAGGAGTGTACAGAGCGATGCCAGACATTCTTGTACAACCTGCACATGCAGACAAGATTGGAGCTCGGACTTCCTGAAAAAGGTGGGCCTGCACGATCATCTCTATAAAATTTCCTGTATGCAAAAGAATAACCGCGCAAGCCGATGTGCCAAAAAAACGTCTTCGTGCGGGCGCAATAATTCGCCTCGAAGTTCCGGGAGAAAATGTCGCAAGGGATGTCATTTACATAATGGTCATGGCGAATACCGCAAGGCATTTATTACTTCGGCCATGGCAGTGGCGAAGACTGTATGCGCTTTCAATGCTTCTACTCTGTGCTTGTCTCCACCCCCCTCCCACCCTTTTTTTTCAGTTCGACGAAAGCGCTCAGGTTACCACGGCGGCTCAGGAATTGTGCGCATATCTCAATCCGACTTCCTCATGCCAAAAGTTGCCCCTCGTTGGTACGATCGGTCTTCGCTCTTGCATCGGACAAGCCTGCTGTCGTCTTCCTCCCTCCAATCGCCCCGTACTGTCAACAAATTCACCGCGTATGACTTTTGATGTGCAGGGGCACTGGCTCAGATGTTCGGTGTCATTGACGAGAACCAACACACGACATACCAAGGCTCTTTTGGAGCATTCGCAGGATAAATTGAAAGTGTAGAGTGCTCTAGAAAGCCATGAGGACGTTCGACATGCCCGTGGGCAGATGCGCCGGACGATGACTCCTGGGGCATCGAGTAATCTGGTGCATTGCAGGAACTGTTTTTCTCCTGTCAAACCTTCAAACGAAGAGAAATTAGAATCGGAGGATGGCGCTGATGTGGATATGGAGTTTTAACGAGGGCGTGTTATTACTATTTCGGCCTCAGGAGCGTCGGCAGGGCTCAAGCTTCAGGACATTGCGGCTCCAATTCTAGTCTATAAACAATTCTTTCCAACAAACGGGTGTGCAAGAGGTTCACAGTCCAAGCACGAAATGTTGTCCCAACTGCTATATAAAACCCACTAGATTACATCCACATACATGCATTACACGTACAACAAATCAACTCTTCTACACGCTTATCTCTCTACTCTCGACCTCATATTCGCAACTGAGGTGCCATCATATCCTCTTCTTCCTCATCCTCTCCTAACACATGGGTCGGTAGAGCATTTGCTCTAACCCCGCTCGCACTCCCACCCCGTGTCGGCACGCGTGAATACCACTTGCTCCTTCCACCAGGAATGACCATCTCGATGTTACCATCGTCTACAACCTTGCTGTTCGAGTTTGAGGCGTTGCGGCCGGTGGTGGTGTATAGGTTAATAAGCACGACGATAAATGTGTAGATGAGGAACGCGGTGCTGTGAGAGCGAAATGTATAACGAATGCTGGCCAAAGGAGATGGCAGACAAGGCTCACCTGAACATGATGAGGATATAAGTGACGTGGTCCATGTGGATCTCCTGCACGTATTCCAGCTCCTCGTCGGTCGCTGACATGAATAATAGCCTGCAAACAACAATCAGGAATGCACCAGAGAAAAAAAAATCGAAATGTTGCGCACCCTGCAGCTGTGAGCAACTGAAAAATTCAATGGAGAGATTGTTAGTGAGATTCTGACGTAAATATAGGCAACTAGACGCACGAAAGGTGTCAGGTAGCGGAACGATCTTGATGCAGCTGCCTTCGCCGAAGATGTATTCCTTGCGTTCGTGCCATCGGCGAGAGTGTGCTCGCTCGTCGTGTCATCATCGGTGTGATCCGAAGCATACGATGGCGCGAAGTAGCAGACTTCTAGAGTTCGGGTAACTCCTGCTAGCATAAGGGTGTGTCCAAACATCGCATGAACCTAGAGCGCTAATGGTCAACAGATTTCCAACAAATCAACTTTGGGAGATACATCCTACCTTTGTTGAGATCATGAGAGCTTGCGCGTGTTCTGACATCCCCCATCCAGTGAGGAAGAGGCTATCGGAAGGGTCAGAAATAACTACTGAACCCATCAAGAAGGAGCATACATAATGGCTGGAACCACATTGCGCTGAAGGTTTCACGTATTAGAAGATTCGCATGACACCGTGGAAAGCCGCACCTGGTTGTTTCTCGATAGATAAATTCCCAGCATGCCTCCAGTCCACCCTGTATGGGGTTGTAAGCAGTTTTCAGCGCTCCGGAGAGTCAACGCTCCATACATAGAACACCCAAGATGCTAGAATATCTGATAAGCGATGTGCTTTCCTAGAAGAACATGAGGTATGTACGTATGCTGCATGTCCTTTGCAGACCAGGCGCCGCCATGATGTTCCGTGAAAGTGTTGACTGTAGTCTGTAATCAATGACTATCTTCAGCAATTGTATGGATGTAAAACCTCACAGATTCCCTGTCAGACGGTTAACAATATTAGAAAAGAAAAGAAAAGAAAAGACGTGCCCATGCTGTGATAACCCATGAATCGAAAACCTCGGGACTCCGTCCACTCCTCCGCATCCATTGCTCTCCAATGACGAGAATGATGGTCATAATAACTGCGTACGCGACGAATCCGCTGCCCATAATATAATGAGCAAGGCACTGACCTAAACCGAAAAGAGGTTGATATTAGTGGCGTACAAAACGACGTCAGACCAAGCACTTGCCAAGGTGAAACCCGCGACAGTATCCTCTGAACGCCAGCACGCCAAAAAGCGCTTGTGTCCATCCGAAGATGGGATAGAGCTTTCCGATTATGCCATGCAAGACAACGAAGTACGGACGAATCGACTTTTCATGGATGTGCAGCTTTAGGTAGATTCCGATGGCTAATTGCGCGGCGATGGGCACGAAGAGGATCGTGGCGAACTTGCCGTGAGCGGAGGGAAGAAACTGGCGTCCTTTGTGGGCGTGACCCAGGATGTAACCACCCGCAGTGAGGGCATAACCTGTCGCCTGATGGAACAGTGTGAATGAGACCTGCAACATGGTATATCGGCGTACGCACTTGCAAGGGTACATGCCATCGACTCCTCGTCAACCCAAGGACCATGCCGATGGGGAACATAATGCCCCAGACAATGCCTTGCAGGAACATGTGGAGCCATAGGATCGTGTCTACGGGCTGGCTCGCCTCTTCCTCTGGAACTTCATCGTGGTGTTCGTGAGCAACAGCGACATGAGCGATGAGAATAAGACCGAGCACGGTAACGCGGAGGAATCTCGACATTTTGCTGGACGGCAGTGAAGCCGCTGTAGGTCGTACTCTAGGAAGGAAAGGAAGTGTATGACTAACCAGAGTAGGCTCAGCGACAACATCGCCCCGGATTGCCGGTCCGCCTCTCTCACGTGATACTTACCGTAATTGACTCGAGCCCTCGGAGTCGGAGTCGGAATAACTTTTCCAAGTTCTAACCTCCCTTCATTCCAAAAGCTATTTCCCAACCCAAAGATCCATCATAGACCCGCGAGAATTAAAGATACGTGAAGGTATACCAGAAATTCTCGAATAAAGCTGGCACTTCCCTGGCCTACTTTCCACAGAGGCCTTCGCGTCGCCTCCAGGCCGCTGCTATTCACACATACGTTCTCTGGAACCAGTTCAAGACAGGAAGAACGCCGTGAAGTCCGAGACATGACCTGGTCAGTCAACGTTCACACCACGACAACCACCGACACCGAGCCTTCCATCATCGCCACCTTCGACAACGCAAAATACATCTTTGGCACAAGCGAAAACACGGGACGCGCATTTCTTCAGAATAATGGAAATTGGAAGAGGTCGAGGGCTTTGTTCTTCAGTCAGACGAGAGTGGAGAAGATGAGTGGGCTGCCAGGTGCGTTTCGACCAACTGTTACTTGGAGGGTAACATACCTCACCTAATTTTCGTGTTCATTGATGCCTCAATGTTGAAGGTCTGGTCATGTCCTTCGCTGACGCGACGATCAGAAAATTGCATCTCCTTGGACCTCCCGGGTTGACGCATATGATTGCCAGTATGCGTATGTATATCTTCAGGTATGTTTTTGCCGGTCGCTAGTCTTTTATGTATTCTGAGTGATTCTAGAGACTCCATTCAGATTCAAACCTCCGAGATACCATGGACGACACCAGCTGGCTCTTCATCCAGCCCATGTTATCAGGATGAAAACATCACCGTCTACGCTATCCCGGTTCTGCCCTCATTGGCAACACACAGCCCTTCTCGGAGCTCAGAACCTTCAGCACCAGCTAATTCGCCCATCGAACCAACTCAAGAACTCCCAGAAAAACGAAAACGAGAACCATCCCCTGAAGGCCCTAGAAAACGACAGAACCCAGGAAGTCGTTCGCCCGCGAGGATAGCACTGTCCGATGGTCTCCTTGAACTCATCCAACAAAAAGGATTCACCCCTGAGACGCTGACGGGAGATTTAGAAGATGAATATCGACGCATGATCATACATACGATGTTCCCGAATCTCAAACCCAACCTACTTCCAACCAAAGAGGAAACCGCAGAAAACAGACGGCGCAGCAGGCAAGGGATGAAGAAGGAAGCTACTCCACCACTAGCGGAAAACGAGAACATCGACATTGACTCCCAGCGCCGTACGCGTGGAAGTCTTCCCAATGGGTTCCAAAAACAATTGCCCCGCTTCGTCGCCCCGCTACCACCTTCCACGTCGCCCCCTACCTTGTCGTACTTTGTCGTCGGCCCTCGTTATCGAGGCAAATTCGATGTCGAGAAGGCGCGAGAGTTGGGAATCGTCGGACCGGATAGAGGTAAGCTGACGAGAGGCGAGTCGATCACCATTAGGGTCAAAGCTGGCGTCTCGGACGAGCTTGTGGAGCGGGTTGTGCGCCCTGAGGAGGTGATGGGGGAGTCAACACCTCCTTCGGTGGGTGTTGATCATTTTTTTTCTTGGGGTTGGTCGGATTGATTCTTCTGGGACAGGCTTTCTTAATTTTGGACATACCGACGATTGACCTTATCCCTTCTCTTATAAACTCGTTCAAAACGACAGAGCTGTACCACTCTGTCTGGTCGGAGGATCCTGCTGCCTGGAAACCTTCATCTGACCGCCTCCTGCGAACGATCTTCCATCAGTGTGGGAAGGGCGTGTTGGAGGATGAGAGATACAAAACTTTCATGCGCGGATTCGGGTCCGAGGTTTATGTACGTTGAAGCTATCGTGCTTCAGTAGTTGTGATGCTCATGGAGAAATAGCATATGGTCGCCTCAAGAGAGCACTGTCCGGACCCAGTGACATTCACAAGCGCCGCCTACAACCAGCTTCGACTTAGCCGTCTAGACGAGAAGATGTTCCCTACGCCTCAATATTCCTTGACGGGGAAGAAAGACTTGAGCAGTACGTCCCTCCCATCACGTCCTCCGGCAGTACTAATAGTTTTCGGTCACTAGCTATCCCAGGCTTACCTACCCGAATCCAACCCATGACGCCAAACCTTCAGCACCGTTACCATCCTCTCTCACCTCCAGCAATGGGTCAAACTGCACTGGAAGCGGATCGGTTCCACCCCCCTGCCACTGGTGCTCGGCCAATCGAGTTCTCAGAAAATATGCAGCGTGCTGTCACTGCCGCAAAGGAGAATGTAGAGAGGCGACTGAAGAAAATAGAAGAGGGAGATGTGCTGAAGGAAGTACCAGGCAAAGATGTGAGTATTGTTACGCTCGGTACGGGTGGGTCGTTGCCGAGTAAATATCGGAATGGTAGGTTTTCTACTTAATTCGCTGGTTAAACGAATAGTTAATGTTCTTCCTCCCAAAATAGTTTTGTCAACGTTCATCAGGATACCAGGGTGGGGCAATGTCCTGCTCGACGTGGGTGAAGGGACGTGGGGTCAGCTGACAAGGAACTATGGCCTGGATGGGACACCATACACTGCCTGGGATGCAATCAGGGACCTTAAATGCATTTTCGTCAGCCATATTCATGGAGATCACCACATCGGACTTGCGCATCTACTCGCCAAGAGGCGCTTGGTGAGCGACCACTCTTCCTCAAAGATCCCATTCAGATGCTAAGTCTTCTCCAGCTTGATCCAGCACCGGCGCACCCGCTCTACCTCGTTTCCATTCGGAACGTGCATATATATTTGCGCGAGATGTCCGACGTGCACGACCTTGGTCTGACTGATCCATTCAATCCTTCCTCAAATGGCGTCATTCCTATTCTCAGCGAGACTCTGCACTACCGCAGTGTAGGAAAGTACCTCACCACGGGCATGTGGCAAGTCGGCGGAGACGAACCTTGGTTAGATTTCCAGACATCGGTGCAGAATGGGCAAGAGATGTGTCGCTCCTTGGGGCTGGAGTGGTTCAAGACGGCTGATGTCCACCACCGTGCGAGGTGCTTTGGGATGTCGTTCAAGCATCAGGATGGCTGGGGTATAACGTACGTGGTTTTCTTTCGCTTCTTCTCGTTGCAGTCATTAAATTGCTTGTGCTATCACAGGTTCTCCGGCGACACAATGCCTACGGAAAATCTAGTTAGAATCGGGGCTGACACCACGGTTCTAATCCATGAGTCAACTATGGCGGACTTCGACGCTGAAATGGCAATCAAGAAGGGACATAGCACGATGGGTCAGGCTATCGAGATTGGGAAGAGGTCGGCTTTTAACTTGGTCATGCATCTTGTTTTCGCTTACTTTCCTTCTTCCCTTTCGCAGGATGAACGCCAAAAATATTCTATTGACCCACTTTTCCGCTCGATACCCCAAGCTGCCCCCCTCTCTTTCGAACCAAGTCGCTCGAGAAGGGCCTGATGCGAAGAATCTCATTGTCTTTGGCTTCGACCACCTCAATCTCACCCTAGGCGAGATGTGGAAGATGGCGTATTACACTCCTGCGATTTATTGCAACATCAATGACACGTTGGAGGAGGATGTTGAAAGCCTACCAGGCACACCAACCCACGCAGCGAGGCCGCGCGCCAGCTAACTCTAGACGCACATCTCGAACGTAAAGTAATGTATACCTTCAGTAATCTAGTAGCTATAGTGCACCATCTGGTTCGCAGCTCCTTGTATATGGGGTAGACATATCCTCGCTAATCGATATTTGCGCACTGGATAGAAATAATCTGCTCCATGAAAGCACTTGTTTGCTCGGAAACAACTTTCTCCTGATACATCTCAGAAGACCAGACTTGATATTAAAATAAAGTGTATATACAGAACGCAGTATTGGCACGTAGATATTGTGATAATTGGAGGATTGAAGGATTGTTAGCGACAAAAGCTTGACTAATGTTGCCCGAGGGCAGATTCAGAACTAATGTACTTAGTGCGAAGGTACGCACGGGCACGTCGTAGGTAGACAAAGGGAAGGTAGTAGGCACGCCACTTTTCCTTAATTAGTATTGACAAGCGCGTCTATGCCACAAGGAATTCTTCGATGGCTGCTATGAACTGAGCCGGGTTTTGAACAGGTGCGAAATGGCTGACGCCTGGCAGGATTACGAGCTTGCTGCGAGGGATGGCAGATGCCAAGTGGGGTGCGACAGCCAGGTTGACGGCCTCTTCGTGTTCTGCACCCGCAATGGTGACCTTCGAGCCATCTATCTTTGCCAACTGGGCGTCGGTCCAACTGGGGAGAGTGCCTTCGAGAGTGGCAACTTTGGTGGCGAACGACATGAAGTCGACACCGGGTTGAAGCTGGGCGTACTCCGTTGCGCAACGGGACACGAACGTACTGTATATAGAGGTGTTGGTGAAGGTCGCGTTGGTGTCGCTGGGCTTCTGGAATCCGCCGAAGACGAAGGCCTTAGTGATCGACTTATTAATGGTGCTGTCGAGGAGACCTGCGAGCGTGGTGGCCGCGCCGTCCGACCATCCGACCCAGACCGCCTTGCTGACGCCCTGTGCCTTGAGCAAATCGTCGGTGTCCTTTGCGAACATCTCGAACGTGAAGGTGTCGGCAGCATTGAAGGTGCTGCGACCGTGGCCCCGCCGGTCAACGGCGATAATGTAGTACTTCTCCATCAACCGACTAATGACGTCGCCGAAGTAGGCAGAATAACCTAAACCGCCGTGGATGAGTACGATGGGAGTGCCACCCGCGGCCTCGTTGTACTTCTGGAACCAAAGGTTCACACCGTTGATGGGCGCCTTCGCGTTGTTTATTGGTGCAGGAAGAGGGGGAGTTGGAGGAAGTGTCTCCCAAACGTTGGCTCGGGGGATGAGAGGGATAGATTGAACCAAGCTTGTGGCAGCAAGGAGGGAGAGAAGGAATTTAGTGGCCATAATGGTCGGATAGTTCGTGCGTCTGGTGGTGGTACTACTGAGCCATAAAAAAGTCGAGCACTTGCATATAATAGTGACACACCACGATGCACACCAACAACGGTAGCGATAGTCGGAAGCTGTGTTCATGACTTCGAAGTGCGAAGCTGACGAAGTATTAATGAGAAGGGCGCTCCTTCGCGCTCTCACGTGGGCAACGCCATCAGTGCTGATTCAATATTCGAGGTGATTTGTCGCAACTTGTGGAGTTGTTGTGCTGCCGAGAAGGCACTGCAGATCCTTCACCCCGACGATCACTAAGGTGGATGAATCAGCTTCAAGTACAGTTGTTTTATCTTTGAAAGTTTGAAACTGATGACTCGTGGACACACCAAATGGAAAAGGAAAACTCAGGGGGAACCGAGGTCGCATCTCCGCGACCCGGACTTCCGCAGCATCCAATATTAAAAGAAGTTGACATGCATTAAGGAGGTTATAAGAAAGGAGATAACGTGTTACGAGAGAAAGCCTGGGATAGAGAACGGACGCAAAACCGCTCCTCTCATCTGTGAATCGACAGCAGGAGCAGGAACTTTAGCCCCAAGTCCATTTGGAAAACTGATTTCCGAAAGCGGGTGCTCACGAGGCATCTCGTAACCCCTCCAAGAAGCTGACAACATTCTTCGCAACCCTGCTCTCCTTCTCCCCATCACCAAGTCTGTGGCTGACGACGGTGTAGAACGCGACAAAGTCCTTCGCCTGTTCGACGAGTCTCGCCAACTTGACCCTCCTTGCTACCTTGTATGACATTATCTTTGTGCTCGACGAAGGAGTGGGAAGACCAGAGAGTATCGCGGTTTGGTTCTCCGCGCTGTTAATCATAAGCAGACCGAATAAGACGGAGAGGTGGCCACGAAGGAAGGACGACTCGGCCTCTTGTTGTGCTTCGGGCGTCAGCGAATCTCCTGACAGAGATGTGGGAGGCAGGGTGTCGGTTTGAGTTTGCTGAGAAGAATACAAGTCGACGAGAACTGCGAGTCCGGTTGACGATGGGGTGCAAGCGCATTTCCGCGCACATGCACGCTTCTTGAGTGTACATGACGGGTTGAGTCCTAGCATCAGAATGTTAAGGTGAAGTAGAGACAAAGAAACTGGGTAAGATGAGACGTACGTGTCTCACGAACGACCTTCTTCGCCTCGTCTACTTCCTGCACCAAATTCGTGAGGAGGCCGAGGGCGAGGCATAGCGTATCCAAGGCTTGCGAGTCAATGTGCTCCTCTTGCACTCCGTTCGTTTCTCCCAAAGAATCTTCCTCTGGTTCGACCTTAACAGCGTTCTCTTGTTTGATCGACATCCGAGAATGATGCAACTCCCGCCCTGCCGAGTGAATTGTCCTCAGCAATAAGCCCATCGTATATTCAAAGCGGAGGACTTGACGACTCCAAGCTTTGTTCGAATGAGTTAGGCTAACCAAGACTCGTAGGGCCATGTCCAAACATTTTTGGACAGCGACTACAGAAAAAAATGAGCGACTAATGCAACCGAAATTAGATAATTACCACGAGCTCACAGGCGTCAGGATTGTCATCTATCCCTTTCAGCCCTACGCAAATGCCCAAGGTGATCAGATCTCCTGCGAGCCAGGTATCCCTTGCCTTGCCTAGCTCAGCGTCGATCAGGGCCTTTTCGGCTTCCTCGTCCTCTGACTGGCTTTGGAAGGGCTGGTTGGATTCGCTGGAGGAAGAGAGGTCCCACTGGCCAAGCAGATAGGCGTCTAAAAGCCGTAGATGATGATATATGCTCTCATATAAAAGTGATTCGACTGTTTCGGCCCATTTAAGAGCAAGATTAGAGGAGAGCGTCGTTGATGGTGAAGATGAGATCGATTGTTGGAGGGATTTAAGGAGAATGAGCAGGTGCTTCTGGGGGATGAGGGAAGGGGGCAGCGCTTGGAGGATGTAGGAGAAGAGAAGAGAGGTCGAGATCTGTCAAAATCAACGAAAATGGGTGAGTGTGTGCATTCATTTCCTCGGATGTTATAATAGTACTGACTGAGGCTTCCTCTGAGCACAAGCCCGACTTGGTTCGGATGTTTTTATGAATACCACTCAACTATTCCTTCCATTAGCCACCACAAAAAAAAATCGCTAGGAAAGACTTACAAGGATACGGTCCTTCTTATCGAAACCTGCTTTCTTGAAGGTCGCATCGTCGCATCGATTCGTTGCGAGCAAGAGAGGATCGACACAGGATATCATAGTATCGATAATGCGAAACACTGTGTCAATGAAAGATGAAGGGTTTGCAGAGGGACGTTCCGCCAATTCAGCGAGAGAGGCAGGGTCGCGGGCCACCAGTGCTACGAAGAAGACAAGAAGAATGTCTAGGATCTAAGAGAAGTTAGAACACGCGACTGCAAGGACAAATGGATTTATTACTTTGTCTTCTCCTTTGCCTGCCCCTGCTTCCAGAAAAACGTCCCATGTCCGGCTAAAGAAATCAGCTGCTTTGGCTTTCCTCGTGAACTCAATATCACAGAGCTTAGTGGTGATTTCAAGTGCACTGAGTTATAAAGTTGGTCAACAAGCCCGGAACGAAGATAGAAGGGAAGTACCTAGCGCGCCGCAACCCGATACCGCCCTTCTTCTCCATTCCTTCAAATAAATAACCCACTTCGTCTAGAAATCTTCGACTTTCTCCCTTATTCCGGAGTTCCGAGATGCTCTTCAACGGGTTCATCAGTCCATCTGGCAGTGAAACAGGCTGAATAGGGCCAAAACTTGACTTTGATTTCCCTTTACTGAGACGCGATGGCGACCCGTTAGGAGTGCCAGTCATGGAAGACTTGCTTGGAGAAGGGGATAAATATGGTTGTGGGTCGTCTTCTGAGTTGTCAACACCCCAGCGTGAGCGTAACGAGCTATAAGACTCCCGAGTGTCAAGGCCATCCTCGTCGCCAATGCCTTGCGACGACGGATTGCTCGAAGAGGATGGAGGCAAAGCGACAAGAAACGAACGAAATTGGCCAGCATACGTTTTGGTCGTGGTACGTTTCGAGGTTGAGGCAAGAAGAGGAAGGATAGGTGCTATTGGTTTTGATACAGACGCGGAGCTCGAAGTGAATCGAGACGGGGACGACGGGATGGCTGGTAGTGAAGGAGCACGATCAAGGGTGGTTTCATGAGTGGTGGATTGACTCTCGATGGACGACTCTGTCTTGGAACGACCAAGCATGCGCTTGGCCAATTTGGTTGGGGTGCCAGAAGGGGAACGAGCTGGCGAGGCCGAATCAAATATCCGAGAGAGATGTCGAGTTGATTTTGTTGGCTCAAAGGATGTTAGTTGGGTAGGCGGTGTGTGGGCCTCTGCCGTCTTCCGAGAAGATGATGAAGTTGCCTGAACTTTCGGTTTCCGTGGCGGAGAATCCTCCGCATCGGTTGTACCGCCATGGTCGTCTCCGTTCCTACCAGAGGAGGGCGGCCGTGCTGGAGGTTCGGAAGAGCGTTTGCGGCGCTTTGCCAGGGATGTAGCAGCATCGGAGTCGGTGGCTTGCTTTCGTTTGGTGGTAGACCGCTTCCCGTATGTACGTAGATTGGAAGGGGTCAAATGGGTGTTGGGCATTGCACCAGTGAGTTTAAGACAGAATCTGTGACGTATTACACTTTCCAGGCGCGTGACAGAACGCGTGACTTGCGCGAGGGCGTCACGTTGATCAACTTGAACTCAACCATTGAACCTCATTGAACCAACAACCGCTGCAGCCATGGAAGCCCCTCAAGCACGCATTGACTCCTTCAAGAAATCCAAGCGCGTAAAGAACCCAAACAAAACATCCTCAACGACAACGCTCAAATGGCCACACCCATCTCATTTCCAAGCCAATCCAGAATCTCTTGCTGAGGCAGGATTTTACTACGACCCTAGTTTCGACGACCCAGACAATGTCACCTGTTACATCTGCGAAAAGGAGCTGGGAGGCTGGGAAGAGGACGATGACCCGCTTCTTATCCATTGGACCAAGTGTGGACAGGCGTGTTGTTGGGCTAATCTCCGTTGTGGTATGAGACTGGACATGGATCAGTCGGGAAGGTGGGTGCGTTCAGAGCACGCGTTAATATATCACTAGCCTGAGCATTTCGACTTGTAGATACGTATTTCACGATAAGACGCGTCACCCAACCCACAAGTCAATGGAAAAAGCCCGACTCGATACTTTTGCGGCTGGAAAGGGATGGATCCATGACAAGACGAAGAATCATGGGGCGTGTTCCAAAATGGTGCGATTACATTCTGCTGCTCTGTCTGTCTGCTAATTTAAGAATAATAGATGGCCCGTGCTGGCTTTGTTTTCACTCCTCAGCATAGTGGCGACGACCTTGCAACATGCTTGTACTGCAATACTTCATTGAGTGGTTGGGACGCAGACGACGATCCCATGTTTGTCATCCCAGACCCAGGTGTCTGTTTGAAATTTACTGACCTCATTACTTAGGGAGGAGCACCGCAAGAGGCAGAGCAAATCCGATCCTTGCCCGTTCTTCAGTGTTCCAGAAACTGCCCAAGGAAGTAAATCCGCCTCCCGCGCACAATCGACTAGGCCTCCATCCAAAACCCAATCCAAGCCTGCGTCGCGTTCTGTATCTAAGTCAAAACACCAAGATGTTATCATGCCAACCAAAACTTTTGACGGCGAAGAGGAATCTGACCCGGGTCAATCGTCTAATACCACCCGGTCAACGACCAAAACGCCGCGGAAAGGTCGGTCAACGTCAGGGACTGCTAAGACACCAAGAAGCAAGACCCGGAGTTCAAGTCGTTCCGGGCTGAATAATGTGGCTGAAGAGGAGGAAGAGGCTCCTGTAGAACCTCCCACGACAGTCAAGAAAAAAGCTCGGTCACGCTCTCAGTCGGTTCAACCGTCAGAGGTCGCGGATCAAACAGAGGAGGAAGGACCACGCAAACCATCTCGCTCAAAATCTCACTCAAAATTGAAAGAAAAAGCTCAATCTGAACCTGAACAAGAGGAAGAAGAAGAGGCACCTCGCAAATCTTCTCGTGTCAAGTCCAAGAAGTCTGTTGCTCCCGTTTCAGTAGCACCGTCAGTGGACGAGGACGAGCCTCCGCGCAAGCCTTCACGATCAAGAACCAAAACAAAGCCTGTCGAATCGGAACCGGAGCAAGAAGAACCACCTCAAGTCGTTACAAAGCCCAAGCCCAAGCACCAGAGGACTGCCTCAAGATCGAAGGCGAAAGCACCTCCTGTCCAAGTGGACTCGGAGCCAGAGCCGGAGCCGGAGCCCGTGGCAAGCGTCGCTCCGAAGAAGAAAACTTCAGCCAAATCGCTGAAAAATCGAGTTCCAGATGCAAGAGAGCTCTTAAACGACGATGTGGTCATGGAAAGCTACATCCCTCCACCGTCATCTCCGCCTCCTGCACCCAGAGGGCCATCGCCGCAAATAGAGCTTGAACCCTTGTTCGTTCCTAAGCGTGTCAAGAAGACGCCTACACCTGCTCCATCTCCAGACGAGCCTGGTGAAGAACCTGAACCTCAGCCAGTCGAAAAGGAGAAGAAGAAACCTGGGAGGTCCAAAGCGAAGCCCCAGCCAACTGCACCTGAGGAAGAGCTGGAAGAGCCCGAGGTATCCGTGCCTTCGGATGTTTATGGGCCTCTCGGGCCTGCTTCCGTCAACCCAGCAAGCCAGGTTCCACCTGTGAGGGGGAAACCAGTGACGAAGCCCAAGACACCTGGGCAGGCGAAGCAGAAGATAAAGGTCGTTGAAGTGTCAAGTGACGAAGAGGAACCGGAGGAGACCGAATTGAGTAAGCAGACAAGGAAAGCAAGTGTTTCTGTGCAAAGCAGCAAATTCGGTTCTCAAGACTCAACCAAAGCGGCGGCGGGTCTCCCTCCTGCTTTTGCCCAGCTCGCGCGGCCATCAGAGGCTCGTTCGAAGCCGATCTCTGCTGCTGGAAAGCGTAAGCCGCAGCTGAAGTATGTGGTCGAGCCTGCTCAACCTCAGGTTTCCACCACCGTGCCAATGGAAGATGTAGACGTGAAAATGGACGCTGTTGAGTCTGAACATGTCTCCGTAACGGAACCTGATGACGACGGAGACACGGATATGCACACCGCACCGTCGACCCCTCCTCGACCAGCTGCATTCCACCAGAACCGCCAACAAGAAACGCAGCCTGCTACACCTCCACCTCGCTCCTCTCAGGATCCACTGCCTCCGACAATCGTTCTTCCAGATGAGTCTGCGCCGCCGGAAGCACCGAAGGAACCTCCTTTGATCCCCGCTCTGTCGAAGCTTCCGTTTGTCCCACTGCCCAGCCTGAGCGATGCGGAGCTCGACATGACGGTTGAGGAGTGGATTCGATACCAGATAGAGGTGGAATTCGATAAGTTCCGCAGAGATGGCGAGAGGGAACTGCAGAGGTTTAGGAAGAGGGCGGAGGAGGTTAGGAAGGTTATTGAGAGTCTTTAGGTTGCGCTTTCCTTGCATTCTTGTCAGGCACTAAGGCGGATGCGTGGTTGCATTTATTTTCGTTTGTGCATTTTATTCACTTTGGCGTTGCGACTCTACTCCTATTGAAGGGCAGCTGAACGGCCATCCCAAACAATGATGACAACACTAACACTCTCAGAATCGAAAGACGAACGATATGTTGAGTAGTGGGACATTTGGCGTCCCACATTTTCTCCAAGGAAGCATGACTCAAATCACGCTCTAGACCAACCCTACCCGAGGGAAAACGTGCTCTGTCCTCAGGACCGTCCGACCTTTCCCTTGTCATCCGGCTGCCATTTCAGGCAGCTCTTATGACGGTGGCGACCCTGATCGCTGTGAAGGTTTCCAGATTTGGGAATTGTGGATTAGTTTGAACTAAGGATGAGAGACGATCAGTCTCGATTAGCTGACGAAAACTTGGCTGGCCTGCCACGAGCCATTTCCTCGAAGCTGCTGATATCAATATTCGAGAAGCATTTTTCCACAGGTGCTTAATTTTTACTAACGAGCAGCTAAGGTCGTGTGTTTATTTACATTGCATTGTTGGTGTTCGGCTGGTTAACCCTGTTGACAGTCTTGACCTCTCGGTGTCTGGATGCCATATCTTCCCCCTTCCGGTGCGTGACCCTCGGGATCAGACAGAATCATGATTCGAACCCACGACGTGGCCCTCTGCGTCTTTCCGTATGGTAGAGCCCCCATGAAGAAATAAAAGACGCGATTTGATCGCACTGCGATGGTGGCTTCGCTCACAGAGAAGTGGTGAAATCCGAGACGGAGCACAGGCCGTTCGGCATGCCCAGAACATGAGCCCCACCAATGAAGCAGGTGTGGTCGCTTTCCTGGTCAGTGGACGTACGTTTATGTGTTGTGAGTGTCCTCAGTCATCCGACGCTTATGTATCACTCTTCGGGGAGGTGATCCATGAATTTGACCCCTCTCAGCGTCGACTCGTCATCGTCGCCGCCTTTTGGTTAAATTCCTGGAGAACGACGCAGCTGCCTCGTCGCGAGCCCGCAGGATTCCGGATTCCAACTCAGCGAAGATGCTACTCCTGGTAGCCGTAGAAGCAATGTGGCGTACACGCGCCCTCAGTATCTCCGCCGGGCCGAATTGAGCGCGGGTTTCTTTGGGGATCTGGACTGCGTTCGTTAAACGACCATGAACCTTCTTGTGAAATCATGGCGCTTTCTAGGCTTATCTGATATCAGGAGCTTCCGCGATAGTCAATCACCAACCATCCTGTCGGCGTGCTGGAAATAAGAGGAAACACCGGTAGAAAGGTAATGGTCGGGCTATAAAATAGCCTTGGCTTGCCAAAAGTGCGATCGCATCGTTACATCATAAGTCCACAGGGCTGGGCCTTCCGTTGTTTTCGTATGTCGGTTACGGCAATCATATTTTAAGGAGCGACGGACCCGTGTCGGCAAGTCCGTATGGACGCTGTTCATAGCTGTTCATCTGCAAGAACGGTTATTCTCTTTTCGCCGAAAGGCTTGGGAATGCTATTTTTCGAATACCTGGGAGAGAGCGAGGGACGCGGACCACTTTTGTCACACAACGTTCAAAGAAGGCTTCACTCTGCTTCACTTCTATCCAAACGCCCACGCTCCTCGATGAACTTGAACCGTATTGGCTACTTTCGGTATTCTTACGAACGGGATTTTTGGAGCGGCGGATCCCGCAGTCTTAACAGCCCACCATGCGGTAGTGATGGTAATGATGTCGATAAATTATCGCAATGATCACCAGGCATAAAAGCGACAACCTCCTGGCTTTTCATAACCGCTTTTGCGGCCTAACCACCTTCGCTTCTCGCCTACCCAGCCACCCCCAAGAGACGCCTTCAGCGACGTGGAAAAGACTCCCATGCCACCCACTCTTCCTCCTGATATTTTCGCGATCATCTTTGGTCATCTCGAGGCCAGAGATGTTCTTAACGTGAGACTGGTGAGACCATATGCTCTCCTATTTTTGCCTCGAGGCTCAGCAAGCGAAAAGGCATGCAAAGATTTCCACCAGCTCAGCAAGCTACGAATAATTTGGGATTCCCTCCTTCAACGAGATGTAATTCAACTCGACATCCCTATTCCAGGGCTCCACGGTCGAGCGCTAGACACCCTTGCGGCCGAGGAGCTTGAACACGCCTTTCACACCGCCTTGAAACTGCGTCGAAACTGGGTAGCTGACTCGCCTGTTATTCGGAGAGCTGTTCTGGTAATTGGCGTCCCGAATTCGCGAATCATTGCCCTGTTTCTCCTCCCAGATGAAAGCAGTCGGCGCTTGATTTCTCTATCCTCGTTGTACGGCCAGCAAGGAGTTGTCGTAATATGCTGCTGGGATACCAGCTCGCTCGACCCAATCTGCATTGCGAGACGGGAGGTCCGACAATTTGGACGGATGGCCGTCAACCGGGTCGCCTCCAGCCATGGCAAGATCGCCGTTGTTGTTGGACCAAAGTGCGTACTCCCAAAAATTTCGAGAGAAAAAAAAGACCGACTACATTCCCATCGCGTTGTCAGGTTAGAAATTCTTTCGCTCGCCTCTGGAACCTCCAGCCCAAGTCAGGCATTTGTGACCTCCGCCAGCATCGAAGTCGACCATGATATTCAAGGTGTCGACGGATTTCACGGCTCGTTGGTTCTTACTCGAGACAGGCTACGGTCATATCTCTGGGACATCAACAATCCTGCAGCCAAAATCATCCTGATAAACGACGCAACCCAGGTCAGTAGTTCCTACAATATTTTAGGACAATCCACAAACACTGTCGTTTCTAGCCCGGCCAATTCCTGGATTGCATACTCGCAGAACAATTCATCATCGTCCTGAAGGCTGGTGCGATGGAACTGTATGCACTTCCTCCGTCGATACCAGCAGGGCCAGCTCCTCTTGAACTCGGGCCTGTGGTGACCCACAGTTGGCAGTGGCGCGTCGACGACGCAGCTATGTCGGTACGGCATGGGCCGAGAACGAACAACGGTGTTACCATCCTCCTTCGCTACGGCACCCTCTTCCCCTGGGTCAGTACCTCTGCACCGTTCCAACGGGCTATCCACATCGCTGACTCCTCCTGAATAGGCCGTTAACGTGCTCCACCAATATGAGCTGCGGCCAAACTTGTTTTACGATCCATTCAGTCCTCTGACAGAAATGAATCTGCCATACGACTTCCCGCCCGGTTTGAACGACACGATAGGATCGCCTGTCCGGCTGCACGCGACATCAGATCTCGCCATCGGGCCGTTCGGAACGGCGATCTGGATTGATAGCCACACCGAAGCTACTTCAACCACGCCGATCGGGGTCAACGGCTTGCGGGAAAGCTGGCGACCGTCAACTATGAGAGCAGCGAAGACGAGGAGGAGCCAGGGCTTGCTCAGTTCACCAGTTCAATGGCGACGTCGGTGTACGCCTATCAGGAAGAGGACAACTGGGTCGCGGTCGAATTGGACGAGGTTGAGGGTAAAATTATCCTCGGACACGACGACGGGTTCATCACGATACAAGAATATGTATAACTTGAATAAGGGATACGCGCCAGTAGCTTCACCACAATTCGAGCCTAGAACAAGAGCTTGAAATTCCTTTGCATGACTCAGCTGAACAAGTTGAGAAGTTTATTTCAGGGCCTGGATCCCGAATACACTGACCTGTGAATTGATATGATACATGCTGTTAATACGGATTAATTAGGGAGTGGCAATAAGGACCTGTCGTGCAAGTGTTTAGCAGTTCGTTCGCGATAGTCATGCTCTGGATGAATCTACTGACGGCGGAAGGAGTCAGACCAAGGTCTTTCAGCGACTTCGAGAAGTCCGCTTGAGTGAAGGGTTTCCTTTGAGAAATCAGAATGAGCGCGCAAGGGATTAACAAAGGGAGACTAAACTATACCTTGGGAAGTGCTGAGCGAAAGTGACCGTGTCAACATCGATGGTGATCACCTGGGCAGCGAGGAATTCTGCGACTTCACGCAGTGCTGTTGGTGTTTTGTCAGCCGTTGACCATAGATAAGCGGGGTAGCAGCATACAAGACTCAGATGGCAGAGTTGTCGTATAAGGTTGGCCACCAGTGGAGAGCCGAATCTGAAGTCTAGTCTCTTTAAAGTCCTTCCCTGCAACCGCGGACGCGGCAACAGCGGCTGGTGTAGTCGAAGGGCCAGAAGAGGCTGAAGCGTCGACGATGGCTTTCCCTTCTCTTAGCGCTTTCTCCCTTGCTGCCTTCTCGGCGCGCGCTTTCTTGTCGGCCTCGATCTGGGCTTTGACAGCTGCTTTGGCCTTCGCGTCCTCGATCTTCTCTAGAGCGATTGACGAGGAACATCAGAAATGCAACGTCGAGGAAAATGGGCGAAGCGAAAGGAACTTCGCGAATGGAAAGAAAAATTGGGTAGTTTTAATTGCATACCTCGTTTCTTCTTCTCAGCTTCCTTGATCGCCTCCTTAGCTTGCACTTCCTCCCTGAGTTTGTTGATGTCCTGAGGTGATAGTAAAACAGTAAGTCGCATAATATAGAGATATGAAGGGAAATCTGAAGTACCTTTCCTGCCTTCCGTCTCAGAGTCTCGTTCGCTCTGTGATCCTTTGCCTCTTCCACGGCTTTATTGGCGCGTTTCTCGGCAAGCTTCTGTCGCAACTCTTCCAGTTTTTGTTTCTTCTCCTCTTCTGTGAGGGGCTTAATCTAAATCGCGTCAATCAGGGAAAGGATCGATGGAAGGGCAGCCCGAGCGACCAACCTCTTCGGTGGACTCCTCGAACTGATCATGTCCGCTTTTCTCAGCGTGGAAGTTAGCCAGAGCCGTGTTTTTGAAGACCTTCCCGCATTCCGAGCATTTGATACTCTGAGATCAGGTGAGAGCAGTCAGAAAGAAGCAAATAGAAACGATCTCGTCGAACGGTGCCTACCTTTGCCTCAGCCAGACCTGCCTTGCCAGCTCCCAGACTCCTCAAAGCTTCCGCATCTTCGTCATCCTCATCGACATCCATAGGCGCGCCCCTGCTACTTGATTGCTCGGAAACAGCCCCGAGATCGGGAACGGGCTGTCCCTCATGCTCCAATATATGGTCCATTGCGGGTTGCAGTCCTCGGTTTCCAGTCGCCTTCAAAGCCCCTGTAGAAGTGTATCAAGAGCATAAAATGGCGTCTTATCATAAGCATTGGTATTCCTGAAGCAGATCATAGAGACGGCGCACATTCGACTCGAGCGGGATCAAAGCCCATGCCTAGCAAGGTATCTTTATCACCAGCCATTGTGTCCTGTCCCAACTTGATATTGATATGGAGAGGATTTCAAACAGAAGATCAAGCGTGAGCCGCGAGAATAAGGACGGGACAAGTATCCTTTGAGGCCAATATTGGAAGACGTAGTGGTGTCTAAGGTCAATCTGAGCCTTGAGGTTGTCACGGTCCAACTTAAATCATGCAGGCTGAATATGGCAATATATTCTCACGAACTTACCAATGATGGGCTTGCCAATGTTTCCTCCTTTTCTTCCTCGCTCCTCATGCAAGCTTTGAATTTGACCTCTCGACCTCATAGCTCGCGTTTTCGCTGGCGAACTCAGTTGACTCTCTCTCCTACCCGCATTGTGGCTTGCTTGGGGAAAAATTTGCAGGAACTCGACTTCTTCTGTCATGGCCTTAGGCTTCAAAGAGTATTCGACGACTGTCTACGAAGGGCAGATCTTAGTATCATCTGCGGCAGCCAGTTCACTCGAGGAGGGGATACTGAATCTGTCTCTGGGTTTCTTCTGCTCTGGGCACTCAAGACTCCTATTGGTCAACTAAGAACTACTACGCGCTGAAAGGTGACTCGCATCGTGTTCCATCCCCACCTGCTCTCTATGTTCCGGAGATCATATTTCCCGTGTGCCACAGTCGAAGACGCTCATTATGACAATATGGAGTCGTCACTAATTAGAAGCCTTTTCTCTGCTGCCCCGTATTCTCTGCTTTCCAGGCTGAAGGGGAGGTCGGTGCGTAGCGTCCTCGTCAGGACTTGTCACTTGAGTTGACGAGACAACAGCCCCAAAAAACCGAGCTACGCCTCGAATACAGCTTTTTTCAGTAGAAACACGGCGGAGGCTTGATTTGGCTCAGAACGCACGGTGCATCTTGGCCTCCGATGTTTCCGTCCATGTTGAAGAGGGTCTCGTACGGTGCCGTAGACGCACGTCGATATTGAAGCCAATTCGGTAGAGAATTATAATGCAGACACCCACCCTTCGGATGTATCTTCGCAATAGTGAATATTTGAATCCCCAGATCTAGCAGAAAATGTCAAAATAGAGGGGGATGGATCGCTGCCTTATCGGGAAGGAGTCATGAGGTTTGCGCTGGGCATCCTCGTTGAGGCCCTCATGCTCTTTGCTAGCAACAGCGACGACGCCACCATCCTTTACGTCATATAAGACGCTATTCAGCTAGATTGCTGAAAGCTCGTATCGTGTATTCCTATAATTCTTGTATGACGCTACCCTTCGGTCTTGCGACAAATGATGGCTTCATCGTCGCGCCACGGTGCCCGCTCGGTATCACCCGTCGAGGAGGACCTCCAACAGCTCTACAATGAAGTATGGGCCGTCTTCTCTGAAGAAACACCGCCGGCGTCCTCAGATGGTGATCTCGAGAACATCTATAACGGATACACCGATGATAACGACCCCGTGCCGACGTCTTCGGCTGCTAGCCGCTCTTTACATATACCTCACCAACCCTGTAAGTTCAGCCCTTCTCGCGAGGCCTGCCCTTGATTTCATTCTCCGTAGCTGCACGAGCGCCCAGTCCATACACCCCTCCTGTAGACACCAGCAGCCCGGCTGCACCATCTCCTACCGCAACTTCTCCAACAAGACGCCGTCTCCCCCCAACGCCCGTGAGCCCATCCTCATCCACCACATCGCCTTCGCCGCTTGCTATGCCCGAACCCGACCCATATTATCCGCCAGGAGCCTCACGGCCGCACCACCTCTACAACTCCTCCTCTTACTCCTCATTCGCCTCCACTGGCCTTGTTGATCAAGGGAAGAGGGCGACAGGGAGCAGCTCGGCTTCCAGCTCAGGACGGCGATTACCTCAAGCTCCGGGATACGGCAATGGGTCGATGGATGATGGAGAACGAACCCCGGTTTCCACCATTGACCAACAGCCGCACTCTCATTATCATGGATCCAAACCCTCATTCTCAAGCTCCAGCTCGTTTACTAGCTACACTACGAACACGAGTAACACCACGAACGACGGGTACTATCGACCTCCTGGTGCCTTAGCTCCAGCTGTGCCTCCAAAACCGACGATCTATCGCGACTACCCGTTGGATCCAGCACCTTACGATGCCTACCGTCAAGACGACAGGAGTGTGAGGAATGACTCTGCCCACCCTCAATCCCACTACACCCCGTCAACCTCACAAAGTCAGACACACCTTCCTGTCAAGCAACCAGCTCCACCACCCCCACCGCCTCCTGCTGTCGACCACAGAATTGATCAATATGTAACTTATAGCTCGCCTCCGGCCACGGTATCGCCCTGTGCGCCATCATTACCTGCATTCGAGTCTTTCCAGTCTAATGGCGTTTTAGATGAAGGATTTCCCGACTTCACCCTTAAAAACCTTTCTGGCAGCCCATCGAAGAACAGCTTCTTTGATCGAAATGCACCCTCATCTTCTTCAAGAGTTGGGCGGTATGATCAACCTGATCCTGGTCCATCACGTACCGACTACAATTCCCCTCCACAAGACGAAGAAGAGGACAACTGGGATCCCAATCAGTACATGTACAACGAAGGCAAGGAGGGTTACGACAATGACTACGCTCAAGACAGGCCAAGTAGCGTTCTGCGGCGCCCAACCGACATGTTGCGATCTTTGGCGGATTACTCAGGCGAACCTCTGGACGTAAAGGAACAACCTCAGGACGAATACTGGGAAGACGAAGACGAGGATGATGAGACAAGATTTGTTAACTTCTCGTTGTTATCCCATATTGCCATGCAACTCCGTGACAAAGTTCCGCGAGGCACCCATGTCAAAGGCAGTATCCCATACCCTCGAGCGTTTACTGGCAAAGACATTGTGGTATGTGCTTCATTTAGTTTTTCTTGTGTCCGCAATAGCTCTGACTTCCGTCCAGTCGACTATCCAGACGCAGATCCAACGCGAACTCGCAATCAACCATGGTGTATCGACGAATGATAGACGGGTTGCTTTACAGGTTGCTCGAAGTTTACAAAACCAGCTCTTCTTCTACGAAGTCGAGTGGGGCAGTCGTCCATTGCAAGATGGTGTTGAGGACGTGTACATGTTCCTCGATGATCAGGAAGGTCCTTCTGATTCGATTCAGGAGCGTGAAGAACTGCCGACCGGCGTCGTCACAATGCTGACAAGATGCTATTCGCCAAGCTGCGGAGAAGGCCCACCTTGCTATTCCTTCACTTGTCCTCGAAAGGTGCGTTGTGGGGCCAATTTATTTTTCGTCTGTTAATCGGCCTTATTAGGGCAATCACACATTTGGTTCTCTCCCAGCTCAAGCAGAGACACCGACACCCACAAAAGTGGAGGAATGGACAAAGACAATAAGTCCAGATGTTTTGAAGTCCCTACCTGAAACTGAAGTCAACAGACAAACGTACGTCCTAACTGACGCCTGTACCGTTCACTTCTCATCAGAACAAACAGGATCATTCACAAACTGATCTCACGAGAGGAACAGTACCTACAAGATATTGACATCATCGAGAATGTTTTCATCAAGCCTCTGCGGTCTGCGAATCCTCCTATTATGCCGTCTCAACAGCTCGAGGACCTCATTGATGACATATTCGGCAATATTCTCGACCTCCGCGAGTGTAATCGTAGGCTGCTTGAGGTAATGTATGTCCGCCAACGCGAAGAGGGCCCTATCATTCTACGCATTGGTGATATCTTCCTTGACGCTGCGACCGAATTCCGATTTGCGTATCCTACCTATATCGGGCACTATCCAATATCGGAGAAGCGACTGAAAGATGAGATGGACAGCAATTCAGCTTTCAGGTTGTTCCTTGAGGTCTGTGTCATGTGCCATTCTCATAACCCTAAATTCATTGACTTATGTCTTCTATGCAGCAATGCTCTCGCGAGCAAACTTCACGCTCTGGAGATTCTCCACGTCTTGACCTCAAGCACTTCCTCAACCGACCGTCAGAGCACTTGCAGAAGTACCCTGTATTGCTTGAGGCGGTGTATCACGAGACGGCACCTGAGAACCCTGACGCTGAGTTCCTGGTTGAGGCGATTGAGGCGATCAAGAACCTACAATCCGTGGCACAATTGCGCACATTCCAGTCGGCGATGGGCAAGGGCACTCCCGGCAAGTGGGAATGGCATGATATCGTCTCAAAGGAACTTCGTGAGGGTTTCTCGAAGAAGGAGGCGAAGCGTCAATCGTAAGTATTTCAGTCGCCTTATATGTTCTATACCTACTTTTTTGCAGGATTATTTTCGAACTGATCAAAGGAGAAATGGCGTACGTCAAGGATTTGGAGAACATCATGCATGTCAGCACTTTGCCTATCACTTCTAGCCATTCAACTGACCATCATATAGATCTACATCATCCCTTTGCGCAATGCCGATCCACCCATAATCCCTCCTGACAGGCTCGAGCAATTCATTGAAGAAGTTTTCCATAACTACTCTGAGCTGTACGATCACCACAAGCGGCTGGTAGACAAATTCCACGAGATCCAACGCGAACAACATCCGCATATCAACAGCATAACTGCTCCTATGTTCGACGCCGCCCTCAACTTCAGAGAAGCCTACATGGAGTACATCCCGAATTACCCCATTGCTGCATACCGAATTGATGATGAAATGGCCAACAACCTGGCATTCAAGACCTTCGTCGATGTAGGTCCCCTCAAAGCAACTTGGTCGAACTTATGGCTCACTATTTTTGCAGCAATGTGTTCGCCATCCCGATGCCCACCGTCTGGACATGAAGAACTTTATCAATCGGCCCATCCCTCGCCTCCTCCGCTACGAGCTCCTATTGAAGGGTATAATGGATGAAACACCTCCAGGGCACGAGGACCTTGATACGATACCCAACGTTGTCGATGTGATCAAGGCTCTTGGAAAAGAGACAGAGCCTGGAGTGGCCTCAGCGAAGTCGAAGGTTGAAGTATGGCGGTACAATGCCAATCTTTCGTTCAAACCAGGGGAATCCATCGTAAGTTCTGGTGCCCACCTCACGTTCAGATGCTGAGCTATTGGTCACAGGACATGGATCTGCTTGACCCGAATCGCTCTCTGGTTCATTCAGGAAAGCTTCTTCGACAGCCTGAAAGCGGTCTCGAATGGAATGGTTGGAGCGAACTTCATGTTCTTCTGTTCGATAACTACTGTAAGGCAACCATTTTCTCAGCAAAACGGGAAGAAGTTGATGAGTTTTAGTGGTCATGACAAAACCGAAAGAGAAGGATGGTGTTATGAAATACGTCGTTAATCGTCGGGTAAGTCCTTCCATGCTCCACGATCCGTGCGTAGCTGACGATCTCTGAAGCCAATACCTCTGGATCTCTTGACCCTCGTCAACTTCACTGATCCTCCGACGCAAAGAAGCACTGGTATCCTCCGCAATCTGCGTAGGGATGAGCGCCACGATGGTGCAAGTAGCAATCAAACTGTTTCGCCCGAAAATGCCGCCGATTCTCGTTCTGTCTATCCTCTCACACTCCACCACAACGGGAGAACTGGTGGCCCATACATTCTCTATGCCGAGTCTGGCCAGATCCGAAATGAATGGAAGGAGAAACTGCAAGAGGCTCTTGGGACACGCAAGGTCGTGCAAGAATCTAACAAGGCCTTCGAGATCGAGTACTTGAGTCGGGATACCTTCGTTATGCCTGCAGTGTCCATGGGCAACAATGGGCCGTCATGGAATCAAGACAACCAGTTTACAGGAAAAGTGACGTGCTCAGTTCCTTTCAGTGAGCCTCTTGCCCGTTCATTCTCGCAAGTAGCTGATGCCTTTGTAGATACTCCTGACGGTCGAGCTCTGGTGGCTATTGGATGTACAGAAGGTGTCTGGATTGGCTTCAGACATGACCCCAAGTGTAAGCATTTCGAGAACGTCCGTCGTTGACAGTTTATCTATGTTGTCGATAGCCATCCGCCGTGTTCTTCACCTCAAGATGGTCACACAATGTGCAATGCTCGAAGAGTTTGGTATCTTCCTCGTCCTGGCCGACAAGGTACGTGCTTTCTTGTATGCACGCTTTCATCCTGACTTGTTTCCAGGCACTCTTTGCATACCACATTGAGGCGCTTGTTCCATCAACACCTCACGGAGCTCATACCGCTCAGGTCCCTCAAAAGCTCAGTGGTACCAAGGATGTCCATTTCTTCAGTGTTGGGACATTACAAGGACGCACGCTCATTGTGTACATGAAGAAGAAAGGAGTACGTACTCAATTGCCTGTTTCTGACTCCCGTTTAAATTTGTTCTTTCAGATGGATAGCATATTCCGAGTGCTCGAACCTGTTGGCGAGAAAATCAACGAAAGGGTCAAGGCCACTGTTGGATTTGGCTCTCGGCTTGGTTTCCGTTCTGCCAAATCGGAGTGGTTCAGAGTATACAGAGACTTTTTCCTGCCCTCTGATTCCTTCGATGTCATCTTCCTTAAGGCTCGCATCGCGATCTTCTGCGCCAAGGGCTTTGAAATCATGAATCTCCACGAGTGAGTCTTGTTTCTAAGAGAGCTTGGATTCGGTACTTATCGTCCCGTAGCTTCGACAGTATTACGCTTCCACAGCGAGAAGACCCACGACATGCCCAAATCGTCAAACGGTGCGAAAACGCCCGACCGCTTGGCATGTTTCGTTCAACAGACGATGAATTCCTCCTTTGTTACGATGGTATGACGTTTTTATGTTGACATTCATTCATTCTAACTGTGTTCCTTAGAATTTGGCTTGTACGTCGACAAACATGGCGATCCGTGTCGGTCAGCAGGCACAATAGAATGGGAAGGTACTGCCGAACGAGTCGCATTCCACTCGCCCTACATCCTGCTTTTCGATTCTCGCTTTATCGAGATCCGACATATCCAGACTGGACGGTTGGCACAGATCATCTCGGGGACGGAGATGCGCTGTACGTGGGACGGCCGGGGCGGAAATTCTCGCGTCGTCAATCCGGATCCTGCGGACGAGTTCCAGGAAGCGCAGGTTCATTTTGTGATGAACAGTATGGACAACGCTCCTGGCACCGGAATGAGGCAGCGAAATATTGTCCAGCACGTATGCGAGCTCATACCCACTGTTGCTCTTTATCCCACAGCTGGGCCGATGTCGGCACCAGCAGGCACAACTCCTAACCCGCCTGTGCAAATCACTCCCGTCGCGTACAACGGCGGATATGCCCCCTCTGCAATCCATGCACCAGCCAGTTCATATGCTTCTTCTGCAGCATCTTCTCCTCATCTGTACACATCGGCTCAACCACCTCCTCCAAACATGTACTCACCGGCACCAGTTCCGCCTAACATGCCCAGTGGCGGGGCGTACTACGATCGGGGAGGCTATCCGTCTCGTTCGCCTGATTTACAGCCTACACACTCATGGAGGTCGTGATAATTCCGAGGCTCACTATTTATCTGCCCCTAGTACTAGATTGCTGTAGGACCAGTCTTGATTATATCCCTTTTTTATCAGAAAAAGTGTGAGAGGCCAACAATTCCTGGCGGTGGTCGTCTTCCTTGCCCGTGCAAGGCCATCAAAACTGTGGGAAGGCCACCATCAAATATCACCAGAAAAGGCAATTCTGGAAGTTTGCCTCCACAACGCCTCAACGCTGCCTCAACCCCCCTTTCCAGACTCGCATAATTTTTTGAAATTTTTTGGGTGTCTGACGAGCTACAAATGTGTAACCACTGAATATTAAGAGACAAAATTACTGCCCCAGTGAGGTTTGAACTCACGACCTTCCGATTACGTAATCCGGGCCGCGAAGCCGGAATAACAGTCGGACGCTGTAACCAACTCAGCCATGGGGCACACTGTCGTTTCCGACAGTAGTGCATAATTATCGGAACAGATCATATCAATGACCTACTTGCATCAGTCTTTATCAGTACTTCTTTGCCTTTTCACTCCTTTGTCACTGCCAGTCGTGCGCGCTTAATCACAAGAGTGACACCATGGCATATTCAACACTTGCTTCCGCTAAACGGCCACGCACATCTTCTTCCTCCTCCTCCTTGACTCCATCTGAACCAACACAACCACAGGAGGATGTGAACCCGCCATTCAAGGCCTCTCGAATTGTACCTCTCACGACAATCTCTTCATCGGAATCTGGTCAAACCGATGCAGTTGTGAATCATCCCATACTGTGCAATCTACCTCCAACTTGCAGCCATAAACCAACCCCGATCGCTGATACGAACGAACTGGAAAAGCACTATGCAAAATATCACGCACACGTATGCGAGGTCGGAAGGTGCGGCTGCGTCTTTCCAGAAGCCAGGCTATTGGAACTGGTGAGTAAACTGGATCTCCCCGCGCCACCTTCCTTCAATCTACCCTCCACCGCTTAGCACCAGACGGAGTGTCATGACCCTATCGCTGCCTTGAGGAAAGACAGAGGAGAGAAGATTGTATGTTTTTCTGCTCCGCCGTCGTCTCGAATCTCACTTCTCTTTGTAGTTTGAATGCCATGTTCCGGCCCCAACCTGTGGTCGTAGCTTCCTGACACCGAAGGCCCGACGTCTACACCTAATACAAGCCCATGCGTTCCCAAAGGAATATTTCTTCGCGGTCACAAACAAGGGAGTTGGCGGATTGTTGAAAAAATGGGGTGAAGGTGCAAGTCTAGTTAGGAAGGAGTGGAAACCCAGGAGCAAGCAACAAAGGGATGGCGCAAACGTTCACAGAGAGGATGCACGTATGGATGAAGACGAAGAAGAAGAAGACAGTGAAGAGCAAGATGAGGACGACGAAATCCTCGATGAAGACGAAGATACTCGCGATCTCGATGCAACGCCTCGCATGCAGCCTAGGCGCATCACTTCGCCAGGATCTTCTGATCGCACGCATTCCAACCATACTCCACACGATAACGCTGGAGTAGCAGCCTTGACCGACTCGCTCAATTCTCTGTCTCTCGTCCCCAATTCGGTTCGATTCGGAAGAGGGGGGAAGACAAGCGGTTTTGCACCCAATAACCAGGTACGCGGAGGAAAACGTGGACGGGGCAAGCCACAAACCAGAGGAGCCTCTCACACCGCTCAATACCAAACGATGGAGGTAGACCCTGTGCCAGAAGCCGGTCCACCTGGGAGAAGGACAGGAAACGACCTTGGTCGTTCTACTATCAACAGCACCTTCGTTCCTCCAATAATCAGAGGTCGAGGCGTCCCAAACCGAGCGAGAGGCAGGGCGAGAGGTCGAGGGCGAGGCGCTTGATTACCGTCTGCGCCCGTCTGCGCTGCTTTTATCTGAGAAACATATATGTCACGCCGCCATGAAGGTGGACCTTGGGGTGAACGGAGAAGTATCAGTCACTGTAGGATTATCGACATCACTTGTATCCTGTATTCGTAGTCTGTTACACAAGGTGAACTGTCCTGTCAATGTTGTGGGCGCCTATTTCAAGTTCGCTTTGTCATTCGGCAAAACCCTATTACTCTATTCCTTACATAAGTCAAAGCGTGCGCACCGCGATGCTTTGAACCACATTTCCACCTGCAGACTTTGATCCGTCCTCAGCCTTCCTCCTCACAACATCAAGCCCTGATGTTGAAATATGGACGGCCAATCCGAGCCGAGCCTGCTCCATTTTGGCGCCCGCGCCTCTGGCGCCGCCATCTAGCCACAAGTATGTGCTTTGACTCTTTCTTTTATTCACTCTCCGTGTTGCATCGCCTCGCATTCATTCGTGTACCTGCGGTATTCCTCATTGCGCATTTTTCCTTTATTTATCCCTGGGATATTCAATCCCATTTTCTTACTATTTAGTAGCTATGGACTCGCGTCGTCTCCCCTCAGCCGTTTGCTTCCCAAGCGACTCAACTTCTCGTGCTAGGATTCTTACACCTGACTCAAACTCAAAACCGGGAGTCAGCATTCATTCCGCTTGTGGGTGACACTGCAACCTTTCCGTTGTCAGAGCGCAGGTTAATTATCGAACGCTGAACAGTGAACTCTTCAGTCAACGACCCTGATGCGGATGTCGTCTTCGTGTCCTCAGATGGCATGCAATTTCATGTCCGCAGGAAAAATCTTGAAGTTGGCACCAGTGCTTTCCCCAGCAGCGAGTTCGATACACAAGGATTTCGGGACCCGCGGAAGTTATCGGCATTCTATTCCAATTTGTTCCGTTGCCTGGATTTCAAGACTGTGGCTGCAGTGGCGGAGGCAGTCGAAAAATACGAGGGATTCACGGCTATGAACACGTGCTAAGTACAGCTAGTGTAAGAGGAATTAATTTCAGAAGTATCTCACAGTGATAATGTGCTGAGTCTTATTCTTTCAGGACATTCATCCCAGTTTTCCCAGCTAAGATACTTGCCCACGCACTTAAACACGATCACCGCGATATAATGGATGAGGCTGCCCCCAAGCTGATTCAACGACCCTTGCGCATACCAGAAGTTGCATCGCAGATCTCGAGTCAAGATTTACTTTCCTGGGTAGCTTATTATTCGACGGCCATTCCCTATTATATACGATGCTGACTTGGATACAACCGTGGGCTCTGTATGTAGATACAATACAACGCGGCATGGAAATCAATTTTCTCCCAAGCAAGACAGGGATATGGGACTTTATGTTACGAAAATAGCCCATGCTGCAAGTCCTGCTCTTTCTCGTGCAATCAATGGGTCAAATGGCTGGAGCAATTTCTCCTCGCGCCTCCAAGACGCACTGGAGCTGAAGCTTTCGGAAGTGAATCAATATCTTCATTGCAGAAATTGCTCCAGTACTTTCAACAAGGAGGACCACTGTCGGTGAACTATCTCAGCTGCCAGTATAATAAAGAGTGGTATTAGTTCTATACCAGCCTTCACTTATTTCTTAGATGGGAATTTGACCTGGAATATGCCTTTATTTAATTTACCTCGAATCTATGTTCCCCACAATGCAATGTAGGGAATGTCCGAGCCACATGTTTATATCAGTAGAAACCACTAATCGTCTCAGCGCAATAAGAAAGTCATGACGGTCATAAGTTGAACATAACATCGGCTCTCGCGCGCTTAACTTGCATTTGTCAGCAATTTCCCAGAGCGGAACCGATCCGAGTCAGGGGTGCATTCCTCTTGCCTCTCTCCAACACGGTCGAGGTTGTGACGATATGGCAGAGACTCGGGCTGGTAACCTGGGGGCAGTTCATACCAAATGTGAGTGGACAACCCCGATGTCGAACTCCAGGATTCACAGACTCCTTTATTTTCACACAAACCGAACGTCCACAAATCCAGTCAATGCTGCCGACGCAGATGTGGTCTTTCAATCACCCGACGGTGTGCAATTCCGGGTACACAGACGGAACCTAGAGATCGTCACAGGTGCCTTCCCTGGCAGCGAATTCGACACATGCGGAGAGATAACGCATCTCACGGAGCCTGCGAGGGTGCTGGCGGTCATATTCGACTTCATCTATCCGAGGAGGTACCCTGACTTGAAAGATCTTCCGTTCGAGACACTTGCGGAGGTGGCTGAAGCAGTGGAGAAATACGAAGTTTTCTCTGCGATGCCCACGTGTGAGACACGCTTGAGGTACGTCCCCTTCCTGTCGCATCTCTCGCACATGTCTGATATTGCCGTTGGTGATGACCACGGACAGAGAGTTCATTCCTCAACGATCTTTGGAGATCCTTGGACACGCCCTCAAACACGGATATTCTTCTCTTGTCGCCGAAGCAGTACCACATATATGTCGCCTTCCTTTGTCCACAGTCATGGAGAAATTGCCGCTGCATTACTTGCCTGCCTGGGTACGAGAGCACCTAACCTCTTTTCAAATATCTACTCTTTTCTAATTTCTATGATACAGGTCCACTATTATGAGGCTTGGAGTTCAATATTCGCTTATGCTAGGCATTCACTCCGTGGCGACAATGGCTTCCAGTCATGTCAGAAAATCGTTCTGGGAAGCCCCCTCGTTAGTAGCTGCTGTCAGGCATGCAGAGCCGCCTGTGTAGCCTATATCACGAGCCTACAAGAACTGAACACACTTTCCGCATTGAAGGATGCCCTCTCGTTCACGTTCAACCCCTTTCCTAGCGGCCAGCAATACTTCCATTGCGGTAATTGTAATGGCACTTGGGGAAGGACTGACGGGATCTACTTGTGCTATCACTTCGTCACTGTGTCTAACAGCATCAAGAAAGGCATCGACACAATCCCTCCCTTTGATTACTTTTTAAAGGGGAACTCTTGGGGCCAAACATCATAGAGATTAAATGTGTTCTTCGGATTAAATGTGTTCTCCGGATACAAATGGGCCCCGGGCAATTGTAAGAAATTATATGTAGCGTCCATGATTCGTTCTGTACAATATCATATTATGCACTTATGCACTACGTGTCGAACGCTCGAGGCGCCTCTCCCTTGGCTGTTACAGCAGCCCCACCCCACACCGTTCAGTCGACGCGGTGATGCAGATGTGACCTTTCAATCATCTAGCGGGGTCCAGTTTCGCATCCATCGAAAAAAAATTGAAGTGCATACAAGCGCATTCCTCGGGAGCGAGTTTGACACTCGCAGCGAAGTCACGCACCTCGCAGAGGACGCTGACACAGTCGCGATCCTCTTCCAGTTTATATGCCCCAGAAGGCATCCGACGCTCCAGGACGCGGACTTCAAAACACTCGCGTTGGTGGCTGAGGCAGTGAAGAAGTACCAGGTATTGTCGGCAATGAACATATGCGAGATGCGCTTGAGGTGAGCATTCCTTTTGGGCTGTGGTCCAAGAAGATCTTCGAAGATAGATTGCTGATCTAGTCGAGATGGAGATTGCCTGGTATCTTTTGCTATGGTACTTACACTCTTGATTATAGATGGTTCGTTCCAGAACACCCGGTCGAGACCCTCGTGCATGCCATTAAGCATGACTATCGAGAGCTCAAAGAAGATACATTCCCATACTTCGCTCGATCACCTTCCACGGACGTGGCAGCACTTTCACCTGTTGCTTATATATATCCTTGGGTCTGTGTTAAGGAAATAATCCTTGTATGACCCCTCTGGTGTCCTGTGGTCTTGCTAGATTCAGTACACTGAAGCCTGATCTATATTCGCTCGGGCAAGACAGGTGATACAAGAATGGCATTGGGTATACAGCAAGACATGGATGGAAAAAACAAGGTGATTCAACAGCTTATGTAACACGTAGCGTGCTCTTTCTATTCTTGCACCATGACTTACATGGGCGCCTATTTGATGGGCTTGGCGATATCGTCTCATCACATGATTCAATCGATCTGCTCACGTCCATCGAACTGTCAACGATTATTCGTCGTTATCTCCTTTGCAATACCACAACTCAAATAAGAGCCTGATGTCGAACATGCTAGCAGTCGTCTCCACCCACCCCGATTGTACGTGGTGCCTTCTACTTTGCCCTCGGTACTTAACAATGTAGAAATTCTGGATGAATCTAATCCCACCTCCAGTCAACGCTCCCGACGCGGACGTGACCTTCCAGTCGTCCGATGGCATCCAATTCCACATACACCGCAAGCATCTCGAATCGCATACGGGTGCATTCCCCGGGAGCGAGTTCGACACACGCGGCGAGGTGACGCACCTCACGGAGCACAGCAAAACGCTCGCGATCCTCTTCCAGTTCGTGTACCCGCGCAGGCACCCCACGCTCCAGGACGCGGATTTTGCGACACTTATGCCTGTCGCAGAGGCAGTGGAGAAGTACCAGGTGTTCTCAGCGATGAATACGTGCGAGGCACGTTTGAGGTGGGTGTGATCCTTGCTTTGATTAGAACAAGATGAGAGCCGATCGGTTGATACAAGTGGGTTTTTTGCCATCGCAGGCGCTTCGTCCCAGAGCATCCGATTGAGATCCTCGTTCATGGCGTCAAGCATGACTATAGGGAGCTGAGGGAAGATACGTTTCCCTTTATTGCCCGAATGCCCTTTAGGGAAGTAGCCGCGCTGCTTCCAGTCTCTCTCCTTCACCCTTGGGTCCGTCAATTTTCTTGCTGCTTTATATGCTCCAGAATTCTGATCGCTCATAAGGTCTGTAGGTCCAGTACACGGAAGCATGGAGGTCGATATTCGCGAGGGCGAGACGGGAGATACAAGGATGGAGTCTAGGAACATCACGCAATGACGAATGTTCAGCTGGATCTGGATACTATGGTTGTAGGCCCTCTTGGTGCTATGGATGCGCAGTGTGTTGCTGGGAATGGCTTCAGGCGCTTGAGGACATCACAGCACCTCCAAGGCTTCGAGAGGAGCTCAAGGATCCTAAGAATGCAGGTACTAACCGCCGAAAAAACCTCCATTGCTCCCACTGTAATCGCCAGGAGTGCAAATGTTTGCTCGAAGTGAGAAGAATAGTGGAAAGTGGAATCGCAACCATCCCTCTCTTCACTCACTTCCTCAAAGGAGGAACGTGGAGTATGCCCTAGGAGAAGGTCGTGAATGGCAACAGCATTACTGTATATCCTCTAAATCACTCATCGACATCAATATATGCGCCCAAAAGCAACGATCCAAGTGTGAAAAAAATGCATTAATTCGACAACAAGAAAAAGTGGGTGCTAGTGATACAGTAGGGGTACGTGGATATCGTAAATACATGTAAGGATAACAAGAAAGCATCGACAAGGGGGGTCGGTCGTTAATTAAATAGAATGATACAGTTAGCGTGAGTGTGAGTGTTCGGGGCACAATCGTAGGATCGTGACAGCGTAGAGCGTAGAGCGTACATCGAGCGCGGCGCGGCGGGCGGTCGTTAGGTGGTACATGGCGCGTAAAGTGTGAAGCGTGAAAGACGTACAGAGGAACAAAGGAGAAGGGGAAAGGGGTGGGTGGGGTTTTCGCGTGGGGTTTTCGTATATTTTGGGTGGACGGACGAGTGGATGGAGGGGTAGGTGGGTGGAAGAGGGATGAAGAAATAGCGGCTCAATTGCCCCTCCGTCCGAACAAAGCGCGCATCCCATATCGCTTGCTCGAAGCTATGCTTGGTGGTAGGTCGACGACCATCGATGCAGGTGCAGGCTCAGGCACAGCAGGAGCGAACGAGTCCTCCATGAACTCCCTGCGCGCCTTCTCTGCACCGCTTGGGCTGGGCACCTGCCTTGCCGCCGTCCCAGAGTGGCCAACGAGCTGGTTCGCCGCCTCCCGCCGCGCAACCTTCACATTCGCGCGCACATGCGCCGAGCTCGCGAGCTTGAGGGGTGCAGGGCGTCTGCGCGCCTGGCCCCTCGGTCTCTCCCCCGTTGGGCTCCGCGGCGAGCGAGGGGGCTTCGGGCTGGAGCTCCCAGGGCTTCTTGGTGGTCCAAACGCCGCAGCGTCGAGCATGAAGCGCGGCTTGTGCAGGTGCAGGGCGGCGCGCCGGGGCCGGGCGGGCAGGGAGAGCACGCTCATGCCCGCACCCCCGATCCGCGTGGAGGCGAGGACGTGGTCGTCGGGCGTGCCGGTGGTGAAGGAGGGTACGGGGGCGTTCTCGGGGAGCGGGAGGAGGTACTTGGGGTCGAGGTCCGAGTCGACGGTGGAGATGCTGTCGCGCCGCTCTTCGGGGGTCGTTGAGGTGCCGAGGTTCTCTTTGTTGGCAGCAGCTGAGGATGCGGAGGTGTTGGCGAGGAAAGGCGCGAGCGGCTCGCCCTCGGCGTCGTCGAACTCCTCCCAGTCCATCTCGTCCGTTTCGTCTTGGCCGCCGAGGAGGTGGGCGTACTCCATCTCCTCATCCGCGTCCCACCAGACCCCGCCCTTGCCGTCGCGGTACACGTCCGCAACCCCAGCGAGCTGGCCGGAGGTGCCCGCGGCGGCCTTGGCCTGAGCGTCCATCACGCGCTTGACGTGCGACTCCATGCTCCCGCCGTCCGCGAACTGCATCAGCGCGAGCTCGTTCGCGAGCGGCGGTGGCGGGCGCACGTAGGCGTACTTGGCGCGCTTGCGCTTCGCGATACTCGCGGCGCAGATCTCGGCCTGTGCGAGTGAGGACGAGCGCGTACGCATAGCAGTGGTGGAAGGCTTGCTACGGGAGGCGCCAGTGGCGGTGGTCTTGGTCGACCTGGTGGATTTGGTGGGTGATGGTGGGGCCACTGTGTTCTTGGAGCCTTTCTTGGGGCGTAAGATGGAGAGCGAGCGGAATCGCTTCATGCCGAGGCGTTTGGTGGGTGCGGGGACGTCTTGGGGGATTGGAGGGATGGGGATGTGGGCGAACGCGCTGGCTGTGAGTGGGGTGGGTGGCTTAGCGGCACCGTTGGCTGCGGCTTGTGTAGCGTGGTACTGGCGGAGGTAGGGCGAGGGGGTGGTGGGTGTCTTCGGCAGGTGCACGAAGACAGAGGTGTAGCCGAGAGCTGTGAGGTCGAAGTCGGCGACGGAGGCGGTGGTGTGGGTGCGAGTGGGCGTGTCGACGATGTGAACGAAGGGGCCAGAGGGTGCACGTCCGTGTGTGATCGAGGGGCGTCGATTCAGACGCGAGAGAGAGGGTCTACGCGACGTGGTGCTCGTGATCGAAGGGCGACGGTGAGGGGATCGAGGAGCAGGAGAGCCGGGCTGGACCAGAGAGGCCCAAGCGATGATGTTTGAGTACGTGTTCGAGCGGCGTCGGTGGAGTTGGACCGGGACCGGGGGTGGCGAGCACGGTGGGGCTGGAAGGGGACCAGCAGGGGCGGGTCGCTGCTGCTTTTTTAGGGCGGACAGCGGGGGATTCGCAAGGAAGGGGTATCGAGGAGCCTTATACTCGGACGGGTAAGATACAGTTTGGGCGGCCATCGGGGACAGAAGCGTAAAAATTTCAAGTCTGCTAGATAGAAGCGTCGGCCATTAGTTTATGAAGCAACAGTCGAGAAAAGATGGGCTCACCGTAAAATTACTAGGGTGGGTGTCCTGAGATAGGGTATGGGGTATAGCAGGGACGAGGCGGGGAAGATAATTGAGAAAGCAGACGAACTCCAGACGAGACTAGCTCTAGAATGGGATGCTGTTCAAGGACAGCCATCGCAGCCTTATATTCGAGTAGACGGACAAAAGCTGGTCAGGCGAACAATAGTCTCCACTGTCCTCTGGTGCCCAAACTCCTCAACACACCTATTGTTCCCGTACCCCCAGACACCGTCACACATTAGTGATCGTCACGTCACAGGTCGGTGCCAGCGGTCCCGATTGCCGGAATCGGCGACCCTTGTACGTTGCACTCGTTCCTCCACCACTGCTGGACAATGTCCTGTTTTCATTTCATGACTTCCTCCGCCTGGTATCTTGACGTGTGTGCCTTAACAATTGCCTATCGCCGTCCATGCTCCGGCATGACAGCAACGTTTAGCAAAGTCTTCGACGCCCTTATTATCCTCAGCCTGTTCTTCTACTAAGAACGCCCTCGGATCTTCCTCATCCTCACGTCCTTATAATTTCGTCGTCTGGTCTTTGTCTCTCATCGACGATGCCGCCACCTGCTCTCGCGCAGTGTCACTTCCGCCGGTCCGGCTTCGTGGTCGTTCCCTTGGCTAAACAATCGCTTTGCTCAACGCGAAACTTCGCTCTCTCATGTTCCTCTTGTTTTCTCCATCTGCGCGCTCGTGGAAGCACCTAAATGCGGCTCGACATGCTCATTCGATTTTCCGTACTATTGTCAATTGAGCCGCCTCCACCCCTTCTTCCGATTCTTTCTAATCTCTCTGCGGCGCAAGATCAGGGCTTCTCGCAAAATTATTGTCTTCAGACCTCCAGACCGCTCTTCTCCTATTTTCCGGAGCCACAGCATACCCCTCTTCATTGACGTGACCCTTCGACTTCTTGCTACCGACGCATACCCGGTTTTCAAGATCTCAACTCTCGGAAGTCTTTAAACGAACAAAAACGCGCCGGCAACGTACACCATAAGGACCCCCTCCTCGATCCACTTTTGTTGTACGGGACCCCGCAAGGTTTCACCACCGGTTCGGTTAACCGGTTGGTCCTCGTTTCATCCTTATCTCCTGTCGAACGGGGCCATACTCATGGGACAGAGAGATGCCTCGGTTGGCGGCGACCATTGAGATATCTCGAGAACCCTCTAGATGGAAGCCGCCGTGGAATACCTCTGTCATTGCTACTGATAATTTCGCCGCGTCACTTTATTATGTCAGCGTGCTCTCCTGGACTCCAAAGCCTGTGAGCCTTTTGGTTATAGTGACGAACGATAACCGGCGTCATGACGCGACATCTACGAATCTAGTCGGCGCACAAGACCATGACTATGTTCTGAACGTTTCTTCATTGAGCCTCTCTTTTCCCTCATCTTCCCTGTGCCGCCTTGCGGTCGAGGATGCCACTCACTCCATGTGCTACTGTCAGGGCCACATCGACCACTGGGAGTAGCTAAGGCCGGATTCTGCAAGTGGTTGGTCGGGGACAAGGCTGCACTTCTAGAGTACGATGTGACGGCCATACGGCTAAAAATTAGGACCCTCTTTTCCGTGCTCGCCGAACGCCCATACAAAGTGATAGGTTGCTCTTATGATGCACTATGAAATGCATTCTCTTCCTTACTTGTACACTGAACATCTGTACATAGGAGTCGGCGGTATTAATACACAATACACCCTCTTTTCTTCCTCCTCTTTGGCCAATAGTCCTCACAAATCACAATACAGTGATGTGCCTACGGTGGGGATCATGAGAATAATGGATGAGAAACACCCAAAACATCGCATTGAGTGGCTCTGAGATGTGAGGACAGATTCCCGGTTGTGGGGCTATAACCAGCGGGCACGCGCGACTGAAAAACGAGCGCTAAACATGGAAAAGTGAAAAACGAGACAACGGCACCTCTGGAATATGAGGAACGAGGGCGGCGAGAGAGGAAAAACGAACTAAGTTCTTTTTTTTGTGTGTATAAGTAGACATGAATTTTATATCTACAAACAAAAGGGAGCCCGGCATGTGAGATCTCCGAAGATGGTGAGGGAAGAAAGAAAAACGGACAAATTGAGAGAAGAATGAAACAGAATAGAAAAAGGAAGAGGCGGCAACTGCGTTATGGGAGGAAAAGGCTACTAAACAAGGAAAGGGCGGCGTGGTGAACGCCTTGATGAGGCAGCGCGGGTCACGGGATGGCTACATGGACTGACTGAGGGTCTCCGGATCCGTCGAGGAGTTATACGGCGCGATGGGAAAGTTCCAAGGACGGCAATGCGATGACGAAAGTAGAAAAAAAGGATTTTCCGTGGGTAGAGGCGGAGCTGGCTCATCAACATATGCTTCGTATTATTCTGTATTTTGTGCACTTCTTGGAAAAACACAGCGGCTAATGGTCTAGTGCCCGAGGTGGTAAGGATTTCTCTAACTGATAATCTTCTGTGTGTACGGGCCAGACGTGCCTCCTGTTCTTCATCGCATGAGTCTCTTGCTTTTCATCAGTAAAACAATAGAACTGACATCCTGCGTATGCCTAGTTCTTCAAGAACTCATTGAAAGGTCGGAGAGCCATAATGCCATCCCTGATCATCGTCGCAGCCTCAGTTCTCTTCTGATCTGTCCCAGCTTCCCATTTCCGAGGGCAAGTGCACTTGTTGCAGTGGTGTTCTGCTGTCCCGTCATTTGCCTCCATGTGTAGATTCCGCTTCAGTTCAGACAGGCTCGTAATCTTCTCGAGCTGGAGTATCCAGGCGATCGATGCCATCGTCCTGCACCTGTCGCTACCACCAGAGTAGCAGTTGTTAGGGTTCCCCCCGCAATACTTCTCGTTGATTCTCTGAATCGCGGACTGGAAGATTTGTCTCCACGCTTCATGGTACCGTGCCTGCCGTTGACTTCCCAGGTGAATGAAGTGAGACGCCGGTTTGGACGCAGTCGAAACGCACCCATGCGCGAGCATACTTCAGCGGCAGCTTGTCGAGGACGTCGAGTAAAGGCTGGCGTGCAAGTGCAGGTACGCACGCCTCGATGAGGTCAGGATAATCGTGCTTGATCGCGTGGTCGAGGATCCTGGCAGCCTCTTTGGGCAGGAACTCCCTGTGTAGAGCCAACCCAACATCCATGAGCTGAGTCACAGCTACCCCACCCAACCCGAGCCATCATAAGGCGCTCACCTCAATCGAACCTCACACAACCGCATCGCCGAGTAGACCTCGTACTTCTCCACCGCCTCCGCGAGCGCCAGGATAGTGTCAAACGGGAGCCCCTTGAGAGACGGCTGCCTGCGCGGGTAGACGAACTTGAATAGCAGCTCGAGGACATTGGACCTCTCGCTCAGGCTGATGACTTCGTCAGGGCGTGCTTGCACCATCTTTAGGTCCCCGCCCGGGAACCCACCTGTGTGCATCTCGAGATTCTTGCGGTGCAGGCGGAAGAGGACGAGGTTGGAGGACTGGATTGTTATGTCTGCATCTGGGGCGTTGACTGCGGATGAACGGCGGACGAATTGGAGGAGACGCGAGGTTCGATGAGGTGGGCCGCCGTCAGTGATTTTGGGAGAGTGTGAGAGTGCATTGCTCACATTCCGCGTGCGATGTCGGGGTCAGCGGTTTGAATGCCGGCCAACTGGAACCCACGGTGACAGTAAAAGGCGCAGGCGCGTTATTGACAGTGCCCATTTCGAAATTCGCTAGTAGCCTCAGTTCAGGAGGGGGGCTGTTGTGGGTACAATCTTATGTAAGCAATTGATCGAACGCCGCGTCGCCGATCGGCATTTTTAATACCACCTCTGTGATTGGGAAGCGTGCAAGGTTCGGTGCAGCCATGTAGGGATAGTCATGATGTTGGAGTGCATAAACAAGTATTTCTTCTGAATGTGCAGGCAAGAATTTTCATCGAGCCAATTAGCATCCTTGGCTAACATAATAGAGAGCCACCAACTTATCGAAGCCCATTTACGCAACACTGCATTGCCGCAAATACCTCGTATTTCTCCACAGCTTCTGCAAGGGACAACACCTATTCGAACGGGATGCTCTCGAGATCAGGCTGGCGACGAGGATAGATGGATTTGAATAGGTCTTCAAGCACGCCTGATGGCTCCGTAAGAAGGGTCATTTCGTCTGGATTTGCAATGAAAGGAAAGGCTCCCGTGTGTGTCTCGAGATCCTTGCGGTGCAAACGAAACAGTACACCATCTGAGGATTGGATTACAATATCTGCATCTGCTGCACCAACTGAAGACATTCAGAGCTAGCTCGAGAATAGCCGGTCACCAGTGGATGGCCATGTTGCTCACAATCCGGGTGCGTGCAATGCATAGTCAGAATCGAATCGACATTATCTGCCAGGGGGCCCAGGGATGCCATTCGTTCTGGATCGTCCATGGTGAAGACCTGTTGTTAGGTGAAACGAGTAAGTATACAGATGTGATAGTTTGAGCAACGTGGTGGTTGGTGGTGGAAGAGAGAGAGGTCAGAACAGCCAAATAAAGTGGGAATTAGAAGCATTCGCGAAGGGCACGTGGGTGCCTGGTGTAACGACTCTTGCAAACGCAGCCTTAGAATGTTAGCGCCCATAACCTCCCGACGGTCGCTATTGGGGAAGGCAGAAAATGAATTGAAAACCCGACCTTTCTTGCTCGTTGTTCAAGACCGTGAGAAGAATACGTCGCTTCTAAATCGGATGAATGATGATAAGCGCCCGTTAGATCCACCTTGAAGTATCTGTGTCTCGAAACGTGATCTATGCGTCGCCTAGGGGCCACATCTCTTCATATGGGAATTACACGAAATGTATGAATCATGCTAGACGCTCTCCCGTCAAAAAGCTGCTAAATGAACGGATTGCCGTCAACGCTTCTTCGCACATCTTGGCAACCCCAGGCATATGCATGCATGCATATGAGCATTTACTGCAGTATTCAAACCGAGGGTAATCTTGATATTTCATGAGAGCCGCTTGCAGTGCTTCACGAGATTCAATTTTCTCAAGGTCCGCGATCCAGGCCAAGACACAGGAACGGCATTGGTTGCATATCTCGTCGTCCCCGGCATGACACGAGCTATAACGTCCTTTCCTGTCAATGAAACTTCTTGCCGCACCAAAGATGGCCTCTCGCGTGTAGCTATAAAACCGGAGCTGTTCGGAAGAGCATGGTGTTAGTCAAAGGCCAAAGCAATTTCTGGTGGGAGTAGAGGATGGCTCAATGCTCACCCAAGGCACTATGCAAACGAGAGGTAGCTTCTCGCATATTGCGACCAGTGGTGACATAATGAGGTGAGGCGCCGCTGTGTCAATTAACTTCGGGTAGTCGTGCTTGATGCCGTGGACCAAAGTCTCCAACGGATGTTGAGGAGTATAATGCCTAGTGATTCCAATGAGTACACGGGACAAAGAATAGCCCCAACATGAGGGAAGTTCTCACCTCAAGCGTGTTACACAGGTGTTCATGGCCGGAAAGACTTCATATTTTTCAACAGCTTCGGCAAGTTCGGCGAGGAGTTGAAAGTCCAGATTTTCAAGATCAGGATGCCTCTTGGGGTACACGTATTGGAACAGAATCTCCAGGACTCGTGCAGGCTCTGCGAGGTGAACCACTTCGTCTCGTGTGTCGAGCTCTGCACCAGGGAAGGCGCCGGTTATGACGCCGAGATTCGTTCGATGCAAATGAAATCTGACTCCATCAGAGGACTGAAAAATGACATCCGCATCTCTCGCATTGACTGTAGGTGACGTTAACGAAAGTCTGAAGCAGTGGATCGGCTCTTTACACTGATCATGATCGGACAGCGATGAATGTGCTGTAGGGCTTGAAGTAGTCGAGATATCGTCGGGATCGGCCACTGACAGAGAGCCCATGGTTAAAAGAAGAGCCATTCAAACGGAATATGGGAGGGTAGGAAGGTCTCGCTCGAAGTTCATGGACTCAGGCCAAGAGCACCGATGCTCATTGTGCCAAACACCTGCTCACAATTGGCATGAGGCGCCTATAAATAAAGTCTAAAGAAAAGGTGTTATACAGTTCTATAGGCCGTACCTCTTATGCATCTCCTCCAGTGCGCCACAACTTTTCACTCAGACCCGCTGTCGTCTCGCGTACATTTGTTCCTGAGCCTACTATGTCGACAGAACAGAGATTACGTCAGATAGAGGAGTCACTCACTGGGATCTATGTCGTGGTTCGAATGGATGAGTAGACCCTGGAGCCTGGAGTAAGGCAAGGTTTGTCACGGTCACTGCTGGCAGGCCCCTGTGTGATGGCATTGAAAATGTTTTGAGAATGTCCTTTAGTTGCTTAAAGTGTTACGCGAGACACAATAACGGGGGAAATGTAAAATTTTCCACGAAAAAAACGATAAATATTTAAAGTTTACCTCAACATTCTCTCAGCCGGATGTAAGCAACTAAGAAGCATTTTCGACACATTTTGTACGTTAGACAATGAGGGCCTGTCAGCAGTGGGTGGACTTATCGCTCGGGCTGTCAGTGCCGAAGAAGGAACGGGCGATGCCGTCCGCACGTGAGGCGGGACGGCAACTTGCATGCGACGGTCTGGGTGGCAATTGCCTGCAATTGCCGGACAATGTCTTCTTACCCTCCAGGTTCCACGCCGAAAGGTCAATCGCATAAGAGAACTTTTGCTTCATTGTACTCAACTAGAGTGATTTGCCGCCGCTGGCGGCTCATGCCTTGCTTGCAACAAATCTCATGACTGGGTATATTGACGGGCTAAGAACTGTTTACTGTAATTGTAAAGGTAGCCAACGCAGACATTACGCAGTTAGCACAATGGCAAGCACACAGCTAACCACGGATCTAATATCTACCCCAGAACAGACGGTCAGTTACTCCCCGTAAAGGAGGACCGACCAGTCTTCATACCTTTCAGGATATGTAGGCCGTCTTGGTTGGCGATTCGTCCACGTGCTCAAATACGGTCTCAGAGTAAACCACCGGCCAGATAGAGTACCTAAATGTGAGCATCAGAAAGTCAGAAATGGTCATACTTGTGATTTATTGACGAGATGAAGAATGTCGCCCACCTAGTAGAATTGAAAGGACGATAGACAATTTCCACCTGTAGCAAGGCGAATTCGCGGTGCGCTTTGTTATCTCAGCAACCCCGAAATCTACCGCCTCAGGTCAGATTTGTCAGGTGATATAAAATGAATTTACGATGTTTGTTACTTACACTGAAGCCTGAAGGCTTCAAGAAGCGACGAGGCATATCTGATCTTGTCTGACACAACTTTCTCCAGAATCTTCAGTAAGGCGCAGTGAACGCCGATCACATACAGTTCCTTCATCTTTTAATCGGGGAGGACTCATGTCATGGGATCAATTTCACAGTCGAGCCTTGGGACAATGCAGTACCAGCGAATGTTCACCTTCGTCTGCACGGCAGAAGATACAGTCAGAGGGTGGCTGATATAAATGAGGGAGATGCATCCATTGGAGACTCACCAGGGACACAGACAGGAAACATGGTGAGCTCGAGGTGAAATTGTTCTCCATCCTGATGAATCTCTGAGCCACAGGAACAAGGCCATCATTCGCTTGAAGTGCCAGCCGTCATGTCTCCTGGTCAAGTTCAGGCAAACGCGGGCCACTCGACTTGAAGGGTTGGGCGAATGTGTTATCCTGATTGAGTCAGTGTCAACAACCTATCATATCAAGGTGTCTGTAAGGGGTAAGATGGTTCAGCACACGGTGAAAAGGAAGCAACATCCACTTACTCGTGGGTATAGCGATACCACCTACAGAGAGGCTTAGTCTATTCAGTCTCGACATGGCGCTGTTACGGAGTTTTGGGCGGGAAGTTGTGTGAGAAGCAGCATGACTGGGCTTGATTGCGAGCGAAGCGAGCAAATCATCCACTAAAGGGCTGGAGGGCCCGGACAAACAAGGCCAAACTCTTGCTGCAGAAACTGGCCCTCTGGGTCGATGTTGGTGAGTCGTATTCCGTGGGATGGAGGACGTATCCTCCTCTGTAAAGTTGCATGTAGACTATTCATGTGCCATAGAATAAGATTCTCCAAGAAAATTTACCTTGTATCGGTGTTCTGGCAACCTGAGGCACGTCCTCTCATGCCGCATCATGAAGACCGGGGTTTCTCCGACAGCCCTCATCTTGTTACTTAGGCTCAGGCCAAAAAATATAAAACAATTACTGCAGCGCAGAAATTCTAATTTGACAGGAACTCGCGGACTAGGATGGCGCAGCGAGCCCTCCGCTTCTAGCGGTTACTTAATACAACTTACAAGAGGAGAGCGAGAACATGGTATGAGCAGATGGTGAAGCATGAAGGTGAACAGCGCATTGGTGATAAGGATAAGATTATCTTTTAAGTCACATGCGGTTAATTTGTTGAGATGTCGGAATGCTGGTGTGCCCGTTTCTCACGAATTTTGACACTCCCAGAACCCTTGCATTGCAAGCAAGGAAATAGCATATAAAGCATCATTTTTAGTACTATTTTATATCTAGAATTAGTTACCTATAGATACCAGGACAGAAGAAATAATGCCAATAGTCCGAGTCATGTGAATAGAGAGTGCTTCGTCGTTTTCACCAGCTCGTTCGTGGGAGGGGCAGCTTCATCTCGAATCTCCTGGAAGGATTTTATCATTGCTTGGATCCCTGAGCCCCAACCTAAATTCTCCCAACTAAGCGGCGATGTTAACGACCCCTCGTCCGAGACAACAATTCGCTGAAGACGAGGGAATAGTCGATCAATGTAGCGAGCGACCACGACGCTCTGCTTGATGTTGTTCATCCGCGTCGTTGGTCCAAACAACTCCAGTTCTTGCAAACTGTGAGCAGCTGGAAAACCATTTTGAGTCTCGAGAGATGAGAGTATGTCTGAACCTCCAGAAAGATCGACCCGAAGTTGAAGGGTCTTGAGGTTTGCGCAGTTTTTTGCCACATTCTTCAAGGAGGAGAGAGAGACCGTTGGGTGGCGTCCGTTGATGGATATCCCTGGCAATGCGAGCAGAGGCGTGACCTTTAGGACCTCTAATTTATTCCACCCATGGGCTGGATCACAGAGCGCGAGAAGGTCCTTGGACGAGAACGAGCAAGAACCACATTTGAATTCCAAGCGTTTGAAATGAATCGGTGGGCGAGGAGGCATGATGGTGAGCCATGGTATGTCGACAGGCACCCGGCTCGTGTCGAGGATGAAGGTATGGAGAGCTTCTGACCTCTCAACACATTTCTGGAGCCACGCACGTATCGGTGCCCCGTCTATCGACTGAATCTTTCCTAGGTTGGCCCAAAGAAAGCTGTCCTTGTGCAACGTGATAGACACAGTACCTAGATGTGGGGCATGGACACCATCTACGATCTTAGTAATCTGGTCGGCGGGTCCTTCCAACAAGAGAGTTTGAAGGCGCTCCAATTTTGTTGTCCAAACCTTGAAGGACAGTGGGTTGTCGTCTATCTTGATGTATAATGTCTTCAGCGACGTTACCTTCGAGAGGCCCTCGAACATAGATGCATCTAATGTCGTTCCTTCGGTCTCGATATGTAGGTGTTCGAGGCCGCTAAAACTGCCGAAGAGTTGGAGAGCGCTCAAGGAGAAGCGCCCCGATGCTGAGAGAGTGGAGATGGTAGGAGCATCTAGTGACAAATGGTACAGGAAGGAGGATGCCACGACTTCGTTAGACTTGATTATCTCTCTGATAGAGACCTCTTTAAGTGAAGGCGACGTTAACAGAAGAAGGCTGTCGAGGTTCGTTGAAGAGATGCTTTGCAACGACGGGATCGAAAGCTTCTCTAGATTTGGCAGCAACTGCTTGGACAGAAGACGCGACAGTGCCATATACACATGTTGGGAGATATCTTCGGCGAAATTTCCGAGTTTTAGATGTTTGACACGTGGAGCGTATATGTTGTACGACCGCAAATGTTGTTCGCGAATGAGATTGGCGAAGATCTGAGTAGTTTGGGTCAACACGCATCAAAATATTGAATCAAGAAAACTCACGTAAGTATCATTTACTCTCATGAAACCAGAAATCAACCGGAACAGCGGTATGAGCGAAGTCATTTGCGCCCATAAAAGATCCATTGCAGGCTCGAAGAATGGTTTGCACGCGAGCGCTATCCAAAGAAGAGTTTGTCTATCCTTTGGAGACTCGATGTAACTCGTTTCCAGACGAACAAATGAAACAATCGACCTGACGAGACCGTTGTTAGAGAAGACTTTGTTTCGCGGATGCGGAAGGGCAACGGCGGTTGCTGGAGAGTCAGAGTCATTAGAGGTTTCTGTGACTGGGGCGGATGAAGAGGCGGCAGGAGGTGCGGAAGTGGCAGGTGTCGGATCAGAGGGTTCCGGGGCGTATGGCTTGGAAGATGGGTCGGTTCCAGGAAGTGGAGAAACCGGGGTGGCAGGGGCAACAAGAAAAGAGGAATGGGGCGGTGGCATCTTCAGCGTGGCAGGCAATGCGAATTCAGATTTGAAGGAAAACGAGGGATTTGGAACATGTATTCCGTTCTGCGGACTGATACACGGCGCAAGTGTTAGTAGCATTGGCAGTTGTAGAGGAACCGGGAAGACATACGTCGAGCTTGGAGGAGACTTCACATCCTTGTCCTTCGACAAAACATTGGGGGCGCTGCGACGCGTCTCTGCCATTGATTTGGGGCTTTTGCGCATCGACATATATTGTAAGGCAGAATGACGCGTGAAAGTGTAACAGTTACGAGGCGGTCGGTTTGGAGCGAAGAGGATGTTTGTGGATGGATTCAATAGGGCTTCAATTTTTGGAAGCCAAGACCACGCGTCCTACTCGCTTAAATAGGTCCCGCGGTCGCGGATGAGGCAGTGACCCCTGAGAGCGGCCCACCACAAAGGCGCACAGGACAAACAGACAACCATTTGATGTCACGGCAACTCAAGGGTGGAAAGGATGCTTGACAACATTGAGAAGGCCCCGTAACTATTACCCAGGACAAGGTAGATGGTTCAATAAGCAATCGACACAGATACGGGATAAATTAACACACATCAGGACTCTCGATATAAATCCTGCACGACTTTTCCGATAGCGAGAACCATCTCATCTGTACCCCACTGCCCTACAACACTGATACCGACAGGCCACCGTTCTGATTCTCTGTCCGAGTCTTTCACGGGGACTGACAAAGCGGGCAAGCCTGCCAAAGATGCTGGCACGGTCAAAACGTCCTGAACATAGGCACTGAGATCGGAGGCACCGGACGAGACTTCGTTCAGCAGCGGAGCAGTTCGAATGGCGGATGGATGTAAGAGAACGTCGACTTTCGGAGATTTTGAACTGGTCATGACCGGCGAGTCAGAGTAGTGATTTGGAATGGCGAAGACGTGATTGAAATCCTCCTTGATGAGCTGGCGGACTCGTTGGGCTTGGAGGAAGTAGTTATCGAAAGCACTGCATAATGTAAGATCTTCGGAGCTTAGTGTTATAGTCCATAGACTTACTCGGCGGAGAGAGCATATGTCCCGAGGAGAATGCGTTTCTGGACTTCTTCACCGAAACCCGCTGTTCGACTTTGGGCATACACATTCGATGTCTTGGTAATATCGGTACCCGGAGGCGGCTTAACATACGAACCTATGACAGCAGGTATGAGAACCAAGCAGAATGCGACTAACAGCACGCACCATATTGCACCCCGTCGTAACGAGCTAGATTGCTACTCGCTTCTGCACTAGCAAGAACGTAGTACGAGCTAAGGGCGTAGGATGTGGATGGCAAGGAAATCGGGATAATCATGGCCCCGCGTAATCTCAGTTCGGAAACGACATTCCGGAGTTGCTGTATAATTTCAGTTGATAGTTCAGAGGGGAAGTATTCCTGCAATAAAAGTTGATCAAGGATATGACTGTATCACATCCGTAAACGGGCTTTACCTGCGGAATGCCGACACGCAATCCTTCCAGAGAATTGGATTTGGCAAAATTTATTGAAGAAAGTCGCTTTTCCGTAGATTGGTACACCTCCTTCCTCAGACCAAGAGGCGCAGCAGTAGGATCTAAAGCGTCAAAAACCGCGAGCGTGTCTGCGAAAGACGTGATGAGGCAGATGTCAGCGCAAAGAGGCTGTACTCACGAAAAATGCGTTCCGTTGTATCGACATCGGACGCCAGAATGCCAACGCAGTCTAAACTATCTGCGTAGGAAACTACGCCCCATCTGCTTCGCAGTCAAAAAAAGCAAACTAAGCACCATGATGAGCAATCACCTACTAATGAGACCATAGGACGGTTTGAGTCCGACAACTCCACAGTACGATGCGGGAAGACGAACAGATCCGCCTGTGTCCGTGCCTAACGCTCTGAACGGTGGTTAAAGACGAAGACAGCCCGTGGTGAAAAGTGAACTTACGCGTCGCATAATCCCGCAGCCACAGCAGCAGCACTTCCTCCAGAGCTTCCACCGGCAGATCTTGCTTCAAGGGAATCAGTTGCGCAGTCTTGGTTGACTGGATTCCAAACTGGACCGTGGCAGGAATGAATATTTAGTGACCTGGGGAAAACGCACCGTTAGTTAATTTCAGGAATGAATGGCACGACGAACATACACACCCCATCCCAAATTCATCACAATTCGTTTTTCCGATAACATCTGCACCTGAATCCTGCAGCAAACTGACGACCGTCGCGTCAAATGGAGAAGTGAAGCCTAGGGCATACAAGGTTTGACGGGATAGACAACAGATAAAATGGCAGCAAACCTCGGAGCATGGCAGACGAGCAAGTTGTTGGAAGGGATCGCGTGGCAATGTTATCCTTGACGGCTACAGTGAGACCACCGAGCTGAAGGTTTTTGTCGGGGAGAGGAGGCGGGGCTGGGGAGATGTTGACGAACGCATTAATCCTCGAATTTTTGTTTGCGATAGCTTCTCGTCTTGGGCACAAGGTGGAGTATCTAGCGGTCCTAATAAAAGTCCAAATTTTGGCTACATTGACGCTCATTTCCTGTGCAGGCGATGGTTGGATGTAGTGGACAAAGCCAACGCGACTCGGAGAACTCGGAGATGAACCGGACCGTGTATTTGGCATCGACTTCCGGATCAAGCAGGATTTTCTGAATGAACTTGGACTCCAAGGATCGCAACGAACATACGCCTCTATCTAGGATCCCTTAACCTCCGAATCCTTCGAATGCCAAATTTAAAAGGAAATATGCGTCACACGAAGAAAGTCAAGCTACAGACGCCTCTCAAAGGGGAAAAGAAGAGAGCTAGTTCGCCTCACCCAGAAAAGAAGGCTCATCAGCCTATGGGCAAGGACGTTGCTCCAATTCCACAGACACCCAAGGGCAAAGAGAAGGCAATCGAAGGAAACTCTACCCCAAATTCAAAACGAGAAGGAAAGGCCCGCGATGAAGAACATCCCATTCCAACTTCGTTCAAGCTAGTCGCTGGCTCCTATGAAAAACTTCTGTATGGACTTGATGGCTTCGTTACTCTCAACGATGAATCCAAGCTGGAATTTCATTTGAAACCAATTTTCATATTTCCTGCACACGTCTCCTGTATAAAAGCAGTTGCTGCATCTCCACAAGGTGGTAAATGGCTCGCGACCGGCAGCGCAGATGAAATTATCAAGGTCTGGGATCTGCGGAGGCGGAAAGAGATTGGAGGGCTTATGCATCATGAAGGTGGGTTCTTCCTCGAACCATCCCTATTTGTCTGAATGGAATGGATAGGATCTATCACTCATCTACTTTTCCCTTCGCGATCACACCTTCTTTCTGCCTCTGAGGATGGTAGCCTATGTCTCTTCCGCGCTCGGGATTGGGCTGTTCTCCGAGCATTAAAAGGTCATAAAGGGCGTATCAACTCTGTCGCTGTGCATCCAACCGGCAAGGTCGCCCTTAGCGTCGGCAAAGACAGGACATTGAGAATGTGGGATCTGATGCGCGGGAAAGGTGTCGCGAGTACGAAACTCGGAAAAGGTATCTTTCTCTCTCCTCACTGTTGCACTATTCACTGAGTCCGTGTTAGAGGGAGAAATCGTACGTTGGTCGGTAGATGGATCGAAGTTCGTCGTACAGTCAGGTTCAACCATGGATGTTTACGCGACGGTATGGTGTACCTCCATTGAAGATAGTTCCAACAGCTGACTCGGCTGCAGAATATGGATCCTTTACATGCGATAACACACCCTTCTCGAATACACGATGTCAAATTTTGCAAGCGCGTCGATGGAGAAGGCGAAATCTTGCTTGTCGCAGCAGAGGATCGGAAACTCTACGTCTACCAAGTACCAACAGATTCCGCTACTCCTTCAATCGTCGCAGAGATGATTGGACACCAAAATCGGTTCGTCTCTTGTGAATGACCTCTGGTCACTTACACTGAATCACATCATGTAGTGTAAAAGCCGTGCAGACCCTTGAAATGGCCCTACCAGAGGCCTCGGGCAGGAAATCGACGACCATTGCCGCCACTGTATCATCGGACGGGTTTATCAACGTTTACGACATTGCTGCCATCCCATCTAGTTCTGAAAATCCATCTGGGTTGCCAAAGACAATTGAGCCACAAACATCTTATGACTCGAAAGGAACACGGCTGACTTGTATTACACTGGCTGATGGAGACGCCAGTAGTGCCCCTATTGCGGGTAGTGGAAAACGGAAGAGGGATGAAGATGCAGAGGAGGAGGAAGGCAGTGAAGATGACGACGACGCGTATGGAGCCAACCTGGCAGAGGACGAAGAGCAAGAAGACAATGAGGAAGAGGAGGAAGAGTGAGGGGATTAGTTCAAGTACCTGCTGTCTACTTGTCGCATCAATCAGGCTACAGCCCCAGAATTGGAAAGACAGACAACGCAGTCAGAAACGTTCAACATACATAGCTCTGTCTGACAACCCCGCGTAGTATGAGCCACTAAAAACCCATGAGGGCGTTACATAAAGTCAATGGCCCGCTTCCGACCTCTCGAAGGTGCGTCTGTAACAACGTCCGTCGACGCCGGTGAAGAAGGGACGACAGTTGGGACATCAGGAGGAGGTTTATCGGTCCACATGCCCTGATCCTTGCCATCGCTGCCTCCTTCCTTCCCCTTCCTTTTCTTCTTGGGCCGATCCTTGGGCTGCTTCAGCTCAACGCCATCACCACCCTCCTCTTCCACCTCAAACGACACGAGCACGCCCTTCTTCCCTTTCTTCTTCTTTTCCTTCTTTTCCTTTGAACGATCTTCGTCTTTCGACTTCTTCGATTTACCCTCGCGCGGAATGAATGTCGGCTTAAACGTGCTTGGGTCGAAAGGTGTGTCGTCCAGAATGGCAGTCGCAGGAGTGAAACCATTCGCCGCTTTAAATGTTTGTTGTAGATGACTCTGCAGCATGTTCATCTTCTGCATTCTTCTCGGTTTCTTCGTCGTCTGAATCCTCATCATCGCTGGCAAAAATAGCCTTGAAGATATCCATTGATGGTCTTTGATACGTTAGTGTATCCTGTCCCTGGGTCTCGTCATCTCCGAGCCCAATATTGGCGAGATCCCTTGGGCTATTCCTCGTTTGTACAGGAACAGTAACATCCCTGCCTGTTGAAGTAGAAGCTCCTGTTTCGGCTTGACCGTGACTGAAGGAGGGGCCGGGTTGACTGCCAAAGCTTGCTACCTCTGCCTCGGTGGGGATCTCCGGCGTAATGTCTGGGTCTTTGACACCGAAGCGCTTGCAGAGCAATTTTACTGGCTGCCATGGTTTGGTTTCTCGTGTCATAGGGCCGTACATGCCCATTTTTGCTGCATGTGCTTTCGGGGTGACCTTCTCTTCTTCTTCCTTCTTCCTTTGAGCCTCTTTCGCAGCAAGCTCCTCCTGAGAAGGGGTATACAAACCCTCCTGCACCTTTGGTCCGAATTCAACGACAGCGGCACTGGTAAATCGGCCCGCCATGGCCCCGGACATGGGCTTGAAAAGAGATGCCGCTTTTGCGTAGTGCTCGAGTTCCTTGTTGAAGTCGTCCGTACTCTGGCCCTCGACAGGCTTGATCGGCGCAAAACCGTCTGAATCAGCTTGGGAGTGTAGATATGCAGTGTACCTTGCTTGCTTTGCGGGATCGGCAGCGAAGGGCTGAAACCCTCGCAAGGCCGCCTGGGCCACGTGCGGCTCAAGCTTCGCGATTGACACAGAAGGGTGAGGCACCGACGGTCCCGGTCCCTGACCACTTGAAGTCGAATCTGTCCCTGTACCCAAATTTGACGCGATGCGTTGGATTCTCTCCTTATCCTTTTGTGACATGTAGTCAAAAATGGACCGAGGCCCCGAAGGCAGCGGCGTCTCGCCAAGCATAGCTCCTCGCTAGGGTCAAGTCAGCACGGAAACAAACGCAGAAGCTTGCAGACCTACTTGATCTGCTGAGATATTGGATCTTTTCCATTTGCCGTGCGGCAAAGCCTCGGGCGGAGAACGCTGTACTGGGGCATTTTCCTTATCCTTCTCCCAAACCCTGTTCGGATTCGGCGTCCATTCTGGAGGAATTTCAGGCAGGGGAAACCTGTCAAGTAATTTTAGCGTTGGTCTGTTGTGTCAGTTCCGAGCGTATTATTACCATCTATCCTCGGCTACGGGCTCATCAGAGAGCACGAAGCCAGCTAAGACCGGCCGTCCATCGCGGAAGTACTGCGAGGAGGTGGATGGCTACATGGAATGTCAGCAAATCTATCATGAATAGGCGAAAGATACATACCACCATTGAGGCCGTTCTTCGGTCAGACTTTCCTCCGATGACAACCATGTCACTATCTTCCCCTTCAAGGCTGTCGTATGCGAGACGACGACGTGCATGCTGAGTATTGTCGTACACATCCAAGTCATCTTCGTCAGCATCGTTGAGTGCTCCGAGCCCAAATCCCCCTGCTAACTGCGGTCCTTGACTGCCTCCCGCATTGCCTCCTAAGCTTTCATTGAGGGTCAGACCTGGCCTATAGCCCAGACCGTGGGCATTGTCTTTCCTCTTTACTATCAGGATGGGGGTATCACGGGGTGCATAGGTGTGCTTGCCGGCCTCGTCATCGTCCTCGGGGATGTCGAGTGCTCCAACCGTTAATTTCGAACCTGTCGTTGGTTCGTATGCCAGGGCATCTTGCTCCTTACGTTGCTTCAACGAGATACGTGGTCCAATACCCTGTCCCAATCGCCAGCCCATTTTCTTCAGTATCTTGGCCCCGACAGAGTCCTTAGGAGCAGGGAGCAGAGATGCTTCCAAGGTACGTGTAATTGGGCTGGGAATATGTTGAGCTTCAAGTTCGAGTTTGAGATTAACACATACTCTTTCTCAACGTCGTCCACTTCGGTTCCAAGCAATGCGGTCGTCGTCCCACCCCCAAAGTCCATCTGTTCTGTTGTGTCCACTAGATTTCGACTATCTTTGATATCCTGCAAGTCCTCCTCATCCATGAAGTCCTCGGCGCGCATATCTTTCTTCTTTGCTCTGTCATTTCGTGAGGAGACAAACGATTGGGGTGTCCAGCCTGTCCAAACAATGAGCACCCGCATGAAAAATGACACCAGAAAGAAAGGACCTTCTTTCGAACCAACAGTGTTGAAGTATCCGGCTGAGAAACCTCCAGTAAAGGCACCATGTAGCCTCCTTCGACCCTTTTCATCGCGAACCTGTATATTCAAGATTCAGACCCCTGAAGGAAGAACAGGATAATTATGAACTCAGACTTCTTGCTTCCATAGTGGAACGAATTCACCGGTGTCCTTGGATTTCTCAAGCGGCGGCAAAGGAGTGCCAATCTAGAGATAGACAATCAGTCAAACATAAGAGAGAATGTGTGCGTCACCTACCAGACAGAAGTTCTCGTTTGCTTTCCGGCTTGATGTGTCGACTCCAAGGTCTCCAAGCTTTCGCTTCAGTCGGGAAGTCATGTTAGAGTAAACACTGAAGCTCAGCTTGGGAAAGCTCGAGCATGAGACCGGCGAGAATGTTTATCTTAGTACTTTCGCTTGATATATGGCCTTCCTTTGCGGCTTTGCTAATGGGATGCAGGTTTGGAGCTCTCGCAGAGCCCGAGCACAACTGGTAATAAATTCGCACGGCCTCCCCTGCCGTCTGACCTTCATCGCTCTCTTCTCACTTTCCCAGAATCAACGCCGATTTCGAAGCTGTCATGAATAACGTGGACCTCCTGACTCTGTACTTTGGTCGCAACCAGTGTCGAAGACGCCTCCTTTTCGAACACGACATCCAGTCTCGATACATGAACCCGTGTTATGTAATTGGCGTGCAAGAAACCTTATGACCAAATTCTGCGAAAGGTAATAGATGAAGACGGCGTCACAAGATTTTTATGAACAAGATCCCCGAGGCCTGCGAATTGGCTCGTCAGAGGTTGGACGTCCTGACGTGAAGCGCCGTTGATGCCGGTGCTGTTTCTATACATATCTTATTTCCCTTCATGAGACACTGCCTCTAGAGGCACGGCATGGACCTTTAGTGGTGTGCGTGCGTTTCTTATCCCAATACTTATCGCTTGAAATCTTGACGTGTGGTTTAAAAAGGTCTCCCCGCAGTTCAAAGTCGACATGAGCCCGTCCTCGGTGCTCAGAGTAACGGGCGATGTGGGAGGACCATCTCCATAGTCATTAGGTCTCAAGGTCTGAAGCCACATACGCATACGTATGCGTGCGGTCAGTAGACCCACCATATGTGAAGGCCCAATCAGAGATATTTTTAGCGGCGGACAACTGTCAACTACCCAGAGACTCCCTTTTGATTGCAGCTAATTTTAACCTTTGACTTCATATCCCACACCACTTTAGCCCCTCCAGGAACACGTCCCAGGAGTACTTATGTGGGTGTGCTCCTGTATTTCCCACTGGAACCCCTTGCTCCCCTCTTGACGACCAAATGGACACCAAAGAAAAGCGGGATAGCAGCAGCATTGAGGAGGGCATAGCAGAAAGCAATGTCGTACAGACACATCCTCAGTCTGTCCTCTCTATTCCGTCTCATATTCTCAGCCTTATCGGTGCAACAGGTACCATTTCGAAGTACACGACCTTGACCGTGTCCAAAGACGTTTAAAGCAGCGCCATGTGCAAATGTGAGCCTCGACCACTCTCATTTTCGCATTCGCCCATGATGCTCACCAATTTTTTAGGATAGCTGTAGGTGGACCGCTGAGAAGTGCCTGACGTCTGCTAACTCCACCTCCCGACAGATTGCTGGGACAATCGGAACTGGATTGTTTCTAGGTTCAGGGCACGCTTTGAATTCAGCAGGGCCGTTGGGTGCTCTAATTGCCTACGCCCTCGTTGGAACCGTCGCCTACTCGTATGCCATCTTTTTATTTTCACAACGACGACCTTGTCTGATTTTAATGTCCAGATCTCTCTGCGCCGTCGGAGAAATGACAACATGGGCCCCGATATCTGGAACCTTTCCTCATTTTGGTCTGTGCGCCCTTCGTTCGAAGTCATCCCCCGACGCTGACCTCTGGCGGTTCTTGATAGCTGCACGTTGGGTTGACCCCGCTTTGGGCTTCGCGGTTGGATGGGTACGTATCAAGGGTAGTGAGCAGCTGAGGCGTCTAACCTGGACCCTAATCTCAATAGAACTATTTCTATACCAATGCGTGCGTGCATTTCTTCTCGACGGTTTTTTGAGTACGAATCTGACCTCATGCCAGTATATCGACGCCCGTAGAAGTTACTGCTGCCGTCATCCTTCTCACTTTCTGGGATTCAGACGTGAGTACTCGCATCTTCTGTGGAAACAACTCTTTAACCCCTAACTTAAAGACTAACCACGCTGCCATCTACACCGCGGTTATTTGCGTCCTAATCAGCCTTATCAATATATTCGGCGTACGATACTTCGGAGAATGTGAGTGGGTTCTCTGCATTCTCCGCTGATCTGAAACTTACAGAATGGTCCAGCTGAGTTTTTCTTCTCGATAGTCAAAAGTGCGTATCATTGTGATTTTGCTCCCATATGCACACGTACTGATAGCGCTTAAAATTAGTCACTCTCATCATCGGTCTGCTACTTGCTGGACTCGTTATCGACCTGGGTGGCGGTCCTAACCATGATCGCATTGGTTTCAGAGTCAGTATTCTGTTCATGGAATTCCTATTATGTGACAAGCAAGCTAATGACGGTAACCTCAGTACTGGAAGAACCCTGGTGCAGTTGCTCCTCTGGGCTTAGAGCCTAATCATATTCCTCTGGACCGTTTCCTGGCCATTCTCAGTGTGCTCGTCCAGGCTGCCTTCTCATTCCAAGGCATGGAATTGGTCGTTATGTGCGTGTTTTCCTTTTTGCCTTGTTCCTTCCCCTGAAGTCATACTTAGCGCTGCATCGGAAACCGAAAATCCTCGTCGCAATATTGCGAAGGCAGTCCGTCGTGTATTCTATCGAATCTTGGTATTCTATGTACGTCTTTTTATGTCGCAACGATATTTTTAACTGACACTTCGCCTCCAGATTCTTGGTATTCTTATGATTGGAATGCTTGTCGCCTACAACGACCCAGACTTGCTTAGGTGTAGGTTGCATTTGTTAACTCGGCAGGAAATGAACTGACTTGCACTTGCTGTGTTTCAGCTACTGGTACTGCCGCACAGTCACCGTTCGTCATAGCTATTAACCGTGCAGGGATCAAAGGTTTGTTGCTCTCTATGTTCTCATAAAGTTGAAGAACTCTCTAACAAATTCTTGATCACTTGAGTCCTTCCTCACATCATCAACGGAGCCATCTTTACAAGTGCCTTCTCCGCCGGAAACAGTTTCTTGTTTTGCGCGTCGCGTGTCCTCTACGGGCTAGCACTACGTGGACAGGCACCTCGATACCTCACATATTGCACCAAGAACGGCTTGCCCCTCTATGCCGTCTTGACCGCTTCTGCCTTCTCATTTTTGTCATTTATGGGTGTTTCGGAAGGCTCGAACACGGTATTCAAGTCCGTAATATATCCTACCGTCGTGGGGTGTCGGTACTGACAACATGTTTAAAGCTGGTTCGTTAATTTGTCCACTACAGGAGGTTTACAAGTTGGTTCGTTATGAACGTAACATATATTTTCTTCCGTGCGTATCGCTGTTTCAGCTTTTGCGAGCTGTGTATTCAACACCTGCTCTATAGGACGCGGTCTTCTGGCTCAGGGCTACGACCCGAAGAAGAACTCGTATAACAATAGCTGGCAGCCCTATGTGGCCTACTGGGGTGCAGGCTGGACCCTCTTCTTTATTATCATCAATGGCTTCACGGTCTTCTGGGATTTCAATGCAGCGGGTTTCCTGACTGCCTGTGCGTTTTCAACCGAGTCGTCATCACCATTATAGTTCTAACACGTCCCTGTTCTGAAAGACATCAATATTCCGATCTTTCTGGTACTCTACTTCGGGTACAAAATTGTTAAACGGACCAAGGTGTGGAAACCTATGGAGATGGACTTCGTTACTGTGGGTATTCTCGTTGTTTGATTTGACCAATTAACTGATTTGCACCGGCAGGGCATCCCTACTCCTGAAGAGACTGAGTTGCCAGAGGAGCCCCCAAGGAATATTGGAGAGAAGATCGCGGCAGTTATTTTCTAACCTACACCCGTTGAATACTGTTCCGGTGGAAAGTCACTGTTCTTGCTACGACTTGACCGGCCCTACGTAAAATTCTACTTGCTATCTATTACATGATTCCACTTACACCTCACCTCCGGGATAAGCGGGGGTTAATGCCGAGGCCTCATGTGCAATCGCTGAACAAAGCTTGCAAACGGCACTTCGAACGAGCACTTCGAGTGCCATTTCCAGCCCCGGTCCTTGTCAAGACGCAAAGCCATCCTCCATCCCCTGACGAAAAGGAGTTATAATTTACGAAATTTGCCCTGCATCCATACCCGATACATTTTGAGCTGCCTCTTGCGATTGACGATCAGGCGCCTATCGATACCAAGCTGCTCTGCAGTGAAAAGTGGGTGTGGGAGGCAGTTGGTAAAGGGTGAGAGAAGGTTTGGATGGATCGTATTTGGCTCTTTGGGGGATCCAACAGATGTGCTCTTCCTCTCTCGACTGGCGACGGTGACCGGCGTCGCGGCTGAGTCGGCATCTAACTGCGCTAGTACCGGATCGGATTCTGATAGAGAGAGAGCATGGAGGGCTCCAGCAACGTTGTCAATTCCGGTGCTTTGAGCACTGACGGAGTCATCTTCACCGTTCTCATCTGGGGATACTTCTGTGGTTGTGGTTGAAGTGCACCCGCATTCTTTGGCCCTTCTGCCGGTGAATATCAGCGACAACTCGTCTGACAGAAGGTGCTATAGTAAGAGGGTTGGAAATGAAGATATGGTGTGTGCAGCGGACCTAGCTCAAAGAAATAGACACGCGTTTTGTCCCCTCTGATATAAAAATTCTCGTCGAGCATCCTACCCCCCTTGAAACGGAGTTGCGTGAGATCATGCCTCCCATAATCTCGAAGGAGGACAAAACCCCCTGGTTTCAGCATCTGCGTACATCGGTGTATGTCAATCAATGCGGGTCATCCAGCTGCCCAGACAGTGTATAGCATGCCTTGTGGATGTTGTTGAGTGCCTGACCCCATTCGTCTGGGTGAAGCGCACTTAGGACAAATACCAGGATCACGATGTCGACAGTGCCGGGAGAAATATAAGCGGGAATGCCGTCTGGTGAGGTGACATCCCAGACAGACGCTCGTATGGTGCCAAGCGGAGGGTGAAGGTAAAGCGGATTGTTCTATTTCAACACATATCAAGTCTGTCGCGCCTCGGCACTGAGAGCAAGGACACACTTGAACCAACTTGACGGCATGAGGGGAGTAGTCGTAGGCATGCAAGTGCAATTCAGGGTTTTGATTTACGGAGAGAAGGGGGAAGGCGGAGTTTCCAGCGCCTACATGCTTTCATTAGAATGTTACTTCAGTTTGGCGACAAAGACTTGCCGCATCCTACTTCTGTAATGGTTATCGAACCGGCATCGGCCTGCGTCGCGTCGATGAGCTCTGGGAATTCGTTGTGAAGCCTGATTTGATTAGGGGAATCAACGAATAGCCACGTACAGATTTAAGAAGAGTCGCCATACCATTTACGATTCCGAAAGAAGTTGCTCGCGTTCATCTTGTAGAAATTATCCCTACATAACACCTCGATGGACGTTCAACGAAAGGGGGAGAGGAGGAGGAATACCAATGCTTCGCTGGCTTTTCGTTATATTTTTGCTTCTCCTCCAATGGCACGGGATTTTGACGTTGTTTCGAGAGCGATCTGGCAATGGTTTCCTCTTGATCTTCTGGAGGGGGTACATGGTCCCAAGCATTTTGACTCCAGACATCAGCGTCCTCCGTCAGGAATCTATGATGCTTTTCAACGGGATTCTCGATAGATACGGCGTTGGGCTGACCTCGATCCAAATGGGGGCTTCTCCTGCCCAATATCTTGAACAGATGAGCTGACCTTTTTGCTTGATTCCGTGCTTGATTGCACCATAGTGTGGTTGGCAGCAGAGGGAGTTTCAGAGCGGCACACAATAAGAGATGAGACCATCGAGGATTGTGACAGGGAGAAATTTTTGCAGGCCGTGCAGGGCGATGCTGCAGACTAGGGAAAAACGATATTTGGGGTTGCTAAATGAACGGAGATGACGGCCCGGCGATTGCCAAGGGCCGCAACGCGATGCTGCTGATTTGCAAACTCACATTCACTGCCGCCATCCTCGTCCTCAGCGGCCTCCACCTTCCCAGCGATGCTGCCCCGTTGAGCGCTAGTAGTCGACAACACAATCTCCCAGGGGCATTCGCATACTCTATCAACCTTCAATCCACCTTCAACATGTCAGCTATGCCTCCGAGCCTCATCGTACCCGAAGAAGATACACTCAATGAACTCTACGAGACTGTTTTGCGAGGATTCCTACCAAGTCCATCTCCATCTACAGAGTCTACCTACTCGCGAGGAGCATACTCCGCTTACCCAGAATCCGCGATAGACGCCGAGAGCCCTGTTGCAGAGGCAAGCAGCTCGACACGCCACCCATTCGGTAAGTCATGTAGCAGATCTCTTGAGTGAGTACCTGACAAGGTAGCAGCAAATACTCCACCTTCACTATCTAGATCGACTTCTGCACAAGCAGCACCTCTTCCAAACGGGATATCCTCATCACCAGCTCCTGCACGACGACGACCCCTGCCTCCGACACCTTCTTCATCATCACGCACACCATTACAGCCGCCACAATTACAACCTCCCCCAACCTTGCGCCCTGGACCATCAAGCCAGTATGTTTAAATGTGGCTGTATCTTCCCTTACTTACCCGTACTCCAGCGACTCACCCCGTACACAGCAAAGACCTCTTAGTCGCAAGTTATCTCGAAACTATTCCCAACAAAACCCCCCTCAAGTAGTTGCCCCCGAGATCACGGATGAGGATGGAGCCGGTCCTTCAAATACAGAGAATGAAGCAGAAGTACCTACGTCTCCGACCACTGAATACCCTGATCATTTTGGCGCATTTCTGCCCAGCTACTATCTAAGTGCCCATGAAGACCCCAATGCGTCGGCCTCTTTGGCATTTGCGCCACCTGTTGGAGGCGATTACACCGAACCGCCGCCTCCCCAAACGTATGAAGAGTCTGTTATCAGCGACGGAACATCAATACACCAACGTTATCATAGGGTGGAATCAGGAGAACGGTGGAATTCGGGACTTGAAGCTTCGACTGTCTTAAGTGCGTTAGTTCGAGCTCGTTTGGCAAAAATTTAACATTTTACAAGGTGGTGAATACCCTATGTTGCAGCGGCCTCGTTCAGATGCATCTGAATTTCCCCGAAACATATACGAAGAGCCACAGGAAGAGCCGCCTCAACCGTATCAACCAGACCCCCCAGAATGGAGCCGAAATTTGCGGCACAGCAATGATGTGGTAGATATAGGCCCCAACCCTGTACGCGGAAATACGGTCGACTCGTATAGTTCGATGTGGGAGGCGGGCGAGCAAGGTGACTTGGATCGACGCAACACGAATGTAATTCGCCTTATCGCGAATTTCGAATCGAGAATGCATCTGGAGCTACACGAAGAGGAGGAAGAGGACCCATACGAAGTCGATGAGAGGCGATTCGTGAACATGGCTTTGCTCTCCAACCTTGCTGTCCAATTACGCGACAAGGTCCCCCGAGGGACCCACGTCAAGGGCAGCATCCCGTACCCGAGAGCATTTACCGGCAAGGACATTGTCGTACGGTCACCTATTCGTCTTTTGCAATATGCTACCGACTGACAAGCCGTTGAGCAGTCAACGCTCCATTCGATCATTCAACGCGAGCTCCTGATAGATTCAGGCATCCCGAATGCAGACCGACGAGCTGCACTCCTCGTCGCGCGGAGTCTTCATGGTGCTCTATTTTTCTACGAAGTCGAATGGGGTGCGCGGGTGCTTCAAGACGGTGTGGAGGACGTCTATATGTTCCTGGATGACCAGGAAGGTGGTTCAGAGGCGCCAATAGAGCGAGCGGAGCTACCCACCGGTATTGTGACAGTATTAACCAAGTGCTACTCGGCGAGCTGTGATGGACCTGGGTGTTATGCCTATAGTTGTCCGAGAAGGGTAGGTCTCTCTTTTCATGCCGCTGCTGTTCGGTCTCCTCAACGGTTTGTGATAGGGATTGCAACAATTGCCAAGCATATCTGAAACTCCTGTTGGCGCGAAGCGAGAGGAGTGGACGAAAAAAGTACCACAACAGGTGTTGGCGTCGTTATCTGAGAGTGAAATCAACCGGCAGACGTGTGTAATCTGTTTATCGCTTTCTGATTGTCACAGTCAAACTACGTTCACAGAATTATCCACAAGCTGATCAGCAAAGAGCAGCAATACATCCAAGACCTCGACATTCTCGAGGCGGTGTTCATCAATCCTCTACGTCTGGCCAATCCGCCAGTCATGACGCCTCTTATTCTGGAAGAGTTCATCGAGGAAGTGTTTGGTAACATCCTTGAGCTGCGCGAATGCAATCGTCGCCTTCTGGACGTCATGTACGTGCGGCAACGCGAACAATATCCTGTTATCCAAAGCGTTGGAGATATATTTCTTGGCGCAGCCACCGAGTTCAGGACGTATTATCCTGACTATGTAGGACACCACCCCTTAGCGGAGAAGCGAATGAAGGAGGAGTTGGAGCATAATCCCGAGTTTAGGCTTTTCATTGAGGTATTTCTTCTGAAATTTCACGAGGAATGTACTGTGACCTGTCGGCTCATATTTTATGTGTCTATTAGAAATGTTCCCGCGAACTCTCCTCGCGTTCAGGTGCAAATGGGACACCCCGCCTAGACCTCAAGCATTACCTCAACCGACCTGCTGAGCACCTACAGAAATACCCTGTCCTTCTCGATGCAGTATACCGCGAAACGCAGCCAAGCAACCCAGATGGTGACTATCTTGCTGAAGCCATCGCCGCGATCCAGAACCTGCAGGACGTGGCAAGGTTGAGAACGTTCCAATCGGCGATGGGTAAGGGTAGCACAGCGAAATGCGAGTGGCACGATCTCCTTTCGCCAGATATGAGGCAAATGTTCACAGAGGAAGAGAGCAAACGGCAGTCGTAAGTGGTACATTTTTTCCGAAAGAAGCAGACGCCTGACTTGAATTATGATTGGTCTGGTAGGGTCATTTTTGAATTGATCAAAGGCGAGATGGCTTATGTTCGCGATTTGGAGAACATAGAAACTGTACGTGACTGTTGGGATAACTTTACCCTAGAAAACCCACCAATTCCTTTCAGATGTATGTCCGACCGTTGAGGAACGCGGAGCCGCCTATTATCCCTTCAGATCGACTTGAACAATTCCTCATGGATGTTTTCCATAACTACCACGAACTCTATGGACATCATCGGCGGCTTGTCGACAACCTACATGAGATCCAGCGCGAAGAGCATCCACGGATTCGAAGTATTACTGCTGCAGTCTTCGACGCTGTGCTCAACTTCCGCGAGTCATACATGGAGTACATCCCCAATTACCCCATTGCAGCTTACAGGATCGACGACGAGATGGCGAACAATGAGGGATTCCGCCAGTTTGTAAACGTTGGTTTAAGACTAATTTTTCTCCGACTCGATTTCTGACACTTTCGGACAAACTGCAGCATACCACCCGCCATCCAGATGCACATCGCCTGGACATGAAGAACTTCATCAACCGTCCTATACCAAGGCTGCTACGCTACGAACTTCTCCTCAAATCCATCTTGTCAGAGACACCATCAAGTCACAGGGATAGGCAAGATATCCCGCCTGTCATCGAGCTCATCAAGGCACTTGGGAAGGAGACAGAGCCCGGAGTTGCGTCGTCCAAGCAGAAGGTGGAGTTGTGGAAGCACAATTCCAATCTTGTTTTCAAGACAGGGGAATATGTTGTAAGCATTTGCTAACGTTATGGTTTACATTCCTGGTTGATGTAATGATGGAATTTAGGACATGGATCTGCTAAATGAGCAACGCTCGTTGATCCACACTGGCAAGCTGCTGAGGCAACCTGATAGTGGATTGGAATGGAGTGGATGGACGGAATTGTTCGTCATGCTCTTTGACAATTACCGTGCGCACCTTTTCTTTTTTATCGGTCTTCATTGTCAGGTATTAATCTTGGATTTGCAGTCGTCATGACCAAACCAAGAGATCGAGATGGTGTAATCAAATACCATGTCTATCGGAGAGTACGTCAATCCCTGTTTCCGCAACCCCGGTTCTGATTCGTGCTATAGCCCATTCCTCTTGATCTTTTGTCTCTGGTCAACTTCACGGATGCCTCAGTGCACCGAAACACCAGCATTCTCAGATCTCTGCGCAACGGATCGGACACATCGAGCGTCTCATCCCGGCAACCAGAGAACGGCGACTCGCGCTCCGTCTTCCCGTGCACCATCCACCACAACGGACGGTTGGGCGGCCCGTACATCCTCTACGCCGAGAGCTCCGCCGCGCGTACGGAGTGGCGGAAGAAGCTCGAGGAGGCGCTGGGCCTGCGCAAGGTCGTGCAGGAGTCGAACAAGGTGTTCGAGATTGAGAGCCTGAGCGTGGACACGTTCTTGCTGCCCACGCTGAACACGGGCCCGAACTCGTCGGTGTGGCATGACGGAACGCTGTTCACGGGCAAGGTCACTTGTTCGGTGCCGTTCAGTGAGTGCCCAGAGCTCATTTTGAAATTATTTTTCGTTTGTTGACGTGGTGTTGCTGTGGCAGATACCCCAGATGGACGTGGGCTGGTCGCGATTGGGTGCGCTGAGGGCGTGTGGATTGGCTACCGGCATGATTCTCGATGTACGTTCTTTCCTCTCAGATGTCTTTTGCTTCTAAGTTGTGATTACGTCAGCACTGCGACGAGTACTTCACTTGAAGATGGTGACGCAATGTGCCATCCTGGAGGACTTTGGGCTGTTCATCGTCCTGGCTGACAAGGTACGTTCTTGTCTTGATGTGATTGATGAGCCTGTTGTGAAAGAAGTACAGGTTCTTTATGCGTACCATCTCGAAGCGCTGGTACCGACAACACCCGGAAGCATCCATGCATCCCAAACACCGCAGAGGATCCACAGCAAAGACGTCCACTTCTTCAGCGTTGGTGTCCTTCATCAACGTACTCTTGTCATCTACATGAAGAAACGAGGAGTATGTTCTGACCTTTCAAGTACTTATCCTGTTCACTTAACTCTTCTTCATCAGAACAACGATTGTGTGTTCAACGCTGTCGAGCCTGTGATCGATAAAATCAACGAACGGCCCAAGGCGAGCGGCGGTGGCCTGCTCGGTCTGAAGAAGAACAAGACGGAGTGGTTCCGGCACTACAAAGACTTCTCGATCCCGGACGCGCATGATCTTATTTTCTTGAAGGCGAAGATCGCGGTCTTGTGTGCGAAGGGCTTCATGATCATGGATCTCATCGAGTGCGTTGTCTGAGGTGGTAATGAAGATATGAGGATTGATCTTTTTTTTCTGTAGTTACAAGAGTGTGACGATCCCTCAGCGAGATGATCCTAATTTCCCGTATCTGGCCAAACGGTGCGACTCGTGTCGGCCTCTTGGGATGTTCCGATCCAGTGATGAAGAGTTCCTCCTCTGCTATGACGGTTAGTCGTTCAGCTTCGTTTCTTGCCCTCATTGATAAGAAACCCCCAGAATTCGGGCTCTTCGTCGACAAGCACGGGAACCCCAACCGGCAAACCGGGACGATCGAATGGGAGGGCACCGCCGACCGGGTCGCAATGCACGCACCGTACGTCCTCCTCTTCGACACGCGGTTCATCGAGATCCGGCACATCGAGACGGGGCGGCTCGTCCAAATAATCCCGGGGAACGACGTCCGGTGCGTGTGGGATGGGCGGAACCTCGATGGCGGGGGGATGGGCGGGGGCGCGGTCGTACCGGCGGAGGGCAACGAGGAGAAGATGGTGCAGGAGCCCTGCGTGCATGCGGTGATGAACATGGCGGAGCCTGCGGTGGGGATGGGTGGAGGGGGAGGGGGTGGAGGGAGACAGATGAGGGGGATCATGCAGCATGTGTTTGAGCTGTTCCCGACGATTCCGCTGTATTTGCCTGGGTCGCTGGCGTCGCCGTCGACGGCGCCGTATTTCCCGTTGTCGTTCAGCCCGCCGAGGTCGCCGCCGTTGAGGTCGCATCATATATAGTGTTTTTTGTAACTTTGTTGAGAGAGAGAGAGTTGTTGTACGTATATATGTTTGTATGTATGTTTTAGTAGGATTATCTTTTTTTTTTTTTTTTTGCACATCTTGTTTTTTTGGATACATTTTATACCTACACATTGACTCAGTGTAATACATCCTGTTTGAGGTGGAGTAGCTATAGTGTTGAGGGTCAGTAAGGCGAATGTTAGAAATATCGGGCCTCCCGAAAACGAGTCGTGCAAGGGAATATATCTTCAGTGTAGTGGAACGGGGACAATACTCACCTAGTCTCCGAGTCCTAGAGGCAGATTCAAAGCTTCAGCCGTGACACAGTGTGCGACTTGCCCAGCTGAAGGCCTCTTTTGCTTCCGGGTGTACGAGGCCCCGGAGAGGCCGGTCGTAGCGTCTGGCCAGTGGATGTCGCCGTCGTCGTGCGGTTCATGAATCACGACCGAGGGATTTGCCAATTTCGCGCTGGTGTGGATGCCAATCAGATGGCAAAAAAAGGTCTTCGATATCAACGTCTGAAATGAAAAAGGTGGATCGGGTGGGTGTGGGCTTACGAGAGTGGGCGGATTCTCGAGGCTTTGGGATAAGAAAGCAAGTACGTCAAGCTGGGAAGGAAGAGAGAGGTTTGGCTGAATGGCGATGGTATGGCGACTTGGATGAAGAGTGACGACAATCGTGCTTCACACGGTCTGGTTAATGACTGAGATGTCCCCGGATGGAAATTGCTTCCTTGGCGCCAGGAACGACCTGTCTGACAAGGTCCAAGGGTAGAGTCCGGAGGTACGAGGAGGAGTGAACGCGGGGAGGAGGAGCTGCAGCCTGGGTGAGGAAACGTGTGTCGGGAGTCGGGACCATATAGGGTGACGAGAGCTGGGAAGACGGCATCGAAGAGTTGGTGTGTTGCGTCAAAGAAGCTCATTAGGGCCCTTGTGACCTTGTAGCATGGGAGTTACGTACAGGGCAAGAAGCAAAAATGGGGGACGATAGCACGGTGGGGTCGGCAGGGTGGGAGGGAGTGGGCGGAGATGGTGTGGCTCAAGAGCTCGTCGAGGCGGACGAGCAGGAGGGCTGAGAGGGCGGGGCCAGTTGAAGGGGCACGACTATTTAGGTCGGGGATCTCGATAAGGATCTGGTGATCGTCGATATTTTGTGTCAAATTGAAATAAAAGTTGTTCGCACAGGCTGTGACGTGCTGTTGCCTCCTCTGCCCACCACACATCCCGTCCGCCATGAACGTCGCTGCCCTCCTCCAGGACTCGCCCTCCCAGGAGCGACGCCCGCCCAATCCACCCCAGCAGATTCAGAATCAGCCCCAGCCAGCAGCACCGCCGTCGCCCCAGTGGTCCCGCACACGCGTCCAGTCGACGACACAGACCCCATGGCCGCCCCCCTACATCCGTCCCGCCAGCGCACACTCGGACCACCCCGCAGCGAAGGACCACCAACAGTGGCCGCAGGGAGCCGCTTATCCGCCGCACGCACAGACCTCGCCCCAGCCCCAGCCGTACC